TTCAGTGCAGCAGAAAGCTTGAAAGAGCGTTTTTGATTTATTACGGTCAGTGCTGTTTCAACCAGTTTCTCTTTGTGGACATCACTGGCTCCGGTGGCGTCCTTCCATGGCGTTCTCCAGTTTTTCTCAAAGGTAGCCTTTTTTGGCATGAAATGGTTTCAAGCACTTACATTTCCGTGATATCTAAAGCGTCGAATGGTAGCTTCTCTACTGCGATATTATACATTTTTTGGCCTTGATGGAAATGTTGCTCATGCGCATTTTCGCTGATGGTTTGCATTTGGCACGTGCGGTCGACCAGATTGTTGCGAGCTAGCCCCTAGCGAAACAAGGCATTTGTGTAAAATACGCTTTCCACTCGGAAGAAAAAATCTGTATAAAACAGTTGGGATTGCTCCATAATCTTTATTCGCACAAAGGTCGCAATTTAGTTGGGAGTGCACGCCGGTAGGCGTTTATATAATGCGATATTACGAAAGATGTTACTGTACATGTACGTTGCATGTTTTTCTTTAAATGAAATCGTATGCCTCTAGGCTCGTTGCTGCTTATTGTTTGGCTGCTTTTCGGTATTTGTTTCCGCCTCTCTGGTTAAAACCTTCGCTGTGCCGTATCAGTAAATATGCGGACATAGTACAGGTGGCGCAGACGTTTCACTAATCTTGCTCATTTTTTCTGATTGAAGGACTTTAGTATGTTTGATCATACCACATAAATTAACGGGATATGATTGTAACAGTAACAGAATGACGCGTCTTTTACAATTTACAATTTAAGAAATACACAGTGGAAGAAAGCGCATTTGACAAATCCAGACATATATCCTGCGGCGCCCGTGAATGGCCGCTATGTTAATATCTTCAAACAGTGAGACTCTTATGTATCTTAATCGTCCAGGCTAATCTTAATTGAAACTGGGTTCTGTGGCAGTTTGACGACTTGTTCAGAAAGTACGAATTCTAAGTAATTCAGGCACAATTTTTCGCGAATGAAACGGGAGAACGGCAACCGAGACAATCGCTCTGGATCCAACGGTTCCAGCAACTGCGGCCAGAAGTACGGAAATCACCAGCTCTGATGCTGTTCCAAAAAACTCAGAAATTCGTGCAAATTTCTGCTCAGCTCTCCATACCGTGTAATTAGGGTAATGGAAACGCAGTTATTCGAAGCATCAGCCCCTGGATTCTATCAGTATTATATAAAATAAAATGGCTGACGGAAAAATCATCGGTTCATGAAATAAATCCCGTACATAAACCAGTGCGGAACCGGCGTATAACTCCCTAGATGTACCGTTAAAGTTAACGCTAGTACCATAATTATATTTCACAAGTTTAAGGGACATGATGGGGGCGTGGCCAACGCATACGGACCGGCGGTTACTTTGCTCTTCGGCTATTTTACCCGATAACCCGTGTGTGCGGTCCGGCCACTGGAGCGTTCCTTAAATCTGTGAGAATACGGTACCGGTAGGTGAATGCTACACGCTTGATCAATATTTTCATAACAACTTCAAACATTTCTAAGTCTGAGCGTTATCGAGCAAAGGGTAAGCAGAGATCTTCTTCTCGTCGGGCAGTCATCCCTTTGTCTATACGAACTGTCATATCCTTCACACTTCTGTAATTCCACGGATTTAGAATCCACCAAATGCCTTAATGCGCGCATAATCCCTGACGGAAACTTTGAGCTTGAAAACAACCGTCGCATTTTTTTCTCGTACCTCCGCCAATTTCTTCTCCAATCGGATGCAGTTTCCCATCGTGTGATGGCGTTTCAGGTAACCAGTTCCCGGCAATGGTTTTGCCGCAGGTGCTACACACAAAGTGCTCTTTCGCGAAAAGGGAATTTTTCTCCGCGACTACAGTTGTGGTTTTAAGTACTATCGTAGCCGCCCTTTCAGCGCTTTGCTTCAGGTACACGGGCTTTGCGCTTTACGCTACATTTCAATGCGGATAAAAATTGCCGATGTCGGGATTGTAATAATTATTGGGAAGCCAGAATACTACACGTCTCTTTTTGAGTGTACAAACTGACCTTTTGTCAACAGTTTTGTTTAATAGCCTGGTTTCCCCCTGAAGGGCCCTAATTAGATGGAAACGTGAGAAATTTCTCGTCGTGCAAAAACTGCATAAAGGACAGACTACAGAAAAAATAATTACTGCCTACTTCGGCAAGTAGCAATTTAGGGGGCTCTCCTTGATTTCCCGCAGATACATCTCCGGTTGGACGCCTATGTTGGGCAGATCCTTTAGTCGTAGACAACGGGTTACCACCGGCAAGCCGGGCGCGAAATCATCGAGCTGGTAGAAGACGGCCTCATTGCGCTGGAAGTTGAAAGCACGCCGCCACGGACCGGAGGGATATATGGGCGGGAAGTGCAGTTTGTGCAGACGCTCTACCGTCATTACTTCCCGGTCGGGACTGGGCGTGCCAGACACAATGGATTCAATGTCGTCTTCGGAGTCCTCGGCGCCATTCACCACGGGCTGCTCGTGATGGTGCGAGTGAGGAGCCATTGACAGTGCTTGCATCCCCTATGGATCCCGTATTTCCTGGATGAAGGCTGGTTCGTGCGCGGCTGGAAGGATATAAACACGCTGGCGGATTTTCTCGAGTATGGCGATATGCCCAAGGTGCGGGAACAGGAGGAGCCCTGGGAGTCGCTCATGGAAGCGGAGGACGCGAGCTGGAGCAGTAGTCAGTACTACCGTGGAAAAGAATTATGCAAGGCAACTGGATTAAAAAATAATGGCGGTTAAATGATTGAAAAATAGCTGAATCAAAGCTAATACGAGTAACCGTATGACGATTTAGCTAGCGTAAACTTTATATGGAATCATGAAACCTTTGCCGGAAAAGAAAAAGCATGCTGGTGAATCCCTATATAAATTTAAAGTACTAAGGCCCCATCTCATTATGTACTAAACTACATCATTATGTACTTATTATGTACTCATTATGTACTAGTACATCTCATTATGTACTAAACATTGCAACCAGCATTAGGATTTGTACGTTAATCAGAGTAAACTTTATTGTAACACTAAAATGATAATATTGTGGCTTGCTGCTAAAATAACAAAGTAATTACCATTTCTGCATTTCTGTACCGTCCATTTCCAAGTTATATCAGTACCGGCAAACGATTTACGAACGGACTAGTCAGAGAATTTTTTATACAGCGTTTGCGGTACCTTCTAAAGATACGTTTTACACTGCTCGACGCCAAGAGCAGAAAAGCCATCGGTCCGTCCGGCAGTAACAGATAACCAATTAACATGTTTCAGTTTTCTGCCGTAAAACAACTGCGCTACGAGCTTCAGTATTGCTGTTTAAGGCGTAACAATAATAATAATTATTAGTGTTAGTGCGTATACAGTATGCACATAATTTAACAGTCTGGTTGTCGATGCTCGTAACTGACTCCGTGTTGCGTAAGCATTGAATACCGCTAATGCAATGCTCTTTGCTGTACGTGATTCGGAGAGGTTACCGATTTTGTGCTGATACCATTCTACTGCGATAGTGCGATGCTGCCATCCTGATTTTGACGGTTCCAGCCTGACGAATGATTTTGACGGTTCCAATAATGTGCAGTATCGAATGGCTAGCGCAATAGAACTGCATACTTACGCTACAGTAAAGGAGAAGCGATTTGGTAATGTTAAAACAACATTAAAAATTAACGAGTGTACCGTGGTAGTCAGAAGCACCATTTAATTGTACAAGAACTGGCTACTGTGCTTCATATTGGCTGTTATTAACTTTGTGAGCCCAAAACATCAGTTATAATACTTACTTGAGCGACGGGTAAGTACGAGTAAAAAAATGATGGCGTGTAAAAGTGCCGCTTGCTAACCGCGTACATACATAGCTACGCCGATTTTCACAGATCGGGATTACACATCGCACTATTTGTAAGTAGACAGCCTTTCGGTATTAAATTCGTTTTGCTAACTGATGGGATATAGCCTTTGTTACATTATTATGCAAAAATGCTTTTATGGGAATTACTCCTGTTGATCAGATTCTGGAAAAAGTGTGGTGCATTTCACAAGAAAGTGTTTGCATTTTTGTTTGAAAGCAGCACTGTAGTCTGCAAATTACGGTTATTGATGTTACTCAAGCTGTAACTTGCAAGAGTGGAGTTGAGTTGTATGTAATGGTTAGGAACATCAACAAATAACAATAATTCCGGCTACGGCTCAAGTATGTCTGCATTATCAATTTCGGAATTCAGCTGTTCTGTAAGCTCATGCGCTTCATATCTGAAACTGCAAAACCCATACGACTTACCAGAAAATTCCGATTAAATTCTTAATTACACTGCCTGCCGGTTTGTTGCGTACAGGCTGTACTGTGGTGGTTAAATATTTACCGCTCCGCTTTTCAATACACCTTCGACATTGCGTCTCAAGTGGCTCTTGACAGCATCAACCGCCCGGCCGATATCAAATGCTGCATTACGTAATGCAAACACGGGATCAGCGAATAATGTACCCAATGTCCATAAAGATTGCATGAAAAATTGCCAGCTTGACAGAAAGCTCGAGCCGAAACACGGTGAACCGGATGCTTTTACAGTTTCCTGCTCTTGGGATTGTCAAAAGCGCGTTATTCTCCAGGTTTCGGGATAGCTTTGCAAAAGTACCTATCTCTGATAGCGCTTCTCGTTTAAGCGGCAAAACTGAAAATCGTGTTGTGTTGTTCAAATTTTGTGAAGAAGAACGTGATACAACATATTATGCCGGTGTTTATCGCCCACGCTAAACATCTGCGTTTTCCTGGGATTTTTCTCTGCTTTTCTTTGACCTTTACCGCATTTATAAGTGCGGCAAAATCACGCTGATTTGTACATAATTTTCTTTAAGATGATGTCGTATGATTTTAATGAGTTTATTGATTTTGGGCCTGATCATGGTAATTTATAATTAAATCTGCTGACCGGCGCTTTTTCAATATAATGAGCCGCAAAACGTCCAAGGATTCGACCAGCACCCAGTTCGAAATGGAGAAACCCCGCACCACCCATGCACCCATCATCCAGTCCTTTAATTTCCGTCTGGGTCAGCTTTTCGGCACCTTCCCGTACCGCTATCCCTGGGCTTCCGCCACCACCCCGCCTCCCGTCAACATCCCGCTAGCCTGTTGGTCGGCGGCTTTGTTAACCGCCCTTCTGACCTGTGTCGTCCCGTGGACCGGCGGTCTAGCCACCATGTACAAACATCAACTCGCCAAACTGGAGTTCTTCGCCATCGTCTCCTTCATCTTCAAGATCACCATCTATCTTCAAGGTCCGTTCTCCCTGATCATCGGCCTGCTGAAATCCAGGAAACTGCCCATCTTGGTGGCCCGTATGGAGACCAGTCTGGGTGGTGCCCTGCCGACGGATATTACATGGCGTCGGGAGGCGTTCCGCGCCTTCATTATCGGCTGGAATTTAGTGTATGTGGTACTGGGTTTGGTAGCGTACTACATGTCGTTCCGGGAGATTTCTGCCATGGTCAACCGCATCGTCGAGGACTTTCTCTACGAAATCCACTTCTACTACGGACCGCGGACCCCACCGTACTTATTCACGGTGCTGATGGGCGTGATGATGTTCCTGAATCTGTCGTTTGAAGCCTTCCCGGTGACCTTAGTGTTGACGCTGTTGCGAGCGATTAATCGAGGGTTCCAGAATATTAACAAGGAGATCGGCCGGTTGCTGAAGGATCCCGGGCGGGAAGACGCGGCGGTGACGTTGAAGGCGCTGCGGGAACAGTATCTGCGGCTGCAGTGTCATACGGAGGATGCCGATGATATCTTCTCGTATCTGATATTAATCGGGTGGGTACGGGAGTTTCTGGGGTTCATCGCTATTATGGGCGCGCTGATGCAGACTAGCGGGGAGGAGGAGATTCACACAAAAGAAGACGCCAATACCGCCGTGATCGATGAATCAACACGGCATATGGTGTACGGGTTTGGGATTATGGGACTGGTTAACATGGTTATGAAGCTGACGATTTCGGTGTGCACACATGACGAGGTACGCGTATTCTTTCCATCGGCCGCTAGACCAGTCGATCAAAAGTTAAGTAGTAAAGCCGACTGATCCGACTTTAGACTTTGATTTTAGGAAAAAGCCGTTTTTCCGGTCTGCGCTTAGTAAACCGGTTTACAGCACCTATATTGGCTCTGCAATCCGTAACATACGTACAATTCATATGAAATATGAATACAGAATTATTCGCTTGCGCTTTAAGCAAAACTACGTGGCGGAATGAGCATCTCCTAAATTGTACTTAGAAAGAACACCGTTCGCCTCTGTTAGTTTCGTAAATATCGTAAAATAACGATCTGGCCACACAAAAACGTAAACGGAAAAAAATTCAAATTATTCAGTGGTTTAGGCACAAGCGGTACGCGTTAACCTGCGGAAACTGCTGGCAAGAAGCACATCGCCAGTTATCCAACAAGAATGTGGAGCGTTTATTTTGGAATGTGAGGAATCCGATGGCGCGATAACGGCCGGGGGATTCTTTCGCATTACCAGAGAGGCAGCTTCTTCGGTACAACTTCATTCCGTACATACAGTCATGTAGCGTTAAAAATACGTTACATTGTTACAGAACGAAAGGTCACAAACGAGTAGCCGTTTTTACATCATACAAATTCATTGTACCGCCTTGCTGCATTAAACTGGAGTAAACTGCGTTCTGCTTTGTAGTTGGCCGAAATGATGATAACCTACGTGTTGGTTATCTATCAAGCGCATGACACGAAACAAGACATTGCCGAGCTGCCGACAAAAAGCGAGATGGAAGCCTTTCGAAAGGAGATGCGCCAGCGTACGGAATACTGTACTGTTTCGCGGTGGAACGCAACAACTCCCATCAGCCAGTCAGAGTGACGTTACTTCGTAAACTACACCGATTTTAAACAAAGATTATTTTTTGCTCTTGTGACTAATGTTTGACTTATTAGTGAGAGCTCATCTGACTTTAGTCTGCGACCGTACGAGCACGTTGTCCGATACTTTTGTTGAAATGTTGCTTCTGAAGACGACTTTTTTTGCTTGTGATATGGCTGGTTTATATAAACTGCAGATTCATAATTGCTTACAAGTATACATCAAATTTTATGATAAACTAGTGAATGCAGAAAAACCATGCACTCCTATATATATAATTCGTTTGCCGATGCAGAAGAAATTTGCGGTATCCGAATTTGTTCACTGTGATTGTTTTAGACGATAAAAAAGCTTTGAAAATTTAAGCTACAGTAATACGCGAGTGACAACTTCAAGTAGATAACAGGATAGTGCTTACGTCATTCGATCTATGCAAATCAAACACTAAAGTTAATACACATATTTAGCAATGGCCAATGGCCGATTGAAAGAACTGCACATTTTACTGTCGACCTTCGCGCTTTATGATATATGGCGGCTTTCATTCGCTGATGACGTGGACAGATCTCCGCTCTTTGCCGAGACATTACTGGACAATAGCGTGCATAAATGCGTGCGCTCTCGCATCTCCGCATGCAGTGACCGCAGATCCGCTCGCGTAGGTAAATTAGCGATGTCTTGTTTGGTGTCACGGGCCTGATAGATGAGAATGGCGTAGGTGATAATCATTTCCACCAACTAGAAAATATCACCCATACTGTTAATTTATTACTGCAAGATGGACTTTCTCTACGAAATCCACTTCTACTACGGACCGCGGACCCCACCGTACTTATTCACGGTGCTGATGGGCGTGATGATGTTCCTGAATCTGTCGTTTGAAGCCTTCCCGGTGACCTTAGTGTTGACGCTGTTGCGAGCGATTAATCGAGGGTTCCAGAATATTAACAAGGAGATCGGCCGGTTGCTGAAGGATCCCGGGCGGGAAGACGCGGCGGTGACGTTGAAGGCGCTGAGGGAGCAGTATCTGCGGCTGCAGTGTCATACGGAGGATGCCGATGATATCTTCTCGTATCTTATATTAATCGGGTGGGTACGGGAGTTTCTGGGGTTCATCGCTATTATGGGCGCGCTGATGCAGACCAGCGGGGAGGAGGAGATTCACACCAAAGAAGACGCCAATACCGCCGTGATCGATGAATCAACACGGCATATGGTGTACGGGTTCGGGATTATGGGACTGGTTAACATGGTTATGAAGCTGACGATTTCGGTGTGCACACATGACGAGGTACGCGCATTCTTTCCATCGGCCGCTAGACCAGTCGATCAAAAGTTAAGTAGTAAAGCCGACTGATCCGACTCAGACTTTGGTTTTAGGAAAAATCCGTTTTTTCGGTCTGCGCTTAGTAAACCGGTTTACAGCACCTATATTGGCTCTGCAATCCGTAACATACGTACAATTCATATGAAATATGAATACAGAATTATTCGCTTGCGCTTTAAGCAAAACTACGTGGCGGAATGAGCATCTCCTAAATTGTACTTAGAAAGAACACCGTTCGCCTCTGTTAGTTTCGTAAATATCGTAAAATAACGATCTGGCCACACAAAAACGTAAACGGAAAAAAATTCAAATTATTCAGTGGTTTAGGCACAAGCGGTACGCGTTAACCTGCGGAAACTGCTGGCAAAACATCGCCAGTTATCCAACAAGAATGTGGAGCGTTTATTTTGGAATGTGAGGAATCCGATGGCGCGATAACGGCCGGGGGATTCTTTCGCATTACCAGAGAGGCAGCTTCTTCGGTACAACTTCATTCCGTACATACAGTCATGTAGCGTTAAAAATACGTTACATTGTTACAGAACGAAAGGTCACAAACGAGTAGCCGTTTTTACATCATACAAATTCATTGTACCGCCTTGCTGCATTAAACTGGAGTAAACTGCGTTCTGCTTTGTAGTTGGCCGAAATGATGATAACCTACGTGTTGGTTATCTATCAAGCGCATGACACGAAACAAGACATTGCCGAGCTGCCGACAAAAAGCGAGATGGAAGCCTTTCGAAAGGAGATGCGCCAGCGTACGGAATACTGTACTGTTTCGCGGTGGAACGCAACAACCCCCATCAACCAGTCAGAGTGACGTTACTTCGTAAACTACACCGATTTTAAACAAAGATTATTTTTTGCTCTTGTGGCTAATGTTTGACTTATTAGTGAGAGCTCGTCTGACTTTAGTCTGCGACCGTACGAGCACATTGTCCGATACTTTTGTTGAAATCTTGCTTCTGAAGACGACTTTTTTTGCTTGTGATATGGCTGGTTTATATAAACTGCAGATTCTTAATTGCTTACGAGTATACATCAAATTTTATGATAAACTAGTGAATGCAGAAAAACCATGCACTGCTGTGCTTTTGGCGATGCAGAAGAAACGTTTGCGGTATCCGAATTTGTTCATTGTGATTATTTTAGACGATAAAAAAGCTTTGAAAATTTAAGCTGCAGTAATACACGAGTGACACCTTCAAGTAGATAACAGGATAGTGCTTACGTCATTCGACCTATGCAAATCAAACACTAAAGTTAATACACATATTTAGCAATGGCCAATGGCCGATTGAAAGAACTGCACATTTTATTGTCGACCTTCGCGCTTTATGATATATGGCGGCTTTCATTCGCTGATGACGTGGACAGATCTCCGCTCTTTGCCGAGACATTACTGGACAATAGCGTGCATAAATGCGTGCGCTCTCGCATCTCCGCATGCAGTGACCGCAGATCCGCTCGCGTAGGTAAATTAGCGATGTCTTGTTTGGTGTCACGGGCCTGATAGATGAGAATGGCGTAGGTGATAATCATTTCCACCAACTAGAAAATATCACCCTTATACTGTTAATTTATTACTGCAAGATGGCTTGTATTTAATAGCTTGTATGCTGCGTACCGTTGCAGCGGATTCTTTCGTAATGTATAAGAATCCTCCAGCTGAAACGGCACCGTCCGTCTTTTCGCATTCCGATAGAAAATCTTTGCATTCCGATATGAAGGCGGCAGAGCGTGCCCGTGCCAGGATTTTCCGCAGGTTAATGCGCACTTTCTGCGCCTAGAAAAAGGTCACCGTATTGCCGATTTTGCAGCAGCTTTGCCAAAGCAATAAACCGCGCTCACATAACATGTTTACGGTTTAAATAATCAGAAGATTTACAATCCTAACTAGTCCGTAAAGCGATAGCCAAAACCACTCGCGCCATAATATGAATAATTACGTATTTTCGTACATGTACAAAGAAAAACTGCATTCTCACTATGTAATTCAGAATTAAATGAATCATAATTCTCTAATAAGCTGATTTACCTCGTCGTGCGTGGACACCGCAACGTACATCTTAATAATCATATTAACCACGCCCATGATCCCGAACCCAAACACCATATGCTTGGTCGAATCGTCGATAATCTGGGACGCCGCATCGCCGACCCGCTCCAGGTTAAACTGCATCAACGCCCCCAGAATGGCAATACAGCCGATAAACTCCCGGATGCACTGTACGAGAATCATGGGCGCAAAGGCGGCATCCACGTCCAGCACATGGCACTGCAGAGTGCGATACTGTTTCCGCAGCGCCCCCACCTCCACCTCCACACTCTCTGGATTGTGCCGCAGCCGGTGTAATTCTTTATTAATATTCCCGAAGCCGCGTTTGATTTCGCGGAGCAGCGTCATGACGAACAGCACCGGGAAGGTCTCGCAGATTAATCCGATGCCGATCATCACGCCCATGACCAGTGTGAAGGTGTAGTCGGGCGCCGGCGGACCTAAAAATAAAACGAAACTTTTAAGATGTCAAATCTCAGATTAAACATTTTAGAATCAAACGGACCTTCGCCTGCTTTTTAAATGGGTTCCAATGAAAAGTAAATTTTCTAAAAATAAGTATTAAATTTTAATCAAAATAATTTTATACGAGGAAACCCACGGAATTAAATAAAATTTGACAAAAAAAATTATAAGATAAATAATAAGTTTCTATTTTACTCATTTAACGCTCAAAATAATTTTCGTAAAAAACATAATTAAAAGTAATTTAGGTTCCTGTGCTTTAAATTTCATTTACTTTTGAAACAAATAGCTTTTCAAAAGCGTCTTTAACGTTTTTAATGCCAACTTTATTTGCACACCATTATACAGATGAATCCCGCGCAGATAACCCGTGACGATCTCGTTAATCAACCCAGCAATATTGCGGAACGCGTAGACATACGAGAATAAACACAGCGCAACGTACGCGACCGTCCACAGCGCAATCAGCGCCCGGAAACAATTACGGCACAACATCACATCCCGCGGCACCACCGTGCCCAAACTCCGCTCCAGACGTTCTACCAACACCGGTAACTGGCGGGACTTGAAGATCCCCACGATCAACAAAACCGGGCCCTGGAGATAGATGACCATCTTGAAGAGGAACGACACCAGACTGAAGAACTCCAGCCGGCTTAACTGCTGCCGGTACACCGTAGCTAAACCGCCGGCCCACACCGTGAAGCAGAATAACAGGCCGGTGATGACGCCGGCAGAGTGCACGGCCAGCGGGAAGTCCACCGGTGGGGGCGTGGTCAGGGAGGTCCACGGGACGGTGTAAGGGTGCATGGCGAAGACCTGGGCCAGACGGAATTTGAAGGTGGGGATCAGGCGGGAATGGGAGGAGGGTTTGGTGTCCGGCTTCCAGAGATTGATGGAGGAGACTTCCGGGGTCATGGTTTTATATTCGCACAGAGCTGATGTCAAAACCGGGAAGCAGGCGTCAACATAAAATTATTTGATAAAGACGGCTCTAGTGAGGCTTTACTTCTGCGCGTTCTGCAGTGTGAAACCGTTGGACTGCTTAATACTGTATTATAACGATACACTGCCGCTGTAAGCTGTTCAAGCCTATGTGTTTGCCAGTTGTGCGTTTATTGCGGCGTAGCAATAGCGGAAACGGCTTGTTCATGGCAAGAAATGTGTGCATTCCTGGATGTAATATTTAATTAACCGTGTACTTGAGTTTGCGTAGGTGCGCTGTTTAGCGGAGCGGGGAAGGCGTCGGTAAAGGTCAAGCACTCTATTGGCCGGAATCTATTGCAAAAGTGCTGTCATCGAGTTTCGAGTTTTCCCGAAATGTCCTCCGCGTTTCAAAATGGCACGTCTAATATTGACTGTGATGTTATGAAATAAGGGCTCATAAGAAGGCAGCGCTGCCGGTTATTGAAACTGCATTGGACATCCATAACGCGGGAGCTGACGCCGCAATTTTAGTTTTATTAGAGGAAAATTACATACTATCTGTACAGTGCAGCGCACAATGTTTATTCGTACCAGCGGTTGCTTACATTGAAAAAATGATTTGCCTGTTGTTTTTTTATAAAGCTTAAACGTTTGTTTCTGATGTGCGTACGTTTTCTTCTTCAACATTGTAGCACAGAAAGACAGCAAAAATCTGTGACGGAAACGAAACGATGCAACAACAACACGGAGAACATTTTTAGTGTGCGTAGGTACAGCAGGTAGACGCTGCATCCAAAGTTATTTGCACTGAAAGAAAATAGATATCTAGAGTTATATTAATAAATTATTTTAAGTAAAGTGAGCCTGTATACAAACTCCAGTGTCATAATACGTAACTGCCTTTGTGCAGTGAAGCCGGAAATCGATATTGTCGACCCGACGTCATAATGGGCATCAGCCATCAGTGCAGACTATTTACTGCTGGGAATTCCCTTGCTGCCTGACTGTTGCGACATGGACAGGTCTTTGGGCCGCACCGGTGAACCTGACCCGCGGCATATTAGATTTGTCAACTGTACGTATGTTTGCACAGGATATGTCTATCGTTGTACGGACTGGCAGTAATTGCTCATATCTCCTTGTGCTAGTTTCCAGTTTCCACACGTGTTTGCTTTTTGTTTAATATCAATGATGCTGATATTTTTCAGCACTACCTTTTCAACACTGGAGCACAAAGACGAAAATCGTGGTGCAGAAAGTCGCCGAAATCTACACTCAAATTTTAACGGAAATTTAGCAAGGACGATCGCTAAAGTTATTAACGTACAAGTTTACAGTATTGAAAATTATTTTTATATTTCAGAAAAAGTGTCTGGGTAATCTACATACCGTCCAGGCATCCCTCTTAATCCTAGGAAATACTGGGGGGAAAAGCGAAATTTACTCGTAGAACTAGCAGTGATTCACTGTGGGTGCACTGGGTGGTAAGTGACACTGGTAACCACCTATTGCACGAGCGCGATCAAGTAATTACAAAAATAATAAGCGATCAGATACTAGTAATTAATAAGTAACTACAAAAACTGCCGCACTTGCTGTACTACGCTTCACACTAATTTTAAATCTGAATGGATCGAATGTTTTAAACTTTTAATGCACAGAGCCGAAGCAGTCTCAGTAGGGCTGTATATAAGCCTTGTTTCCACCTCTGACTGAAAAATTCAAATAAGCTTATACAAAAATGTAAAATGTCAGAAACAAGTAGAATTTCTGGTGGGCTGTTTTGACAAACAAAACAAATAAATGTACGACACCAAAACTGATTTTCACAGCACCTTCGACGCACTATAGCAGCGATATCGCCGTCTAATAAACCGGCTGATTACACCAGTTCTGTACGGCTCAAGACAAGTCAGTTGTTGGTCTAGTTTATAACCGGTTTTTTTGCCGGTATACCATGGTGCGTGGACGAACTTGTGCGCACTCAAACACCCGCTGCATTATCCAGTCATCGATCTTCCATGACTGCCAGCATCCCATAAAATGCGAGTACGACTGCTCCCGCACCACACCGCTGGCACTGGTACAGATCAGGGCGCGGTTCTCATCCGTGTCACCGACATAACCATGGACAATGTCAATCCCCAAAGAGGGAATCTTTTCCGGGAGACCCGTAAAGTTGCCGAAAATCCCGTTGATGGGGAGACGCAGCGGGAGGAGGTGGGTATGCAGCATAACCATCACCGGCTGTCCGTTGTCCAGCTGTGACTGGATATCCGTCCAACCCGCATTTTCCTTCACGACGTACTCGTAATCCTTTTCGAAGGTGTTCATCCAGCCCACCAAATCCGGGAACGGTGCGCCCACCGGTTGTAGACCTTTGGTGAACTTGGTCATAAATTCATCGTTATTGATAAAGAAGGGCGCCATGGCTTTTATCATGGGATCGGTAACTCTAACTGTACCGGCATCAAGGATTTCCAGTAGTAAGTCTCGGTATTTTTGTTCCAACGGTTTTCCGGGAGTGAGCGCTTTTGGACTTTCTTTAATCAACTGTTCAGCGTCGTCACTTTTAAAAAAAGGAGCTTCGAAATGCGCCAGGAAACGGACCGCACAATTGGCGCTGTTACTCCATGGTAAGTTCCAGGAAATGTTTTCGAAATCGCTTTCACCCTCGACTTGTCGTGGTAGTAGGCTGTTATTTTTCAGTCGTATCACGTGTGGCTCATACGAAACTGCAATAGATACAAATTTGTAACTGAATTTGTTGCTACGCTGCTTTACAGAGTAATTAAACTAATGGTATGTTCTCTTATACGTATTACTAAGGCGTAGTAATAACCCGCATACAAACGCGCAAGCCAGTTCGAGCCGTAAATGTCTTCACATGTGTAAGTACGCTTTGAATGCAATAGCTATATAAAGCCGCTTTTAAACGGAATCGCTCGTTATGGCACGGAATATACGCTAAGGAGTTTGGGCCTTGCATTCGCAAATTTTAATCAAAAATGACCGTTTTAATTTTTCTGTCTTTCGACGGTCAGATTTCTCAGTACGCTGGTGCGGCCTCTGTGGAGCGCGTTCGTTTCGTCGGCAGAAATATCCTTGAAGCCACCGAGAAGCCTCGATCTATCTGTAGTGCTTTTTATAAGCATAGCAAAAGTATGGTTGTTGTTAGGTGAACTGCTGATGCTGTGCCGAGTACAATGACTATGGGCCCTAGATATCGCTGAGAATTTTAGCTGTTTTTTAACGTTTAAATGAATCTAGCGCAGACTTTTCTGTAATGTGGAAGGGTTGCTCCAGTAAACACACTAGCGATGCGAAGTATGTTGTTGGACAACACTGCGACTGACCCTGCAGCTATCCAGAACGCTTACCCCCATCCAAATATCGAATTCCTGGATCGCTGTGGATCCAGGGATCGTTCTGTAAATCTTTAGCGCTTGGTCGCTTCGCCGGATCCTCGATTAGGCAGCGCTGAATAAATGACCTTAACAGTGGTTGCAGACTGCGCGAGACATAGGGTCGTCCGCCGGTACGGAGGAAGTCATTCAGTTGCGCCACCTCCTTGACAGCATTGACGGCACTTTCGTCCTTCCTGTACTTTTTCACCTCCAGACGTTCCTGATTGGGCTTTACAAAGTACACACTCTGGTACGTCACCAGGTCCAGAAATGTGCAGCCCAGGCTCCAAATGTCAGCGTTCCGCTTGACATGGACATTGTCGGTATCGTTGCGCAGTCGTTCCGGGGAAAGATAACGCAGTGTGCCGACGAGCTGTGTAGCATTGAGAGCGGTTTTGTTCGTGGTACCTTCAGGCACCTGCACAAAATCATCCAGGTCGCCGATCTTGGCCAGCAGCTCACCGTCGGCGTTCACGTCGATGAAGATGTTGTCCGGTTTGAGGTCTCCGTGGAAAATGTGCTGGCTATGGATATGCGCCACGCCGGCAACGATGTCTTTAATTAATCGGTGCAGTGTCGACCATTCGGGTCGGGACCTCGAGAACAAATTGGCCAGACTATCCACTGTAAAAAGCAAACAAGGCTTTGCGTTCAAAAGCTTCTGTACAGTGCATTCGGGACCTAACGCAACTTTACAGGTCATTCTATTCGGAATATTGAATTTTAGCAAATTGGAGAGAAATCTGAGCGGCTATGAAGCGTTCGTCCACGTTTTCAGCAGTTCTTCCAAAGGTCAGCTCTTCTCAGCGGTAGGTAGCTGAGTAGCTCTAAACGTGCGTAAATACAGTAATATGGTAAAATAAAAATAATCACATTTTACTGGGCCCACTTACAGCGGCACCATTCCATTAAAACCACCAAATGTGCCGGTTTTGTCAGCGTTTCCGGTAAAATTTCCACATGCAGATAGCGTATAACGTTGTCATGCCGGATACTCCGCAGCAGCTCCCACTTAGCCTCCAGCTGCTGCACATCGTCCTCATCCCGCAGGAGGATCTCTTTGAGGACATAGCGTCGTGGTTTGGCTGTTGCTTCCGCTTCGGGAACAATATTGTCGCCTTTAACAAGCCAAACCTTTCCACGATTACCGCCGGGGAATTGCTTAATCTTTGCATAGTGAAATCGTGGCCATCTATAGTCAGCGTCCATGATTGTGGAGGTGTGCTGGGTGCTTCAGTGTTAGAGATTTCCGGGGCCATAGCTTTCTTTAATTAATGATAAGAATGTATTCAGGTGTTTTGCTGAAATTAGCGCAAAAACGCTGGCAATGAATTGTCAAGTGTCGACGAAGTTGAGGGAAACCACTTATGTTGTCGCTTCTGGTTAAATTCTAAATAGCGGTTAAAAGGAGCACGCATAATGCACTTTACCGCTTTTATTTATGGCTTTGTTGACTTTGTGAGCAAGCTGCACTTTAAGATTTGCCGCCCTATTTACGTCGCATTAATGCGATAAAATGACTCATTTGTGCAACAATGCAGTGTTACTGGCCGCGAATACTTATCGATCCGCCGTGGCTAACCTTAGTTTGTGAATATCCAATGTACGTCGATAAGAATGCGCGAGAGCCCCCCGTTTAAAGGCTTGGCTATTCAATAAAGCAATCAATCAATCGTAAGTAAACAGTGAACGGCAGAGATAATTATACGTTTATGTGTTTTAGGTTGCGCTTATCTTATTATTCCTCAGGTTTAATTACGATTTGTTAATAAAACTTGGAAATTTTACAAAGGACATTCCAAAAATAATTTTCCCTATTTTGTATCTCCCGGCATTAACGCATTCAGCTAATATCATCCATATTGTTGCAAACGTCCTTCATTAGCAAACTGTATAAAGAAAGTTATTTTGTTTAATTACAATCAAATGGGGAAGAAATACCAAAAGAAACACCAAAGGGTTTTCAAAGTTTTTCACGTGATTTTCCCGGACAGTTTTTGCTACTTTTCGCAATCTTTCTGCTCATTTTCCTTGATGCATAAAATATATTTAGGTTAAGAATTCTTTCCTCTTACAAAATAAAGTTTTGAACAAAATGTCCTATTCAAACCACTTTTCTAGAAAAATAAGAACTGCTTGGGACTAGGTGTCAAAATCAGAAAGCATCGCAGCATCCAGACGGTAAAAAAACAGAAAATTTCATGAAAACATTTGCTGTTGTCGGTGGAATGCAAACTTTCTTGGTATCTGAGATGCGCACGACTGGCCATAAAATGTGCTTTTTATCGATGGGAAGCATCATGAATTTATAAAAGCGAAACGGCTGGAATAAGGGAATTTCGGTGTCTTACGAAAGAAAAATGTTTACTTTTAATCCTGAGCTTTTCAAAATGTTCTGCCATCGCAATAATATCAAGCACTAAATTTGCAGTTGATACTTTAAGTTTTTTGTTGAAAACATTGCCAGGTCAGAAGTTGCAATAAAAAGAATAATTTTCAAAAAAGGTGCTGAAAAAAGCGCAAAAGCAGCTAGCAACATTTCGTTTTTCGTTTGGCAAGTTCTTCTTCGATTCTTTTGATTCTTATTTCTTTACATAGTTTACATAATGGGTTATCCAGCAAAAATTATACCATTTGTGTATAACCTAAAATCGCAGGGAGACGGAATAGGGAAAATTATTTTTGGAATCTCCTTTGTATGTGTACTACGTATAAGGCAGTACAGTTATTCGGTTTGTCTTGTTTCGAAATGTTTTTTTGCGTTCAGAAATTGATTCCCGGTCACTTTATAAATTAATAATTTTCCTTGATTTACTGTGCATTCGATGCATCATCGTTGGACTGACAATATGAGATAGTTAGACTGTTTACTGACTTGATCGCTACCTGACCTACTGAAAATATTGACACAAGCATCGGCCGGCGATAACGTGACCCCAGCCGATTGATTTTGATTGTTTCTCGGAATGAATGGTCTAGCCAATGTGATATAAATGTTGCACCTAATGCCGGGGCTCCATCACGCATTTCATGAAATCTGGCGGCTGTTCTATTTGCATCGCAACGGTATCAAAATGGCGTTCACACCCGGCAAGCAAACAATAAGTGTAACTATCAACGGTAAACCGCACCATTTTAAGTTGGTAAAAGTTTTGGATTCGGAAAAAAAAGTCAAGCTCATCGAAGAAATTGTTGACGGTCAACTGCTGGACGGTGAACCGGTGCGGGATAGGATGAAACTGGTGATGAAAGACGTGGAGATAAAGCTGTCCACGGATGCGGCTGCCCGGGCAACAACCCTCCGGACACTGCGAGAATCGTGGAAGCGAATGTGCCGCGTTCAACACTGTAATGTTCTGCAGTGCATCTCTGCCACTTTGAGCGAACCCGGTTCCCAAGAGATCGTGATGAGCGGCACCCAAATCATGGAGTACAGCGATAGTACGTGTTGCATTACACTTTTAATTACTTAATAACTTTGACCTATGGTTCTCTGCTAATTCATTCGATTTAATGTCCTATATCTGCATCTCCTTAGACCTTAGCCATTGAAGAAAATTAAATATTCTAGGCTAGTAAACTCACCGGAACTCGTAAATCCTAGTACTACGCACGCTAGAGAAGCAATACATCACAGAATTGTTGTAAGTTAGTACGGGCATGAATTTCAGTGGGCGATTTAAAGCAGCACATGCAGCACCAAAGGAAGACGACACCCATCACCATGGACCAAGTGAAAAACTACAGCTACCAAATACTACAAGGCATTGAATACCTACACTCAGCGTTCAACCTGGTCCACGGTGATCTCAAGCCGCAGAACATTATCGTCTTTCCTGATCCCAGTCGGCCGTACGGTACGGTTTTAAAGATCATCGACCTGGATGACCATGCTGCGCTGGACTATTCGCGTACAAAAACGCTGCAGACTGGAGCGAAGGTCGTCAGTGGTACGCTATGCTACATGTCGCCGGAGCTGCTGCAGATCGGCAGCGGAGGGAAGAATAAAGTGGGTCGACTGACGGATATCTGGAGTTTTGGTTGCATTATCCTGGTACTGCTTAGCGGTGAACAACAGCTCAAATTTGCGTACTGTGCCGACCGCATTTTCACGGATCCTCTCGACCCGGCATTGCAATGTACGGCATTTCAGACTGTCGTCGATCCGGAGGACTTTCGACGTAGAGGCGGAATGACCATGCCGTTGCTGCCAGGGAGTCTTACGGATAAGAACTGTCGTGATTTTTTAAAGCAGTGCCTGGCAAGCGATCCGCAGAAGCGTAGTAGGACCGCCATATTGCATACGCATTCGTGGCTGATTCATGAACATGAACGTTCCCTTACTGCAAGAGGTACATGTATTTATCTACATTCACCTAAAAAAATAAAACTAAGAAAAGTCACAATCAATTAGAAATTTCTCCATTAGGCTAGCATGATATCGCTGTTAGTAGAGTTTGGCTGCTGTAGTTCGATAATAACAATAGTTAAAGTACTGGTACCTGAAAATACTGCTACAGAGTTCGACAATATTGAATGAAAAGCACTTCAGGCAGTCACTACTGCTGAGTCAATTTTACATACGGATCTGTATTAAAACTAGAAAGAAATAGAAAAAACTGAAAACGCCATTCGATTCAGCATACTTAAAGAGAATGATTTCATATAAAATCTGTATTTTTGCGCTGTTGCAATATACCTACAGTACTTATCATGTTTCGACGAAATACAGAATCTGATGTTATACTTCGCTTTGTCTCATATTCCGGTCACTTTAATTTTACGGTTTCATATTCCGGTCACCAGATAGCCAAATTTCCTGACAAAACGAAGCTCACACAGATCATTAGTTTTCATAAAAACGACTTCTCTCATTAAATTTGAACGTAAACACCAATAAATTTTTATGAGAAACAAAACAAATAGCAGAAACTCTGAATCGGGTGAGACGCAAAACACTGGACCTTTCCGTCATACAAATGCAATTTCAAATTTTAATGGACTCCCGAAAAGTGTGAGGGTGGGGTGGGCTTGCTCAGCGAACTGCACATTTGACGGGTGGCTAAAGGCAGTGCGATCAGCAGCTATTCATCTACATAGTACGCCAAATGTGCGGTCGCACCAGTGACTGGTGACCGGAATATGAAACCGTACACTCAAAGTGACCGGAATATGAGACAAAATGAAGTACAGTACTAAAAACTGTTCATTCGAAATCAAAATTATTAAAGTGGCCGTGGACCACAAGAAACGCGGAGGCGAAGCCGAAGCTGTTTCTTGTACATTATATAATAATTACACAGAATTATAGCAGGTCTTTATTTATATTGTGCATGGATTTTTCAAACAGGACTGACGCATACCAGCAAGTTCTTCCTTCATCGCGAGCCAAGCTGGCCGGGAACCGTTGTTGACTGTCCACCAAAAGAAAAGCACTGGGTTCGTGGACTACACAATGGTGGTACTATTCTGACGCACTCTTTACGTGCACTATGTCAGTACCCGGTTTACGAGGACGCCAGGCAAACCCTGCTCGCCGAACTGCGAAGTCAACCCTTTAGTGAGAAGCAAAAAGAAATGTGTGTCAACCATTTGGCGGCTGTCATTACTACCCTGAAACCCATCGAGCAAGAGACAGCAACACAAATAAAAGAATTTTTTGCAAAAAACAAGGAAGGTTGTGCGACGATACGGCCACTGTTTCCCGTGTATTTGTCGCTTCCCGTGTTGTGCGATTTCCTCAATAATTTCTCCGCGGGACAGTATGGTGCATTGATCGACCCGAGCTCGGTTACCCAGTACGCGTACAGCGTTAAGTCAAACCTGGAGTGGAAGGACATAGAGAGTGCTCTGGATAAGAAGCATCCCGTTATTTGCCAGATCGCTCAGAACGAGATCGATCAAGACAGTACCCTGGTGACCGGTGCCAGAATGTTGTCACTGGGTCATCTCTGTCCGCACAAGCTCATTGAGCTGGACTTTGTCATTCTGACAGGATACTCGAAGACAATGAGTGGAGATACGTATGCCTCGTACACCAAAGCGGAAGGCGATACCATGGAGATGAATGTAAAGGATTTTGAGGCGATCTGGAACTGGCGTGCGAGTGATTCGTTGCTGCAACAGTATCTGACGCTGGAGGATGTCCGACCTGCGTCCGCTCTCTTTCGATCAGTAATCTAAAGGTTAAAGGCTAAAGACCACATTATGCTCGTCTTCTGCGCTCAGTTTTTTGGATAACATTTCGTTTATTTTATTAATTTATCTATAGTCAGCGGATGTATTTGTACATGCGATTATCACTAGGATAGCTTGTTTACAACTTTACATACAACATACAAGTACAAATTGTACATGGTATTATTTTCGAGGTATGTGCCTTCATACGTCATGGTATTACATGGCATTTCATAATAACGGTGTCATTGCGTTTTTGGATACTGTGGTAGATAGTACTAGATACTTTATTCTACACTTTTTGGAACAGCATGCTAGAAAAGCGGAGCGTGAACGGCTCTAGCGCTCAGTGGGTTCACTATTTTGTGGCTTTTACAGTTTTACTGAAGCGTTTTACAACTGCGTTAGTTCGTATTCAGCAGTACAGGTACGTCCAGGTACTCTGTACTTAAAGGGAGGTCGAAGCGATTGCATCCAGTAATTTAAACAATACGTACCGTAACACGGCCAGCATATTTTGTAAACATGAATTGTACCATGGTGATGGAAGCATCTCTTGGAGGATCCTCTGTACAGCGCCGTCGTGTCGACGCCGAGAAATTTGCTTGACCTTCTGTATAGTGAAAACGCGGCTATCTATAGATAGCGTCCCCGACTGTGGGACCGTAATGAGTGCGGCAGTGCCAGAGGTTTCCGAGGCCATAGCTTTCGCTGTGGTCAACTGTAAGGAGTGTGTTCAGATGTTTTGCTAATAGTGTGCAAAATGTTGGGTGGCAAGATTAGAATCAAGCGTCGACTAAGTTGAGGAAAGCCACAAAAACGACACTTTTAATTGGCGAACTGTAAGTAGCGATAAAAGGGGTAAGCATAATGGACTTGCCGCTTTTATTTATAGCTCTATTTATTTGGCGGGGAAATTGTACTTCAAAATCTGCCGTCGTTAGTTCAAAAACTCAGTGCCATATAAATGACTAATTCGTGCGCACAACAATGCAGTGTCGTTGGCTGCGAATACTTATCGGTTCGCGGTGACTAACCTCAGGTTTGTGGATAACCGGTGTGCTTTGATAAAGATAGGCGAGTGTGCCACGATAGCGGGTTCGGCTACTCAATATAAAATAATCAATCAGTCACTCAAAAATCAACACTGAATCGTAGATCGAATTATACAAGAATATATTTCCAGTTGCTGTTATCTTGTTATTGAAACAGTTTTCCTTTGATCTGCCAACGAGTGACAATAAACCTTTACCATAAGCTATTGGGTCAAATCATCAGCCAATAACGAAAAAAATACCGAGATTTTAATTTGTACAATCGGGACTGGTGTCACTGTATCACCACCAGTACCTATATCATATAATTATGCAATGCTGCGGTGCTTCCCTTTCTTGGCAAAAAATGAGCACCAGGGCAGTTACAGTATAAAGTCGATGCAGTTACAAAACTTACTCAATTGTACGGCGTGACTGCGCTAAATTACTGTACATGCTTTCATCAGCAATACGAAATTTTAAGCGTTATTCAGTTAAGTGTGCTTTTCCATTGGGTTGGTTTGAAATTCGGTCACGATATCTTTAAATTAACGATATCAGCCTAATCCGCCTGCAGAAGGCTGGTCATATAATCTCGGTCTGACCTAGACAAAATATTGACAAAAGCATCGACCAGCGATAACGTGGTCCTTGTAAACCTTCGTCGTTTCTTAGAATGAATGATCTACCGTAGACAATTTGCTATAAATGTAACACCAAGCGCGAGTGTTCCAATCACACTTTTCCTCACAGATCTGCACATTCTGGTTGACTTTATGTCGCAGCGGTGAAATGGCTTTCAACGCCGGATATCTTAGCGTACCTATCAACGGCCAGCCGAGCCACTTCAAGTTTGTCAGATTTTTGGATTTTGTTAAAAATGTCAGTCTGATTGAAGAAATTATCGACGATCAATCGTTGGGCGGAGAACCGGCGAGGGAAGGAAGGAAACTGGTGGTAAAGAAAGTGGATATTCAGCTGTCGGGAGATGCCGCTGCCCGCTCGAAAGCCATCAAAACGCTCAGAGAATCCTGGAAGCGAATGTGCCGCATGCAGCACAGCAATGTTCTGGAGTGCATCTCCGCCACACTGGAGGAACCGGGTTTCTTTGAGACCATGATAAGAGGCACTCAGATCATGGAATACAGCGATAGTATGTAATCGTCGTAATATATCACTAGTCAATAATTGTATCATAGCTTATGTATTATCGAGCCTTGCATTTTTCTTCATGATGATGATTTAAAAACTAATAATTATTGGAACCTGTGATTCTTTTTGCCAAAACACTTACGACCGAAACACCATTGGTTCCCTGAAAATACTTCGCCTTCACCTTTTATTCTCTGGGAATACTTAAATCGTGTTCTTTTTTTGCTATTTAAAAATCGTGAACATTAGTTTTTTAAACCCATTTTTTATCCGTGACCTTTTGTTCATTCGAGTTCATGTTTTTCAGAGGGCGATCTAAAGCAGCACTTGGAATGGCAAAAAAAGACTGCGCTCTTCAGCATGGACCAGGTAAAAAATTACAGTAATCAGATACTGCAGGGACTCGAATACCTGCATTCCGCGTTCAACCTGATCCACGGCGATCTCAAGCCGCAGAAAATTATCGTCTTCCCGGATCCCAGTCGGCCGTACGGTACGGTCCTGAAGATCACGGCCCTGGAAGATCATGCCGTGCTGGATGATTCGCGGACTAATACGCTGCAGAGCAGGACAAATATTGGCTGCGGTACATTGCGCTACATGTCACCGGAGCTGCTGCAGATTGGTAGCGGCCGGGAGGATAATGTGGGCCAGCTGACGGATATCTGGAGTTTTGGCTGTATTATTTTGGTCCTGTTGAGCGGTGAGCAGTCGTTCCAGTATGCCTACTGTGCCGACCGCAATTTCACGGACCCTCTCGACCCGGCACTGCAGCGTACGGCGTTTGTGACCATCGATGATCCGGAGAAGGACTTTCGATACAGGAGCGGGGCGGCCATGCCGTTGCTGCCAGTAAACCTTGCGGATAAGGACTGTCGGGATTTTTTGAAACACTGCCTGGCCAGTGATCCACAGAAGCGCAGCCGGACAGCCATGCTGCACGCACATCCGTGGTTGATTCATGAACATGAAAATTACCTCATGGGAAGAGGTATGGTTCGAAAACTATTTCTGGCAGTAATGCATAGCTAGCCGCCGCAGAATCAGACCATCAGATTTGCTCAGAAAACGTGGTGTTCGCCACATGCGTACGCTTTATACGATGCATAAAATCGCTTGGTGGTATCTGTAGAAAGATATCAGTGTTCTGCATCGTATAAGTGGTAGTGAATTACTACCACATCTATGATTATCGGCAACTGCACATGCTGAACTCACATGAACACCTTAATTTTGTAGAGTACGATACTGTTTAATATACATTCACAGCCGGGAACTGAAAATTCTCTGCAATGTAATGCGTTTATTGATGTTAGACCTTTTATCGTAATTTGCACGCATTTTTCGAACAGGCTTAACGGACACCTGCAAAATTTTCCTCCAACGTGAGCCAAGCTGGCCGGAAGCCATGGATGAATGTCCTCCCAAAGAACAAAACTGGGTTCGTGGACTACACAGTGGCGGTGCCATTCTGACGCATTCGCTACGTGCACTATGCCAGTACCCGGTTTACGAGGACGCCAGGCAAACCCTGCTCGACGAATTGCGAAGTCAACCGTTTAGTGAGAAACAAAAAGAAATGTGTGTCAACCATTTGGCAGCTATCATCGTTACCTTAAAACCCGTCGAACAAGAGACAGCCAGACAAATTATGGGCTTTCTTGCCAAAAATAAGGAGGGTTGTGCGACAATACGGCCACTGTTTCCGGTGTATCTGTCTCTTCCCGTGTTGTGCAATTTCCTCAATAACTTCTCTGCGGGACTGTATGGCGCATTGATTGACCCGAACTCGGTTACTCAGTACTCGTACAGCGTCAAGTCAAATCTGGAGTGGAAGGACTTGGAGAGCGCTCTGGACAAGATGCATCCTGTTATCTGCCAGATCGCTGACAACGAGATCGGTCAAGACAGAACACTGGTGAGCGTTGCCAGAATGCTGTCACTGGATCATCTCTGCCCGCTCAAGCTCATTGAGCTGGACTTCGTTGTTCTGACTGGCTACTCGAAGACAATGAGTGGAGATACGTATGTCTCGTACACCAAGGTGGAAGGCGATACCATGGAGATGAATGTAAAGGATTTTGAGGCGGTCTGGAACTGGCATGCGAGTGATCCGTTGCTAAGACAGTATCTGACGCTGGAGGATGTCCGACCTGCATCCGCAATCTTTCGATCAGTTATTTAAACAATGAAGCTTATGTGCTGGTTTTTTGCCGTCAGTTTTTGGATTAAATTTTGTTTCCTGCCGATGTATGAACATGTATTGTATAGTACTGGGATGGACATGCACTAATCATGCACCTCTCGGATAGTTTACAAGTACATGGCATTTCATAAAATGGGTGCATGCTATTATAAGTACTTCAACAAATGATTTTCGTGAGTACAGCTGAACCACTCCATTAAAACTACCAGAAGCGCCGTTTTTTTGGCAGTTGCTCAAGCATTATACACGCTCGTCCCGAGAACGAAAACATCAAAAGGTTTACTGTAATGTAATAGAGCACAGCAAGCTAAGGTCAGCAGACACCCGATGGTTTCATTAACAACTGAATTACTCATATTCTGTAACATTTTCTGGTATTGTCCTCTGGTCGTCTTTTACTTCGGTGCAGATAACGCAGAGAAATGATGGAGACTGGCAATTTATTAGATCGCTCAAAGAGCTATGAGTTGATAAAACTTCTGCAGAATGAAGCATTTCAAAAGAAATGTAAAGCTTCGGCCGTCTGTATTATGAGCCAACCGGGGCATTTTCTTAGTACTCGTATTATTACAGGCGTAATAAAAAGCCATTGCTTTGGAAGTTAATTTCGAGCTAAGTTCATTCATTTTGTAATACGTTGCTTAAGTTATCACTAAACATTATTAGCGGATGGCTGTTAATCATATAGCATTTGCGCTAAGCACGTTTGCAGTGCCACTAGAAAATTGTTGGACTGGACACTGGACAGTTCGAGGCGACAAAACAATTTTGCGTTCTTGCTGTCACATTAACTCTACTCTAGCACGTCGTCCCGCCCAGTGGAAATCATAGTAAGACCGTGTTATGATAAAAACATTCCAATCCTACAGCTTCGCTCGACGAGACAAGAAGCTTCGCTTGACAACGCCAGCACACTCGTATATCTTTCTAAACCGTTCATCCTCCAGCTCCCAATCCCACAAATCCATGAAGCTGGCGTATGACCGCTCCCGTACCATTCCGTCACTGGATGTACAGTAGACGATGCGGTTGTCCGGCGTGTTGCCGACATATCCATGCACGATATTGGTATGCAGCGCCGGTACAGCATCCGGAAACCCCTAGCTGCTAGCCAGTTGTTGCAGGTGCGTCTGCACCGGAAACTGGCCGCTCTGATACATCACCAACACCGGTCGCCCACCATCCAGTTCCCGCTGAATATCCATCCAATCAGCGTGCGTCTGCACAACGTACTCGTATTCGTCTTCGAAGGTGTTCAACCAGCGCGCTAGATCCGACAGCGGTGCACCCAGTGGGGGTAATCCGGCACTGATAACCCTGATCATACCTTCATCCTGCAGTACCATATTCGCCATGCTGCATACGAACGGGTCCTGTGTGAATTCCGGAATGATGTCCAGCAACAAGTCGCGGTATTTTGGTTCTAATGGCTGTCCGGGGTTGATGGCTTTGGGGCACTGTTGGACCAGTTCATCAGCGTCGGCCAAATTGAACCTAGGTGCCTCAAAGTGCGCCAGGAATCTGACGCCGCAGACGGCGCTACAACTCCATGAAAAAACTCCCGAAGCTTCGTCGGCGGCGTAACGTGGCAGGAGGTTGTGTGATTTCAGTTTTATCAGCACCGGGCGCCGCATAACTAGAATGTTGACAGGAAATGAGTTTATTAATATTTCAAAGGAGTCTGTTATATATGCACATCAGATATATTATTGTGAATGCATGCAATATTGTGATGTTTTTCTTTGTACGGGCCTAATGTTAATATAAATAACTGTATACCTCCATCAATGCGTTTCTCTATCGGATCAGACAGGATCCACGGGTAGCTCAACAGTTCTTGAAATCGTGGTCTCTGTAGAGCGCTTTCAGCCAAAAGGTCCTCCATCATGTCTGCCAGCGGTTTTGGTACATAAATCGGAATCCTGGGGCGTCCCCCTTTATGGAAAACCTCCACTAGTTCCTCTCGAAGGGCGTCCAGTTCCGCATCTGAGTTTTCTCCGCTGTCCTTTGGGATTTCCAGTCTTTCGCCATCCTTCTTGACCAGCCACAAACTGTTCTCGGCGACCAAAAATAACAGCACACAACCCAAGCTCCAGATATCACCGGCTTCGCCGAGAAGCTTCTGACTGAGAATACCGGCAGTGACTTCGGCGTTATCGTTGGTGAGCCATCGCTGTGAAGCGCTGTCTGCTTCTTTCACAAGATATGATTTCTCAGGGCGAAGGCGCATGAAGGTGTCCAGAAGGCTAGTAGTGTCGGCAGCTACTACGTCACTGGACGCTTCCACCATATCCAAACCCCCGATCTTTGCTTGGAGTTCACCATGTGCGTCAATGTGTAGGAAGGTATTTTTCGGTTGAAGATGCCCGTGAATAATTCTCTGAGCGTGCAGATACTGTACACGATGCCGTTGATTAGATTACCACTTAGGCGATGCAATGTCGGCCAATCCGGTCGGCTTGACCGATAAAACTCGGCCAAACTTCCATCTAAATGCCGAAAAACATCATTTCATGTATCTGAGAAACTTGCTGTATTTTAAGGAGCGGGTTAATAATACTTTCAGATAATCAGATAATGCTGCTGTCTTTTAAATAATACTGCCATTTGCCAAAAATGATATTATGCGCAATAACGTGCAGTGCAAATAAATACCAGCATATTTAAACTTACGTTGACACCATTCCATTAAAACGATGACCTTTGACTCGCCGGTTAATTCTTTATTCACCATGCCACAATGCATGTATTTCAGGACATTATCATGGTACAGACTTTTCAGAAGATCCAGATTGTCCTGCAGCGCACGAAACTGCCAGTCCGATATGGCGCGGCTATTCCATGTTTTCAAGGCGAAGCATTGTGGCGCTGCATCGTCTAATTGTCCTTCAATGAGACTTACCGAATTAGTTGGCGATTCGTGTAGAATTTTCAGTTGACGCATGTTCTCATACAGCGAACTCGATGGCATCACGGAAGCTATTTTCAGATGAGGAAAGTTTGATTGGTGCCGCAGCGTTTTTGGCTTAGACACCGACAAGTCAGTTCGTGATACCTATTACTCGTAGTGATTCGGAAAAATCTTGAGCGTTGTCGTCAAGTAATAAACAGGACAACAACTAAAAGCCAACTTTTGTATTTATTAACGAGAGAGTTTAATTTCAACGACAACGACCGCTTTTTGTCATGGTTTTATATCTACTGTAGAGCAGGCCGTACAGATAAAGTGTGAGTTTGCGCTGGGAGTGGATGTTTACTGTACACAGACCCACTTTCTTGGCCATTGATATCGGTGCCTAATTAATTTTGCTTAAAAGTAGCTTAGTTCGCTAACTACCGCGATCTGTGTAGATACCGCTGGTTTGTTGATTGACAACATTTGACCTCCAATGTTTATTCTGAACGCTAGCAATCAAAGCCTACATCAATCAAGGGCCAACCCATAATTATTTATAAGAGAATTCTGAGATTATGGCTTAACCTAAGCTTTCCACTCCTTTATCGAAAAGCATGCGCTACACCCTTTATATGTACCGAATTCGACTTGTTTTTTTTATTTATAGGAGACACTGAATTTCACTATTCAAGAAAAATGGCTGATGTATACGAGACTCTAGTTTATCAAACGCTTGTTCGTTACGAGTGGGCGCCATCGTAGACTGAAATATCTAGTTTAGTGCTTTATTTATTTTACCGACGAATCAATTGCTTAACTGCTATGCACATTAACACGAAATTCAAGAAGGGTTTCGGAAATATCTGTTTTTTATATATACAGTGTAACCGTTGTGATCAAAATAAATATGTTTCATGTAATGCATGCTACTGCCAAAGAATTTTGCTAACTCGTGTTTCACTAATAACAGAACTGGTCGATGTAGCGCGACTCTAGCGCTACAAGTATTTGTATTCTCGTGCCAATAATAATATTATTAATTGTAAAGCCCTTAGTGTATGTAATCTGGTAAACAGTCATCGCAGAATGCAAACAGAAATGCTGCGTGCTATACTATTGTACTACTGTATTTGCTTTTATTTTATTATCTTGGGGTACATGATTAACAACGACAACGCGTGCGATAAGAGACTATCAGCACGCACAACGGCGATTCGTTCTTGGATTAACCAGACACCTAATGGATAAAAGGTCACTGCAAGGAAGTTGGAGGAGGCCAGTTACTCTACCGAGTTTTGAGAGAGCCAGTAGACTAGCATTACAGCAACGCAGCTGGCAGCATAGATGTCACATGTACAACGTATAACGTGTATTATCAATCAATACCGTATAATATAGGGGGAAATCGATAGCATACTATACACCTTCCCTGTACTGCTCCAGTCATTCGTATGGATTTTCCCGTCATGGCTAAACAGGGGTTTTTAAAAGCGCCACATTTATACCTGCACATTGATTGCTGTAAAGTCGCTTTAGTAGCAAGCGTATCTCGAGATGCGCGTGAGTGATTACCTTCAAACTGCCCTGTATTTCTGGAAAATCTCTTTCCTGTTTTTTACATGAAGATTCACAAAGACCTCAGAGCTAAACGTTAGAAAAACGAGTTTTATGGACTTCCGGCGTGTGACGCGGGTGGCACCGTGTTTTGGCTCAAATTTTGAAAGTTTTCGAAATCTTCTATCCTTTTGATTTTCGATTTTTGGGCGAAAAAGTGGCTTCTTCTGCGCAACGTTGGTTGCAAAATGAAGAATAAATGACGGGAATCAATCTAAGTGTTAAATGTGCCTTTTTGAACCAGATTTGTGCACGTTTCCAGGATTCTGCCTGCGCGACGCACAGCAAAATGCAAATTCTACTGTCACTGCATTGACTGCAGCACTTTGTTGATTATCACTACCGCCTTACACGGTACATGTACCTGCATCAGTGTGCAGGTATAAATGCAGTGCTTTTAAAAATCCCTGTTCAGCCATAACGTGGAATCCATACGGATGACTGGAGCAGTACAGGGAAGGTGTATAGTATGCTATCGATTTCCCCTATATTATATATATCAATATCACATGTATAACGTGTGTTATCAATCAAGGCCCGCTTCTACCTAATTGGAATTCGCATATCGACGGCTGCATTAGAAAAAAAGCTAAAAAGACGACAGATTGAACAGAATGAATTTTTTACAGAATGAAATATGAGTCAGACGCAGATGCCGAGCCAGCAAAGTTTGTACGTAGCAATTGTGACTATTCCTGCTTTTTGCGGCGATACACCGTACTGCCTTGGTACACCTGTGCGCACTGAAACACGCGCTTTATTCTCCAGTCATCCGGTGTCCAATCCCTAATTTCCAAAAAATGCGCATACGAATGCTCGTCTACCAATCCGGTACTGCTAGGAGCCACGCAAATGCAGCCACTGCAAAATAAAATAATAACAAGTTTAAAATTATTAATATTAACGTTGTTTAACCCCTGTTTATTAATTGCTGCTTAATTCCCACGCATCCATTTGTACTCGTACCGAGCCGTACGTTTTAGGCTTACCACAGGTCTTGGAGGCATTAGGTTTCTGCATCCATCGCCGCCGACAACACCAATGCCTGCGCGGTTAACCTGCGGGATTACTGGTGGTGACATGGCCCGAGTGACACGGGAAAACAATGGCGATGACCCAGGGCGAATGACAAGGGGGAACGATGGTGATCGGGTCGGTACACTGCTGCCGTTGTCGTACGTCAAACCGGATGCGCCGAATGCGTACGGCGGCGAAGGGAACGCCGATGCCACCGCATACGAGGACGCCATGGATGTACCGGAAACTGACCCGGCGCGAATGACACGTACATACGGAAACAATGTTGATCGGGCCGGTACACCGCTGTCGTTAATGTCGTTCGTCAAACCGGATGCGCCGAATGCGTACGGCGGCGAAAGGGACGCCGGTGCCGCCGCATACGAGGACGCAGAGGATGAGCCAGAAATTGACCCGACGCGAATGACACGCGAAGACGTTGAAGTGGCACTGCCGTCGTCATCGTCCGTCTGAGTGGATTTCGCAACAACATCGCTGTCGGTTTGCACTTCTTGCGAAACGAATTGGCGCAAAGGGTAACTTTGGCTTGGTTCTACAAGCAAGTTAAAAACTTTTGTCACATATTCGACCACGACCACCTCTTCAAACTCGTGTTAGTGTATCAGCACTTACTCGGTCTCGTAAGGTGTCTACTTAACCAGCAAGCAACCAGCATGCAAATCGCGCAGACTAAAAGTCCAGCAAGAAAATACAACCAGCCATAATCCCCAGATTCGCCTTTAGAACCAGGCAAATCCTCACCCTCTTGTCCGCCGTCGCTATGGGTAGGCATTGCTTCTGAACCCAAATATAACGCACAAGAAAGGGAAAATACTATGATCCAAACGTTTGCCATGATGTGGTCTTTTCGCTAACCTAGATAGGAATTTACTGACTAAATGTCTGTTGGCTAACTCGCCGCACCTGCAGTTCTATGTGCCTCGAAAAAGACAACATTTGCTAATTAAGCCGGTACATCCAGGTACGGTTTTATTGCCCCATTAAGAGCGGATGCGCAGCAATCCATGCATATGTCTCATGGAAGAGACGATGTCTGCTGCTCTCTCTTGAAGAGAAAACGGCGTGGTTCAAGTCGCGCCGACTTTTTTAATGGTATGTCTAACGTGTTACACCTCAATTGTGGAGCTGCACCAGCTGGGGGAGCAATAAAGTACAATATTTAACGATATGATGATTACTTCCGTATCCACTGGACGGGAATTTAAAGGAACTTTGCTACGCTTGGTCGGAAATTCAGTCTCCAAAAAAACTGAAGTAGATGAATATTCATTTCAAATAATTTTACAAATGCCCGCACTTAGATAGCTCACAAGATATGTCTAAGGCTTATTTCACATGTACAAGTACATGTACTCTGTACACGGAAGTAATTTACGCAAGTACGTATCTTATGTTCAACAGTTCAATCACGCATGTGTATCACACAAAGCCATACGTGTACATGGTGATAAATAGTGACAAATTTTTATATTCGCACAAGAGCATCAGGGACATGAATAATAATTTATTAATAATTATCAAGTTCTATGACGCTTAACACTTAACACCAGCACGCTTCGAGACTTTTACTTCCGTGAACGCCTTTTTTGTCATGAGTAGTCTTCGATCTCGTGCAGGTTACATCTGATCGTTAAAGACATTAAGCCTATTAATCAAACAAACAATAAACGAAGAGCAACTCGGGAGAATTTGTTTTAAATTTAGTTTTACGTAATTTTGCGATGATTCTTTTCATCAACAATCGAATTTACATGTTGATAAAACCTAAGAAACTGCAATATGAAATACGATGACGTTGTGAAAAATTCTGCAACCGACTACAAAATCACTGTATTTAAAGAAAATTGATAGAATTTTTGTATTATAATTTGTACGTGTCGGTACTGTACAAACATAACCGGACTGTGTGTTGCGTCGGGACAGATGTGACAGATTTATAGCATTTCGGCGCAACCAGCTGACATGCAAAGTAGCAAGTCAGTATCCCCGTGATGATTATAGAACGAAGTAGAACGAAGCTGTCAACGTTCTGCGCATCGCGCACAAGCGATTCTGCCGCTCAGATCATGAACACGGTATAACGGGAAAGATTCTTCGAAAGAATCTGAGTATAACGAGGTCAAAGGGTCGTCCTGCCACGAGCGTATGAATGTAGTGAAGACGGATGCCGGATTTGGAGCAGGACGAAGCAAGAGTCTATTTAAGCATGATTGTATTCGACAACCACTTCCAGTTTGTAAAATTATTTTGGGCCGTTCTTCCCTATCCCGCCCACCCTTTGTTTTCTGTTTTCTAGAGGGCGAGGGCATGTGACTTGAATTGCTGGTGGTGTTCCTTTTTTGTGTTGCTTGGGCATGTGAAAAATATGATGATTTTGTTCTCGTAAACTTGTAAACTTTGTGCTACTGCTGTTTTATGTTCACTGTTTGTTCGCCAAATTGCCATGAATGTGAGAACGTAGAAGACCCGGCGCACAAACATCGCGCCCAAATGAATAAACCCATGGCTGTTGAGAAGTTCCTTTCCTCTTGCTCCCCGTAGACCGTAGTTATTTTTCGCTAAACAATTTCGGACCAAATTCATCAGTGTGTTTCTATTCACAAGGCACGCAACTGACTGGGGCAATCAGTAAGCTGTACTTACTCAAATAAGTGAAATATTGCCAACAACGGCTACAAGCGATTTATGCCATGACGATTACGAAATTCATGCGTAATGACTTTTGAGAGCAGTACCTACATGTACAATACATAGCCAGGCGACCCATGCCAGGATACTATTGATTAATCAATGATTAATTACTGAATAATTAATGACGGATTAATTATTAATCAATTAATGACGGATGACAAACGTATACGTACTAAGTCTTAGATTTAACCGGAACGTCATCCACGTACTGTAATGCTGTGTACTCTAACAATTGCGCCGTCGTGGCAATTTCATTACGGCTGCAACTGCTACAGCAGAGTAAAATTCAAACGAGTACAAAAGTTTAATGTCAGGAAAGGCTATTAAACACTGGAGTTCCATCCAGTTGAGCGAATTCTGTTCGTGATAAGCGTACACTATTTTGTTTGCTGCATTGCACTACGTATGCACCTTGATTCAAGACTTTAACTGAACGACATGAACTACTCTCTGTACGCTACCCATATGTGCGCTAAAACTTGATTACAGTATTTATGTAAAATGTGAGTTGTGCCACCATCACAAGAACACGCAATTTTCGGGTCGAGTGGTTTTGCCTGTTAATCATAAATACACACCGATCAAAAGACGCTTACGATCAAAAGACGAATTGTTATTGTATTTTTGTATTTTTGTTATTGTATTGTTATTTCATTTTTGTTCAAACAGCCTCTTTTTTAAAAACAAATGTGGAACACTAACTTAAGATAACTGCTCACGCGTCTATAGCTCTGTTTTATTAATTGTTTAAAACATAATAACTATACAGAGAAGCACTATAGCACAGGCAGTGCAGTTTATTTGAGACGTTTGGGTTCAAACTTGAAAGCGTTTTTCCGAACGCGCAGTAAGAAAATACGGATCACATTGTGTTCAGAAATAGCGCTGGCCAGTTTGCAGTTACTGTGTCACTGTAATAATAACAAGTATGCAACTCTTTACGGTGTTTAGCTGTGCTGTGCTCCTTTACTGAGGAAATTAAGAAAAGAGCATTACGGATCAAATAAGGTTGGACAGTGACACATGTTTGTTTAGTTATCATTGCCTGACCTCCAGAAAATATTGACAGAAGCAGGGCAATACGATAACACTAAAGCAAGGCTCGGCACCGCAACCGATAACCGATAAGCAATTGCGATCAAAAGCCTTGAGAATTCGCTGATGAGTCACGTAAAGGGGTTGTGCCGACCATTATCCCCAAGGCACCCATTTGTGCGCAAAGTTCGTAGCTTAGACAGTGCATAAAAGCGGTCGTCCAAGCGATGTATCGGATAATGTTTCGACACGATTACTATCTTCAATACAGTACTGTTACCGCAACTGTCCTAGTCGATATACAGAGTACAATGTAAATCTTAAATTTATTTTCCAAAAAATTTTGTAGATTATATTTAGCTTATACACTGTAGTGGAGACAAAATGGCTCCGGAAGCAGCCAGCACAGCTTCACCCAGTACGTCGGTGCAAATGTGAACGCTGACCAGAAATGGCCGGGTTTTCCGCATGCAGCACGTCAAGCAGTTTGATGTTGGCAATCGCGGTACAGTGTGGCTCGTCAAAGGGGATAATGTGGATAACGAGACAGATACTTCAAAAAACACTCGCTACGTGCTCAAAGAGATCCCTTTCCAAGGAGACGACGTGGCCAAGAAGTAACTGAAGGACAACTGGGATCTCCTGAAAAGTATTAACCATCCCAATGTCATACGTTATCTCCATGTCGAAATGCTACCTCAAACGCCCATAAAACCGGCGCATGTGGTTGTTTTGTTGGAGTGGTGTCGCTGTAAGTGCGTATGTACACTGTACAATATACACCGTAAAAATGCACATTGTACAACTATTTCCAACTTGTATTTCGATGAAGTTCTTTTTAGTCGACATTTTCATGCACAAAATATATCTCTCATAACCAATTAACTATACACGATCAGAAACTATTGTAATGACGATCATTCAATTTTTTGTAACTTTCTCAGGTATGTACAATGTAGGACTAAAATTTAATGGTCGTATAGCCCCATACCCAGCATTCTGGACGCAAACGGTGCAGTGCACTTGTACGAAACGGATATTAAATTTTTGAACTCAGTCGTACAGTGCACTGCGCTGCATTCGTACTGAATGTGAAGAGGTTGGGTATGCGATCATTTTGTCCTAAGCTGTAAAATAAGCACATTAAGCTAATCGCAAAAAAATATCGAAAAGCATAAAATTTTGTTTGAACGCGCACACAGTTTTTGGATTAAAAAACGATAAATATTGCAGTTTAAAGTCTGGCGAACTTGTTACATGAAAGCAGACCCGAAGGATCAACGTTTCACAAACTGACTGTCGACATCCTCCGCGGTACGCTTATTCACGCTAAACGGATTTTCCACGGAGACATAAAATCCGAAAACATCTTCATCGATGTGGACGCCGATGGGGAACTGCAGGCCAAAATCGGTGACCTCGATGATTTCATCCGCGTAGCCGAGAGTACCACCAATAAGACCAACCCAAACGCGGCACAACTGGTAGGCACCGTTCGCTATTTGTCCCCGGAGCGGCTGCGAGGCGACACTAATGTGCCGGTGAGCGTAAAGAGAAACGCCAATATTAGGAGTGTGGGCTGCACTTTCCTGGATTTAGTGACATACCAGTGCGTGTACTTCGTTAAACCCAAAGGAGAACATCTGAAGGTGAAAAAGTACTGCAAGAACGATAGCGAGACTGGGGATGCCTTGAAGAAGTTGGCTGAATTGCGGCATTTTCTGGAGAACGGCGGGCGGCCGTGGGTACCACCTAGTCTGCAGCCGGAATTACGGGCATTTATTGCACGCTGTCTGGCAGAAAATCGAGCACAGCGACCAACCGCAAAAGAGTTACTAGACGACCCATGGATCCACTGCGATCCAGCGATTCGATATATAGATGGAGGTGAGCCGTTTTTCAACTAAGCTGTGGTAAAGAAACTCCTGTGTACGTTCGGGCGGATTGAGCTAGTCCTACAACGGCTACAAGCAGCCTAATATAGTTAAAAATGCTTTATTTCACCTGAGGTACAACATAAATTTGTAATAACATTATAACAGACAACATAAAACATTTTTTACAACATCAGACTTAAAAATTCTTTGTCGTTTTAATAATCCGATAAAAATCGAGACGCAGCCACTTGTTTGTCTGTTTCTCGATGGCCCGTATCATCTTGTGGTTTAAGGCGGTATTTCGTTTTCGCCCCATCTTTTTATTTAAAGCGCAAAGTGGTTTTGCGTCCATACAAAGCGTACACACGTGAGAGCCAGTGTGACGCATGTGGTCCAAAAACCGTTTTTCTGTGTGAAAAGTAGAAGAACGGTTTTACCGCTGGAAGTAAATGGGCGCCGCCTTTGTAGAAAATAGTACCCTAAATTGAAGAACGGTTATGGCTATAAGAAGACAACTGAGTATCGGCCGTTAGCATAAATAAAATTCCGATTCCATAGTGCCTTACGAGCCGCATATCATCCGACTGAAACACTCCAATCTACTACCCCGTCAAGTGGACGGGGAGTACGATATGAAGAACGTGGAATGGAATCTGCCATGGAGTAACAATGCCCACTGCGCCATCCGCTTTCTAGCGCACTTCGGAGCGCCCCATTTTCGGATAGCCGATGCGGAAGAGCTGGTTTACGCGTGTCCGCGCGCCCTGACGCCGGGCCAGCCGATTGAGAAGAAATATCGCGATTTAATTCTGGAGGGTCTGGAGACGAGTGAACTACTGGTCGAACAGCCTCTCCTCGCCGCTATGGTCCGCCACATGCTCAACGACGACCGAATGCCGGCCAAGTTCACGGCCCGTCTGCAGCCAGTGGGTGCGCCGTTCCCCGATATGGGGGCCTGAATGAACACGATGGAAGTGGAGCACGAGTACGCCGTCAAGGTGGCCGCCACCTGGGCGGATATCAAACCGAAATGGACGCTGGCCGACCGGTGATGGTGATGATGTACGCGGGGTCCATCGGGATGCGCATGCCCGTCTTGGATACCTTTCGAGGCATCAACGGCGTCCCGGACCATATTCCAACGTTTTCGGTCACAATTATTATTAACGGGTACTATATATAGTGACACGGATGCCAATCGCATACTGATTTGTACAGGTTCGTCGCCCAGCCTGTCGAAGATGTTGTGATTAATGTGCAAATTTGAACTAGCCAAACCTATTTGGCCTAATTTTAGTTTTTAATTCCTTTCCGTTACGAATGAATGCTATAGTTAATGGGGTAACATCTGTTGTACATCTCTTAACGAATTACCCTTCCTACCGAGGCTGGTTCCGGCAAAACTGGCTGCGGTAAAGATTTGAAGGTAATCTTGAGAATAATAGCAGTTCTAATTGCTTAGAAGATTTATTAAAGCATTAAGTACGTATATACTATAATAACTTTATGTATGTACTATGATTTGAATTCAGAGCCATGTTTGAATTATGTACACCGAGTTTCGAAGGGATAATTTGCAATCGCTGCATGTCAAAATACCTGCAACCGAATTTCACGAGAATAAATGTGCGAAGTAGGAAGTATCAGATCTTTCGCTTCTAGGCTAGGCAAGGTTAGTAAAATGTGGCACTTCTTCACAGCAGAAAAAACTCAGGTAATTCCTCTGCCAAAAACACTAACGTGATATGCAGCAATATGTTTAGTTTAGCATCTGCAGTTTTAGATTAATACGAAGATGTTCGAATTTTTGTTTCTAGGGCATCCAAAACCACACATTTTTAAAATAAAACAGAAAAAACCAAACCTTTTAAACGTTGATCTAGTGAATCAACACTGGCCAGTTGGCTAGCCCGGAACGGATTTATAAATCCAGTATTCCATACTCTGACTAAATAATCGGAGCAGTGCATAAAACATTATAACTGCATTAATTTTAAAATAACTCAGCACCGGTTACCACGCTAAAAGATCATCGGAGTAGAAACGCCTGTTTATGCCATCCGTAAAATAGCGCGTACAAAACTGGCGAGTAAGTTTAAGAACTGTGTCACTAAAGGGATTCTCCAGAAAAAAGTCGACCTTTCATTACTATTCAGTAGCCTGCTAGGACACTTAATTGATATAACAATCGAACTTGATATTTTGCCGAAATCTATAATAAATCTGCTATCTCCAGTGAAAAAAGATTGTTAAAAGGTCTGACCTTTCGTTGCTGTCTCAAAGTGTTCGAGGGTTTTAAGTAAAACCACATAGCACACCACTTACAAGGCAAAAATCTTTATTAAAAAGTTTTTTCAAAACTTTATCCGTGGACGTCAAAACAATGCTCAACAATATCCGCATATAGCGCTACTACGCTTTGGATGCAATATCCTTATGGTACAGTTTACACTCCTTTTCAGTTGAGATGGATTTGCACTGCTCCTTACAGATACGTTGATTTGTTACGAGTATCGAAAGTGGTCTGTGCAGGTTGTTCAGTAACTTTACAACGCATGATGCGGTGCAACGCCCATAGACTACAGCATAGTGTAGAATTCACTGTTAAATTGCGTTTTGGCCACGCCCATTAACCATAGCAGATGAAACTAAATTTTTTCGTTTATTCTAATGTTCCTCTATCTTTCTGTAAAAGATCAGAACTTTTTGAATTTACATCCGGTGACGGGCCCTGGTCAGAAGTTATTCGACTATCAGAAATAATTCCACTATGTATTATCTGCACAAAATAATTGAAAAAGGTGTTACAGTACTTCGTATGCGCTATACCGTAGGCTATATAGATATTGGGTAGTGATACACAGTTTGTTTACAAGATCGAGATTGTAGTGATCAACGATTAAGGGATTTAGCCCGGTACATAGCACCAAATTTAATTTTAAAAATTATTTTAAAATTTGAAAAAAATGGTAGAAAGCTGGTTCGGTACCAAAACGATCTTCATGGTAATGTGCGTTTTCGTGCAAAATTTGAAGAGCGTCGGTTCATAATGAGACTTTTGGTGCACCTCCGCGCGTTTAAACTTTTGGAATTTTATTTCACTACAGATAATAACTCCCGAACCGGATGTTGCGCGCGCAAACGGATTTCACGCCTATTTTTACGAATCCATTGATTACAAAATGTCCTAAAGCAATGCAAAAAAGTGTTTAGTAGTGCGCGACAGCGAAAGCTCCCGTGCATGTACCCGAATTTGGTACTATGTACCGGCCCAAATCCGTTAAGTACTGATAACTACTGGACACATGTGGCTGTGTTAAGCATTTGCGCAGCCGTTCCTGTGAAAACAGAGTAGTATCGAGTAGTAATTGTAGTCATCCCGGCATCGCTAACGTAACATTTTAAACGACTACGAAGAGAACGCAGTTTGCGCATGCGGCAGGAATGGCGTTTTGGAGTACTGTAACTACACGTATTTTGTCGAGAAACCGGCTTTATTAAACCACCAGGGTAGTCATGCTACAGATAACCGGTACCGCTTTCACTGTCCCAGCACAATCTGCCCCAAGCGAACGGGAAGCTGAAACACCGAAATGCTCGCATGTGTGCAGCACCGTTCGACCAGAGCGAGAAAGGAATGTGTGTAGCAATAATTTGGTGACCTCTTTCACATAGTCCAACGGAAAGCGGGGGCAAGGGCTAAAATCTTCTAAACAGAGCTTGGCATTCGTAGCAGTTACAGATTAGGAAACGGCGTTCTTGCCGGGATTCCGAGGTTCGGGGTGTTCGCCGAGTAGGCGCAGTCGCGGAAGTTATCGAACCGCGCTCGTCAGACTAGCTAATATAGTCCGGGTAACCACAAGGTCCACAACGACAGTGGCAAGGCCTAAAGGGGAGTCATCTTTCACTTCAAAGTTCTGTCTGAAACGGCTGGAAAAGAAAATCATATAAGGCTAGTTTACCTTCCATCGTCGGCGGTCGGGCTACCAACTGAGGCATGATTTTCTTCCACAAAAGAAAAAAATAGGAAAACAATAAAAGAAAAGTAAAACTTTACTCTGGGAAATAAATGACACGATTTAGCGTTGAGGAAACTCGTATTTACACTTCTATTTACAGGTTCCCTCATTGTGCTTCTTAGGCTCACTTGTTACATAGGGACAGGAGGTACGAGTACGCACTTAGTGCAACCGATGCATGTTTTAAAATTATAACCTCCACATTCAACAAAATATAAAAGTTTTGTCAACTTTATTTCATAATTGTAAAGCACAATTACAGTTACAGTACATGTTTCCTTAGGAAGCAATCCGGAAGGATCTAAAATCCAGAATTATATTTTTAAATCTAAAATTCAGAAATTTACATGCTTCAGTACTTTTTGTATTCTGGACGCTTAGTTAGTCGTAGCTGTGCACCGCAGTGCGCTGATTGTTGGCTTCTTGCTACTGTATGTCTTCACCTTCTGGAGCCAACTTGGAGTTGTCCAATAAGGAGAAAACTTTTCTAAATTAATTTATTGATAAGTACTAATAACTGCTGTTACAGGAACGGAGAAGCCTACACAGAAGATTCGTAAAAAGTGGCTGAGGCTTTTCATGTGGAAACAGCGCACTATTGTCTGGTTTCCGGAAGGGGAAAAACATTAATGCAGGCTGCTGTTCTCACAGGGACGACCATAATAATATTGCAAAGGCTTTCTACGCTGCAGAATCATGACGTGGAAATTGTATTAAAAAGCGTGACGATAACTTTGTACTTTGTACCTGTCTATCAAATTTCGTACAACGACAGTGGGACCCAGAAGACTGAGCTCATTAATGCACCGGATCTGACCGGAAACACAAAAGATTGTGGAAGCGGTAGTTAGCATAGCGGCCTACGGGAATGCACGGTAACTACGGTAACTACGGCACTATATGTTACCGTATACTGTAATGCGACTAATGTCCAAATGAGACTCGGGAGCAAATGCCAACGCACGCTGCAGCAATGCCATGCTCAGTGAACCGAACGAATTCACGAGATTCGATTGCCACGATGGCGCAGCTCCAGTTGCTGCAATATGCAGCGCTACAGCCGTACCTGGATATCGATGTCGTTTCTATTAAATTAATGTGTAGCAGTTTGCAGTAAATTTTAAACAGTGCGTACTTACACAGCAAGAAATAGTATTCAATTTGTGCTCCCGCCCTGCAAGTCAGCAAGTCATCGGCAATCAATCAATCCGCTATCGGCTGTCCTAGCATGCTTCCTATGTGGATAATAAATTGTGATCGCAGTCATTACGCATACTTCTGCTAACATTTCGCAGTCGTTCTGAATCGGTCCTTTTGTAGACATTATTCAAGTTTTAATACTATAGCCTCTGCCATTTGTACGGGTATCTGTAGTTCAAGTTAACAAGACCAAACCGATGCATTTTTCCAGGGAGCTGGTCGGTGGTTTTGAGCACTTCTTTGCCGTAATCAGCATGACGATGGTGGCTTGTTATTTTGCATGTCAACCGGTTGCGCCAAAATGTTATCAATATATCACCTGTGGTCCGACGTACGAAGCCTGTAATTATCACAAAAGCATTTCTGCTATCAGTAATCTATACTTGCATACCTAACTTCTAAATTTTAATAGCTGTACTTTGTCTGTTATGCTTTTACAGTTTAGAGCGCAATAAATACGTTCTAAACACAAACGCAAAGAAAAAAACAGCAACTGATGCTTTAAAAATGAAATAATTTGTATACTTTATTTTTATAGATAACATATATTTTTTACAGATATATTTTGTATATTCATTTTTCATACATACACATACAAGTATAATGAATAATAATGTATATATAATATATACATCTTTTTACACATTTATATTTTTTATATACATACATTTTGTATTTTTACTTGCACAAGTCTGTTGTGATAATCTGCTTATATTTCGCGCATAGTAATGGAAGTCTTGACCGAGGCCGATCGTACTAAGAAAGACGACACTGTCTACCTCGCATTTGCCCGTTCCAGAGCGGCTGCAGAAAAGGTCACTCCAGGGAAGTTCACCATAATATCCATGGCCCATGTGGAGGAGTAATTAAAATTATTAATAATTTATAAACCAAGTGCACGCTTTATTCTAACAGTGCTTCCCAAGCCGGAATCCATCTTCATCGTCCCCATGCCGAACGTGACGGTCAGCCGGTTCGACGATGCGACATTTAATTGTACTTTCAATCGCACATTCCCCTTCGATAACTCGTGGGGAGATTTTATGTGGCGGCTCAATTCCAGGATAATACGTGCTCCGAAACGACACCCGTTTTATGGGTTTGAACGGCACAGAATGCAAGGCGGCTGGCATGGCAAACATTTCCCTCTGTACAATATATCCACGGCCACGTATTTACGGACAGACACCTGGACACATCCCGATCGGATGGCGGCCGTGTATTGGACCCTGTTTGTAGTGCGCAACGTGGACCTTTACAAGTCGGCGCGGGTCGAATGTTGGGTGCGCAGCGATCCACGTGATGAGTGGTGGATGGTGCAAGGGGCTTACCTTCATGTCAACTGGCAGACGTCCATGTATGTACAGAGCTTGTCAACAAATTGAGCATTCATAAACACAGCGAACATTAGAAATTTACGGGTAACAAGTAAATCCGTACTAGGTATACGGCGCGCCACGCCACACTGTTTAAACACGTAACATCCATTTGGCTGGCTGGTGACCTGGCGCACGCCAGATATTTTAATGAAAATAAATGTAACTGCCTGGAGGAATGTGGCTAGAAAGCGGTCGATGCAGTAAGGCACTAACTGCGAAGCGCAGTTACGCGTTGGTAGAGCAATATTAGTGCGAAGTTGGCGCTTGAATGTACATTCAAGCGCCAAACTTCGCACTAATATTGCTCCACCTGCACAATTTTTCGACAGGCTTGTACAGGTTATTATTTTGTTTTTCGTGCTCTTTAATGGTTATTTTAATGGTATGTTGATTATTGCAAATTTGTATATTTGGTTGAGCCTTGTTAAAAGACAGGTTTGTTTTTCTTATTAGTTTCTTAATTCTTCTATAATTACTATTGATTGATTCTGTGTGTGAGTGTTGTTTTCTGTTTCTAAGCATGGTCACGTTAATGCATAGGAAAATTAATGTAAAAATTGTAATTCGATGTACAATAGAACAGAAGATATGTAATTATGTACTTTAGATAACCGCGTGCGCGGGCAAGGGAACGGAGCCTCGGGAAGTTGTACTTACTTATTATTACCTTCCGTTTGCTGGCTGGAAGTGGATCATAACAAACGGCTGAAGAAAAGCGATGCTTTAAATTATTTCTACGATGATTTAAATTATACCCGTTATTTCTATTTAATATTTCCATTATTTTTTCATTGTTTCTTATTTGTTGCTATAAATCACATACAAAACTAATAATGCTATTTTTGTTGCAACTTATGCATCGTCATGTACGGTACCTACTTGTATTGTCAATAATGGTCTTCAAAATTCACTGCTGGGTTTGTGTCTTCATGCAGCCGCAATTTTAATACACCATTTGTCATGACTTTCATATTTGGCATAAATAAACAAAATATTTTCACGCTAATAAACATCCCTCGCAACACAAAAAACAACTCACAATACTCAGGAAAAGCAAAAACCTCAAGCGTACAAACACAAAAACTGAGATCAAAAATACAGAATAAAATTCCCATTCGTAGACCAGAGCAAAGTTCACACGTAAACAACATTTAGGAACACAAAAAACCAACGCAACAAAGTCAATAGACTCCACTCTACACACTAGAAAGAACCAAACCGAGATTGCTGTCAGAAAAATCCTCATTATTCTCCCCTTCCAACAGGACCTCCCTAAGGATGTCCGAAAGGTCACCAGTCACTTCAAAAAATTCTGAATAAATCCCTTTTAACGCGGCCATCCTTCACATGTCGAATAACCGCCCAAAAGGTAACCAGACACTCCCAAAAATCCAGATTATTCTCCCCATCCAACAGGACATCCCTAAGGATGTCCCAAAGGTCACCAGCCACTCCCTTCCGTGGCCGGCGTCAGGCGTTCATCATCCAGCAGCTCCGCAACATCCGCCTCGATATTCCGCCGCTGCCGGCTCTCCTCCGCGGCCTCCATCAACTCCAGATGCAGCGATTTCCGCGCCCGCCGTTCTCCACCGCCACCGGGCGGACGGCTCGTTTCGAGGATAATTGATCCGTTCGTACTGCACCGACGAGGTGCGCTGGACACTCCCGTTGCTCCGCGCGTCGAGATAGGAGTAGGTGGAGCTGTGCGCCAGCGCCGCCGGGTTGAGGATCAGCCCGGAGGTGCGCGCCGCCGTGGTGGTCTCCAGGCGGGGGGAGCGGACGACGGAGCCGTTGGTGTTGTTGCTCCAGGTGTCGGTAACGTAGCGGCGATACTGGAGAAAGTGCTCCTGCATCTGGTTGGCTTCCTGTTCTAAAGCACGAATGCGTTTCTTGGCTTCGCTGATGGAGCGCAGCGAGACCGAGGTGGGTTCGTCGGGGGCGGCGTGGTCGTGCGCCGGGGGTTCGGCGCTTAACGCGGGTGGGGGGCGGGGGGTTGGAGATCACGGGGGTGTGCGCAACTACACAACATACAGTCCGGATATGTACAAGAAGCTACTAAATGTCTAAATCTCCTTCCTGTGTCTGTAAATATTTATGTACAACCAGTTGCGAAATTTTCACAGTATTATCATATTTTACATCGAATTTCGAGTTCCCAAGTTGATACAAAAGAATTATCAGGAAATTAAGTTAAATTCAGAAATACGTCTTCCCGGTTTGTTCTTTCGTTTGAATTGTTAACCGCTCAACGAAATCAAAGTAATTATTAACAAAATTAACTATGATACCCTGTTTGTGAATATGCCAATTAATGTTATGTAATAGTCGCGAAAGAAATCAGCATTAATTTATATAAGTACCCGTCGCAGAACAGCTATCAACTTTCTTTCCTCATCGAATTAGATAAATGTCGTAGAATAACGGCAGTGAACAAGCGTACTTTCTCCATCAAACTATATGATCATGAAGTATATCAAACTATATGGTATGCAAACTATATGGTATGCAAACTATATATGGTATGGTAACTATATCAAACTATATGGTATGCATCATTGAAGGCTCATTAGTAAACCGAAACGTACACTAAAAATCTAATTTCACGCTTCTTATTTTTGTAACGGCAGCAGCAATATTTTACTGTAATCGCGCACAAAATGATATCCGACGTTTGCCAGTATTCTTCTACAAAGGCACGCTGCTATTATTTGTCCCGACGATAGAAATAGTTTTAACTTGACAACTTGTCACACGGCCTTAGACTGCAGACCACATCGCCTCAAAATTTTTCGCAATGCAGTTTAAAAGCAACTGTATAGTAATAAGTATCACATTCATGATTCAAGTACAAACTCAGCACATACTAAAACAAGATTCACAACAAAAACACGGTTTAAAAATGAGACCTTCTCGTTCCATGTCAAAAGCAGCTACGACTTAATTATACGACTTTCGTAGAATAATGGCTTCAAATACTCGATACCTACCGTCAGCTTGTGTCATATTAAAGACCAATTAAAAACAAAAACATTCATTATTAATTTAATTATTCTAATTATTCTAAAGATCAGCGACCTGCCGCACTGGCCGCCTCCCAGACGAAACCCATGGTCAACGGGAACGAAGTCAGAGGTACGCGGCGCTATATGTCGCCGGAGTTGATCCAGATTGGCAGCGGTTTCAAGGACAAAGTGGGCCGTTTGACGGATATCTGGAGTTTCGGCTGTACAGTGTTAACCCTGCTCAGTGGTCAGCAGCCGTTTCATTATGCTTACCATGAGCAGCGCAGTTTTTCGGATCCGTTTGATGCAGCACTGCGAACGAAGGTTTACAAAACCGTGACAGACCCAGAGAACGATTATCGCAACATTGCAATATTATAGCCTACGTCCTACCCTCCTTTAATAATTCGGCGGTAACTAACGGGTAAAACCGCCAGCTAGGAAATTCACTCCGACAACGTTGTCCGGATGCGGAACGCCGAATGCGCACTCCGACTAAACCGTCCGGTCAATACTCTAGACCCCACCATTTCACAACAACGAAGTGTTCAGAGTACTGGGTAGACAAAATTTATGGTAGGCGCTCTTTGAGATTGATAAGCGGTATATTCGTCCTGACGGTTTAGTCGGTTACATGTAGCGCTTTTACACCGTACCATGAAATGCTCCTTCGATGGGGACTGCCAATCCAGCCGGCGACCCTTGCGGCATTTCCAGCTGATATTTCGAAGAGGGACGCTCGAGTGCATAACTAAATGACGGCGACCATGAGCTTTTCCTATATAACCTAAAATTCCCTCAACACGCTCAACTTTTTTCAGTTTGCAGATGCATGCAGCCCAACCCAGTCGTATCTTGTTTCCCTATCAGTAATGATGTGCGATGGACTGACCATAAACGTTAAAACGCCGTGGTCATTGTTGGATGTTTTCTCCTAGGCGTAAGATGTTGCAGTAATAATTGTTGTCCGTTACGCAAGTACGAAGAACTGTCGATGTGCAAATACATCTCATGTACTAGCACGCACCAGTAACCGGCAATAATGACCCCGGCAAAAATATCTCCACTGGCAGTTTTTGGTGCCTCCTAAGGCACCATCGCAAAATAGCAGCCTTTGCTGATATTCTACGATATCAAGGAGCTACATGATAAAACCTCGGTAACTTGCTTCCTCTTCTGCCCATTAGAAGGTGAAGACTCATAGCTGCACTTCTATACCCGTGGTTAGTACTGGCTTTGTAAAATATTTTTCAAAATAGCGTTTTATCTCTAAAAATCGCGCGTTCAGAATAACTGATAAAAGTGTTTTTATCCAGTATTCGGTAAATCTGCGGCCTCTCCTATCCCTATCAAGTAGCTTAGCAGCCCTAACGCTCTCTTCACTTCCCACTCTTTATTTCGATTCATAATTCTTCCCAATCTTTGCAGTCCACTCGCGCAACTTAAGTGACCCCGGGTATGAACATGGAGATGGATGTGAAGGATTTCGAGGCAGTGTGGAATTGGCAAGCCAGTGATACGTTGTTGCGGCAATATTTGATGCTGGAGAACGTCCGACCGGCGTCCGCTCTTTTTCGGCCAGCTATTGGATAAACCTAAGTAGCGGGTCGACCATCTGTAGTCAGTCTTAAGATAATTTATGGTCTTTTCCGTTGTTATACTCTGTAAGCTAAAAATTCGACGGACATTTCCTAAAGATATTCGTATCTCTTTAGACAGGCTTACGTGTAGTGAACCTGTACTTTGTGGAATATTTTGTGGAATCCCTTTCGATTTTGATTAAACAGTTTTGTTAACTTGTTACCGCTCATTGTGTATGCTACAGCAGTACAGCGTAATTGTAACCTCACCATCAATCAATCAATAATCAATTATTTGGAGTAGGCAACTGAGTAGCTGACGTACAGCACCACTTCCTGAGAGCATCTTTGGTTTATCTTGTTGATTTCAAAAAATTAAATGGTGCTATGCGGAGTCAAAAGTGGTGTACAAAAGGTCATGTTAGCCTATTAGGAGCCAAAGGTAGTAAAAGGTGGTACTAGGAGCCTTTACCTTTACCTATTATTAATTATCAGTTCCCTGAAATTACAGTATCAGTTTATTTATGAGAATGCGGAAATGTAGACTTCCATGAACAGCATAAAATAACGCTGAACGTACGTATCGATCGAATATCATTACTATCCCCGCCCCTGCGTGACGCAGTATTGTGAGCACTGTTTATTAGAATCGGCTTACTGGAGTAGGCTATTGAATTTTCCCAGCTCACACTCACTGGCATGGCGCATTAGCAATTTATCAGATGTAGATAAATTAGCAATTTGTAATTTTTTTATTTTTATGAACATACACATATAAACAGACGCATAGCCTGAATTAATTTTTAAATCTGTGAAAATTAATTTCTAAATAAAAATACAGGTACATGCACGATTGTGTATCATAACGGGCAACGGCATGCTTACAGCTAGACTGCCGACTGGCAGTCATCAGCAAAACTGTGAATTACATTGCATGTCTTTCTTACAGCTGGTGGATATTGAAATCCGGCTTTTGCGCCACATTTGTCGCACTGGCTCACATCTGAGTATAAACAAAAAATATCTGGATGCGCGGGAATAATTTAATCAGTAATAAAGCCAATTTTGAGTAAAGCAACCTGCTGTGCTTAGCGTTTCTGAAAGATCGGGAAACGATACCTGCTGTCAGCAGGTATCGTTCCCACAAGCTGCATTTGGCACAACGTGTCATAACGAATGAGACGCTCGCCGGTTGCACCCCATGTCCTGTAGGGGGTGTTCCCGGCACTATCCGATAAAAAACTTTTTCCACCTACTCCTCATTGTATCCTCCTCTTGTGTATCCGTTAGCATTTACACAACAACGTCAGTCTCAGTGCGCTGTCAGTGTACCGTAGTGAGCAGCCCGTAATTTACGGTTCATCGGTCATTCTTATTAAAATTAAGAAGCTCAGTCCTTAACTTACGCTCTGTCGCTCTAATTAAGAAGCAGCCATGGCTTCGATATTCGATCGCCAACGGGAATTTTGGGACAACCTTGACGAAGATACTAAGAGGGGGATTTATTTCGCTATTGGACTTGTGGCCTGCATCATCGTTTTTATAATTGGTTACTGTTGCAGTAAGTGTCACATTTCTGACTACATTTAGTAGAAAGCTCGCGAATATTTTTTCCCGTTGGACGCGTTTTGCGTTTAGTCGTTGGCTCGGTCGTTGGCTCGTTATAAGGTCATACATAGCATTTCTGGCTGTTTTTAATTATTAACGGAAACAAGCTACGACAAACAGACTTTTTACCTTATAAAAATCTTTAGGTATTTTCAAGATCTAGTACCTGGTTGGTATCTAGTACCCGGTTGGTGGAAGTAAGTACAATTACTCGTACAGCTAGTTCGATGCAGGCTAATTCCGGTGGTGTTAGAATTCCTTTGTTCATCTGGTCGATCCAAAGGTTTCAGGTTGTGGTGGAAACAAAATTTTTTCTTTGATAGCGCCACAATGCGGAAAACCCAAAAAGCCAGCCAAGGCAGCCATCATCGAGCAACCTCAGAGCAACGACGGTAACGACATCGACGAAAACGACGACGACGACATCGTCGAAAACGTCACATGGGTTTGAAAAAACACACACAGTGGAGACACATTCTCAAACGCGGACAACCTTTTCCTAAACCGGCGCAAGCATTACTGTGGATGAAGCGCACCTTTTTTTCTGATTGTGAGCCTGATCTTTCATTTCCGAGCACCCACCGTCCTCCTCGCAATGTCTGGTACTAAACCAACTTGCCAACTTTTCCCCGTTCTGCATAGCTTCGTTTTTTTAAAGTGTTTGAGAAATCCCCGCAATGCAACACTGTCTCGACCGCAATGCGTACGCCGATTACCCATTTTAACGCTGTCATAATACTATGCAATATGTTGCCGGATTCTTAATAATTTGTTAAAAATTCTGTGTAGAGCAATTAAAAATTGCTCCAGTTTGTCATTGATTGTAAAGTAAATATGCCAGGGTTGACACATCACATACCTGTCATGGTTACAAAATAAATTAAGTCACGAAATAAATTACATTTTGATGTCAGTACGAACAATAAGTAATCGTAGGTCGTATTATGTATACTGCAATGATTGCAATCTAGTTGTAGGGTTTTTTTGTACGTTGCAATACCAATGCGAAATACTCTGTACGAGAAAAAAATGCTAGTAAATAATAATACATGATGAAAAAGAACGCGAGGCGGTCCATTCCATGTGAGTCTGAAGGCTTCTTCACATAGCGACTCGTAAACACACATGGTACTCGTAGTCGAAATCTGTTATATCTCGTCACGGATGTCGAAATTGTGGCGTACCATAAGCGGTGTTCCCATATGGAACTACATATTCGTGGACCATTTTGATTAAAACCGGCAGTTTCCAGTCTCCAGGACTGAAATGGCTGCACTCCGGTCTGCCAATGCATTCTTTCGTGCATCCTTCTAGTATAAATGTATAATCAAGAACAGGGAGAACATTTAAGGGTGACACTATAGCCACCCCAAACACCCCCCTGTTTTATAGCTACCCCTTTTCCACACCCCGTTAATTATAGGTACCCTTTTTTCATGAATCAATTTTCTTTTAAGACGACACCCTGTATTTTATAGGCACCCTTTTGACATTTGACAAGTTCTAAGGACTAACGATAAGGTTGTATGGTACAAGGTAGCCTCGCGCATCCGCGCTCGGCACTTAAGTACTGGATAGTATTGGCTTTGTTTTGGAAAGGTCATTATAAATATATAAAGGCTGGCGTTCGGAGTTTCTGACGTTCTGACAATTTTAATTTTTCACGTTCTGAAGTTCTGATGTTCTGACGTTCTAACGTTCTAATGTTCAGTTACTTTATGACTTTATGACGGTTTGACGTTCTGACGTTCTGGTTCTGACGTTCTAACGTCCTCACGTTCTAACGTTCTAACGTTCTGATGTTCTTACTTTATGACGTTCTGACGTTCTGATGTTTTGACGTTTTAACGTTCTGACGTTGTTTCGTTCGGACGTTCTAACATTCTGACGTTCTGATGTTCTTACTTAATGACTTTTTGACGTTCTGACGTTCTGACGTTCTGACTTCAAAAAAAATCCTAACTCACTTAATTTCAGTACCTACTCGTAAGCCAATATTCATCCGTGCTCATCTTGTTATATGAATACTAAACATCTCTAGCAGGTCTTTGGGGCCTCATGTTAGACCGCGGTAATCTCCGCTTCTGCTCATCCGATCTTCCTGCTTCAAAATGTTTTGAAAACCTTCCAGTCTGGCGGGTGATCTAAGACCAGTCGTTGTTTGTTGAATTCAGAACCGCAATCCCAGTGGTCACTCAAAAGCTTGTTACCATGGATGCCATAGGTCTAACATGGGCTGGTCTGTTACCACGGTCACAATTATACTCAAACAAGAAACAGCTTTGGCTTCGCCTCTGCGTTTCTCATGGTCCAAAATCGGACCAAACAAATGATCAAGCTCGTCTTCAGTTGATATGCAAGCTTCTGAGGAGACTATTAGCCGCTGTGCACGAAACTGCTTCAAACAAAATACTAACTGCTATTGCTTCCTCGAATACACTGCAACCTATGAATTTTAAACTGATTCATTTACCCAGTCGTAAGCCAATATTCATCCGTGCTCAGCTTGTAACATACATATTTTACCTAAAGAGCAAGTATTTATGCATCCGCTATAGTCTCCGTGGTTACAGTCACTATGTTTTAAAGCATTTTATTGCTGTGCAGTGAATACTTTTCGAGTGCTCTTTACGTACGTTTCCTATACTTAAGACCTGGTGAAGCCATCTTCTGACCACTGGTTATTAAAAACAAACAAAAATCTAGTGGCACACCTATGGAAAATATGGAATTTTTTAAGACCAAGCTGGACTTAAACTGACCACGCGTTATCGAGGAGTTAAACACGGCGCATAAATACGCTTTGGTCGGTAAGATTGTATGAATACAAGTATTGGTGGCGCTAGCGCGCCACCAGCTGTGCTTTAGGTATGGAAACACGAAAGAGATAACGAAGTCCAAATGGTTTTAGACATATTTCAAAGGAATTAAAAGGCGTAAAAATGCGGCGCTCTCAGCTATTACTGCATGTTAAGCTGTTTAGATATTTAGTAACTTCACTAAAATATTTAAACTCCGATATTTAAGTATCAAAATACTTAGGTATTTATTACTCAGATATTTAGGTATCAAAATATTTAGATATTTTGATATTCTGAAGCATTAAGGTGACGGCCCCGCTGCGCGGGGATTTACAAACGCGGGGATTTGATTTCGAGGGATTTACAAACATTTAAAAACATTTAAACATCTCAACATTTATTACAGATTAGTATTCAGAAATAAAAATATGTTCAAATTTTGATTTTTGAACAGTAAGATATTGAGGTTTTTAAATACTTTGAACGCTTGATTTCGAAATTCTGAATCGCAAAACAACTGGAGGTAAAATGTGTATTCAGATATATATTTCAATATTTAGATAGGCAGTAAGCTAATGTGATATGTATTCAGATATTGTAGTGTCTGGAAACATGGATTTTAAAACTCTGGACCGACTAGAAATATTTAAGAATAATCATCAAACAAAAGAGGAGCGTAAAGTATTTAGTGTTTTATACGGTTCGCACTTCGCAGCATTGTTAGCATATGTTGCTAAGTTTCAAATCTGTAGGTTCTGATCATTCTAGATGTTTCTAGAAATTTCTAAATACTTAAGAGCTAAAGTACTGAAAATCTGAAAACCTTTTAAAACGTTTTGGAAGACCAAAGAATTTTTTTCAAAGTGTAGATGTCCCCCCTTGATGGATGTTAGATTTTTTAAAAATATAAAACGTTCAGAAATGTGAAACTTGATTTAGGAGATAATTTCCGCAAAAAAAGGACGTAAGAGTATATTAATCTATAATCTACAAGGTAGCGGTCGCGCTAGCGCGCGACCAGTTGTGTTTGACGTAATAGAAGTGCTGAAACGTTTTAAACAGTTTTTCCTTCAGAAATGTATGGTTTTTAGAAATTCATGTCTCTTAAAACGTTCAGGAAATGTGCGTTTTAACATTTTCTGTCTCTGCCTTGGGACATGTGCCTATGTATTGGGAACAGCACCAGCATCGGCTAATTTAGATGAAATTTTCTCTATAACTAGGCCGCCTATTTTCGCTGTGGGCTGAGGCTGTGTATTCAGCGAAAATTTTAATTTCATAGAAAAATTGTGAATTTTTTATACCGCCATGCTAAATAAAAAATTCCAAAGCTGCAAGAACTTAAAGTTAATTGCGAAATACCATTCACAACTTTTCCGGAACCTTGCGCACTTCCACTTAGTTTTCCAACTCCATAAAATTTTCGGCGAGCCCACCTTGAAAAATATTTTTAAATATTTAAAACTGTTTTGAACGTGTACAAATTTACGAAAATATACAGGTAGCACCAGCGACCCCGCTACGCAGAACTAGCATTCTCTTTTAATAATAATATTTTAATATTAATAAAAAAGTTGTAAGTTTTTTAGACTTGCGTATACAGTTAGGTTAGATTATACTGAACCATTTTTGACATTATTTTTCTGCCAGAATTTCGGAGATTATTTCTTTAATTCCAGAGATTATTTCTTTAATTTTTTTGTCAAAAAATTTCTTTCAAACGTGGAAGCGAAATATAGAGGTATTGGCTCACAGCATAGGAAACTGGAGATGTTTAAGATTTTAGAGTGCCAAAATTCCAGTTCCAAATAAAAAATTCAAAATTAACGAGTTAGCGGTAAGGCAAAACATTACTTAAATAAATCAACACAAATCAAAGTTTAACAGATTCCTCGGACAAAAATTTTTTTCAGACGTGACCTTTGTTCGTCCACAAATTTCAATTTAGAAAATTAATAATCTGCAGACTTGTAAGTACGAGATGGGTTGGCTGAAAAAAAAGTTTGACATGCGCGTGCAGACGTGCAAAGCTCCCAACAAAATTACTGTACGACAGTACGAGTACCGTTAGATCGGTAAAATACGTGCACTAGCTTTAATACAGGAACACGCATGGCTGGCTCCTATTTTTGCAACTTTTAGAACAAATTTTTGAAGAACGAAGCAGTTGCTAAGGCCTAAGCTGATCATGCGATCCATATCTGTAAGAACCGTAAGTTATTCAAAGGGAAATTTCTAGAAGCTTTTGGAAAGTACTGCTTAAGTACTGCGAAAACTTCAAAGATTTTCAGATACTGTTTGCAAGACTGAACATTTTTTACAACTGCAAATGAATCTCTTCTGACATGTGTCTGAATTTTCAATAAAATTTGGAGCTGGAATGTATGAGTCTGAAATTAGTTTTGGAATTACAAAAGTAAAAAGACGCAATAGTGTATAACTCTTAAGATAAAGACAACCGTACAAGTACTACCACACGCTCATTCAGGAAAGATGGAAGAAGCTTCCAGGAAATTGACGGCTAACTGCAAGATCGGCGAAGAAAAAAACAACGGTACCAAACTATCGGCGCAGAATTTGCTAAAGGCATTAACAAGGTCAAACGGGCAAAGCGAGACGGGAAAAGCCGTTGCTATTAAGGATTGACGATATCGCAAACATTCGCATCAAAGCCCTTGGTTACAGAACTACAGTAGAAATGCCGGACCAAGTTCAGTAGAAGTACACAACGAAATTCTCGTCAGAGATTCATAGGTTTCCAACATTTAAAGCACGTATATCAGCGCATTATATGGGGATGCACGTCATTCATCATATCTTATTGTACTGTCAGGACAGGCTAGCATGTCCCGCGACAGGCCGTCGCGGGACATTTGGTTTTACGGATGTCTCGGCTAAGAACGTTCCGTTTTTGTGGCAAATAGCCATATGAATGTTTGTTGCCATAAACCGGTCGATAATTTTTCGACTTCGCAAAATCGCGCGACCAAATGTCACATAACCAAACGGCTGCGAAACCAGTTGTCCCAAAACAAATTAGCCGCTGCGACGAAAAACATGTGGCGAAATGTCCCACGACGAATTGTCCCGCGACCACTTGGGCTGTCACGGAGAAATGGCGGAACTACTGGCTGGTAAGTGGTGTACGTAGCTGGTGTACTCCGTAGAAAATTTGCAATCGCACAGAATTGGAAAAGACTCTGCCAAACATCAAACAATAAAGTACGACAATTTGCTAGAGACATTTTGCGGTGTGCCTGGAAAGGCCCACAAAACGTACGCTCTCTGTGGCTTTCCAGGCATAAGCACTACGTTAATTGATTCCAACTGACCGTCGGTGAGTGATAAGAGTTTTAGCAAGGCTAAAAACGTGTGTGATAAAATAGCAGAACAATCTGCACTCTGCCGCATAATATACACTGTTGCCAACATAGTGCACATAGTAAAAACCGCGCTGTCATGTAGCCAGTAAGCAACACGGGCAATATGATTATTAGTTCCTAAAACTGCTAACGACAACATAGTATTATTATGTTTAATGCGGTTCATATGTGCAGCTTGCTCAGAAAAGTAGATTTGAATTAAATTTCTACGTAAGTTTAACAATACGGTACTTCTACTTATAGAGAAAGGAAGAAACTAATGGAGATTAAAAACGGTTGCGTTTTGATAGAACTAAACACAAAATTGCAGTAATCAATACCATTAAAATCTTGCTGGTGTAAATACGGTCACGGTTGAAAAATCAAAAATGTACTGAGAACTTCTATACTTTGGTTTGTCCCCTCATGACAATTAACCGTCGTGCCACCGATTGTCTATTGTAAGTTTGTAACCACATTTATTGCGTCCAGTGACGTCTACTGCAGTTCCTCTGACTCGTTTGAGCGCTAGCGCTTACCAAAAAACGAAGAGCAAATCGGCAGAATTTTTATTTTAGTAAATACCTTTAGCTTTACATACTTAAAACATGATTAAGTTGATAATTTTTTAGCAGTAGTGTCTGATTGTAACTATTTCCTTCTACTGTCAATAATCAACGATACATTGTACATGAAGTGCAATTGTATCCGTAAACCGGTAATTTCTGATTCATAAAACACAGATGTACTGCATCTGTGTTTTATAAATACGTTTTTAAATGTCGATAGCAAGCTGACAACCTACGTAATGATGATGCCAGTATCGGTACTGGATCGTCTTCATGATTGTCTGCGAGGATAATATTGGATACATTTTGATGTTTCTGTGCATATCCCATAAAAAAATCGCAAAGGCAAATTGTACTTTGAATGTAGACTTCTCTCGTGGGATTCCAGATCGCTTAATTACCATGTTCTGAGTAGCAACACGCTCATGTCTAAGCTGCAGCTGACTTTAAAACTTCTGGTAGTAGCGACACATTTACACTACATATCTGCTGTGCTCCTGACGGAGCACTACTACAATTCATTTTGTGCACTGTGTGAGCTCACGTCTGCCTCTACGCGGACTCAATCCCAATTTTGAATCCGCTCTTCTGTACAAAAAAATTAGCAGATACCCTTCCAGTTCTACATGTGTTCAGATGCGGACCGCACTTGTGTTCAGCTACCTGGAAGGAATATGATCGTAACAATACTGATTTTAAAGTATGCCGCACTTACTTGTTCTCACTTACCTCACTTGATATTTGCATCTCTACCTTATATAGTCTTCGTTATCCCAAATTTGAAGTTTCATTTAAAGAACAGTTTTGAAAACAATACTTCAAGCAACTGCATCGATTATTTGGCTTGAAAATAACGTGAAATACTTGCTCAAAATGTATTAAGAGTTATCAAATTTGAGATTGCTCAGATTTGTTTCACCTGTTAATTCTTCTCCTAGTGCAGTTTCAACGTTTTCGGGTGGGAGAGTTACTTCGCTGACTACTGGTGAACTTTTGAAACCCCCCTGACAAGACTCAATTTTAAATCTGACGTTGTATAACTTTGATTTGGATACAACCGCTTCTCAAAGCAACGGAAAAAGATTCAGTTTGTAGTCCGAGCAGCGGTTTTTCTTTATGGGTATATGGGATTATTTACGGTCGACTCCAGCCGGCTGACGGCAGCAAGTACAGGGGTCAGGGAGTGCTGAAATGCGTTACCGTAATCCCCTCGTAAAGCAAATTTATGAGGGATACTGTACATGAAGCATATGCGAAGCACACATGTTTCTGTCACAGCTACCTTTAGCAAAAAACACCTTTGCAAAAGCTGCGCTCCGGTCTACCAGTGCACTGTTCGATGCATTTTTCTAGTTTTATACTTATTATGACACAAGGGAAGTCGATGGCTCGTCATACCACTTCTCTTGTACTGTGCTGCTCCAGTCATCCGCCCAGAGTTTTGCGTCATGTCTGCCCATAGGGTGGGTCTATGCAGCCGCGCGGTAATAAGCTAGTCGGATGGCCGGATGCGGTGTGCAGTTAGTTTTCTTATGCATAGCAGTACTTATTTCGATGTCGTTTCGATTGTTAATTATTGAAGTAAACAATGTACGGCAAAGCTCACGTACTATTTTAAGGTGGTGTACGTACTCCGTATGTCGCAAAATTTGTTTCTTGTTTCAGAGGGTAAGTAGTACTAGATAAGTACTGTAGACTGCACAGTGTAGGTACTGTACTTGCTGGGATTGAGGTATCCAGTTAGTAGGTAAGTACTGTAATTTTGTTCATTGCGTGAATCCTGCACTGAATCTAGAAAACCGGAATCTGCGTGTCATCAATGAATGCCTGAAATTTTCAGTCATACTAGTGAAACAGGGGATGAGCGGCTAGCTCACCCCTGGGCGGACAGAGACGGAAATTCAGCGCGTGCACACTCCCACCTTTATATCCCTCTTACATACAACACATCAAAGGCTACCGCAGCAGAATGCTGTGGGGCAAAAGGAAAAAGCAAGCAGCTCGGACGACGAAATCTGGCAACTGCAGAATCTACCAGATCTTCTGGTAGATGAGAAAAAACCAGCAAAAACAGCAAAACTACCTAACAACCGCGCGAGCGCGGGTGTATGGAGGAACCACTCCTCCTCACATAGTCACACTAGTATCATTATTATCTCACCATTTCGCACTGCCTGTGGATATTGGACTTGATTTTGTAACCTTTATTCATGATTGTTGCCCTAAGTCTGCCCCTTTTGTAAACCTACCAGTTTAGGTTATACCTGGCATCTGATAGGAACACAACCAAAGGAACAGCCTGATGCATTGGTCCGGGAGAGTTGTGTGCGGAATTAAAAAATTTATTTGCATATTTTCATGCTGTTGGGCGTGTACCCCGGTTATCCCAAAATGTTACGAATATTCCACCTGTGGCCCCACGTACGAAGCCTGTACGAATTTCCATGATAAATTAACGAAATATGCACGCATAGATTATTATCTAGGCATAATTGATAAAGTGTTATTCAGAGTTCATGTATCTGTGCCTTCGTTCTTAATTAGCACAAGACACAATCACTACGAGCAGTTTTAGTGGCACTTTCTGCAAAGGCTTATTCTGGTTCTATACAAATTTACCGTATTAATATGCTTATCTTTCGCGAACAGTGACGAAAGTTCTAACCGAGGCCGATCGTACTAAGAAAGACGGTATGGTCTACTTGCCATTTGTTAGTTCCACATCTCAGAGCACAGCTCCTGCAAAAAGGGTCACTGCAGGCGAGTTTACCCTTATTTTTGTCTTCATCGGGCGGCACTGTCTCTAAATGACATAATTATATCAATAATACTTTAACGAAATCATATTTCTTAGGTTAGTACAGACTGTATATCTTATGTTCGATATACAGTCAGAATGTCATACAGTCATATTGGCGATATTGCGCACGCTGTTATACGATTATATAGTAATTACTTGTGTCCATATGCTGGCTAATTTAATTGGCAGTGCCTCCAAAGCCAGAATCCATCTTCATCATCCCCATGGAAAATGTTACTGTCCGCCGGTTCGGTGACGCTATTTTTAACTGTACATTTAATCGAACATTTCCCTTCGATGACGCATGGGAGGACTTTATGTGGCGGTTTAATTCCAAGATCATTCGTGCTCCGGAAAAGCACCCGTTTCACGGGTTCGAACGGTATTATGATCAACGGCAGGGACGTCTGGGTGGTGCCGAGCACCCTTTATTTAATATATCCACAACCCGACGTTTGCAGTTAAATATATGGAAAAATGAGGATCCGAGGGCAGTACTGTACTGGACCTTTCTTCGACTGCATAAGGTTGACCTTTACACATCGGCGCGAGTGGAATGTTGGGTGCGCACTGATCCACGTGATGAGTGGTGGATGGTGCAAACAGCCTACCTACATGTCACCTGGCAGACGTCCATGTACGTACAGATTGCTTATTCATTTTTATTTGTTATTCTGGGTGGTCATCGGTGTAGGATTGTATATATTTCAATGCTATTAATAGGTAATTTTGTTTTCTCGTTTCTTAGGTTTTTCACAATTGCTGTTGATTTATTTACGAATTTTTTATTTTTCTGTTTTGCGTATGTACATCCATGAACGCACAGATTACCCACGGTATTTAGTCTTTTTTAATTATTGTTGCTACCACTTTCAACTTACCATACTGGTATTCATTACTGGGAATTTGTATTTGTTTCAGTGCTATTAACTGTAACAACCAGGTACGAGTTCAATTAACTTCGTTTTTCTTGTTTCCTAATTTTTTTAATTTTCTTACTTATTCCCTATTTTTTCATTTTTCTGTTTTTGCGCAGGGTTACCTTTGCATAGTAAATGTAACTGATGTAAGTGTACATAGTACTACACACCTACGGACAATAAATGATACAGCTGCTTATATTACTGTATAATTTTAGATAACCGCGCCGGCAAGGGAACGGGTTACGGAGCATAATTATTGTTATGGCAGTTCACTATAATTACCAAGAATAATTATTACAGTATACTGTAAAATAATTATTCCATTCGTTGGCTGAAGGCCAGGATCATGGTGTTGAATTAAACGAACAGCTGGTGAAAAACGGTGATCTGCAAATCCCAAGAGAAGCGTCATAATTTCTATGCATTCAATAAATTACATAGAAATTTAATAATGCTAGAAGTATGCATATTTGGTGCATGGACAGCATAGTGCATCTATGTTCCATCCACAAATGATAGCTGGACACAGTATTAATTAAAATATACTGGTGCTGCCTCGATTTTTTAATTCAGATTACCTACCGGTACACATTATTTTCCAAAATAAATGCATGATTTTTATGCATTTTAGAGATGACAAAATACAGCGTTAAAGGTTACTTATTTGTGGTGTGTATTTTTATTGCCAGTCGAGCGGGCTGATGTTGAAGAAAAATGCATTGGTTTACACTTACAAGTAAACGAACCCCAATGATTTCCTTTCTATAATTATTTTTTTATAATTCTCATGTAGCCGCAACTTTAATACAATATTTGTCATGACTTTCCTATTTGGCATAATAAACAAAATATTTTCACGCTAACAAACAGACCTCGCAACACAAAAAAACTCACAGTACCCACGAAAAAGCAAAAAACTCAAGTTTACAAACACAAAAACTGAGATCAAAAATACAGAATAAAATTCTCATTCGTAGACCAGAGCAAAGCTTTACACAGGCCGTAATTTAGGAACACAAGAAATCAACGCAAAAAAGTCAATAGACTCCACTCTATACACTAGAAAGAACCAAACCGAGATTGCTGTCCGAAAAATCCTGATTATTCTCCCCTCTAATGGGACGTCCCGAAGGATGTCCTAAAGGTCACCAGCCCCTCCCAAAAATCCTGATTACATCCCTTTTAACGCAACCATCCCTAGCATGTCTCAGAACCACCCAAAAGGTCACCAGCCACTCCAAAGAATCCTGATTAAATTCTCTCGAGCGACTCTACATCCCTTTTAACACCAATACTCCTAGCATGTCTCAGAACACTTCCAAAAGGTCACCAGCCAATCCAAAGAATCCTGATTAAATTCTCTCAGCGGACACTGATACAGCTGCTCCTGTATAATTTTAGATAACCGCGCCGGCAAGGAGACGGGCATCCCGCAGAACACTCCCAAAAATCCTAAGTCATTCAATAAACCATAATGCTAGAAGTATGCTATTTGGTGCATGGACAGCATAGTGCTTATGTTCCAAATGTGGCCGGCGTCCTCGAGGCGTACACATTATTTTCAAAATAAATGCATGATGTTTATTCTACGCGTAGCGGTATAGCTTTTAGAAATGACAAAATACAGTGTTAAAGGTTACTTATTTGTGGTGTGTATTTTTATTTTATTTGTGGTGTGGGCTGATGTTGAAGAAAAATGTATTGGTTTACACTTACAAGTAAACGAACCCCAATGATATCCTTTCTATAATTATTTTTTTGTAATTCTCATGTAGCCGCAACTTTAATACAATATTTGTCATGACTTTCCTATTTGGAATAAATAAACAAAATACTTATTTTCACGCTAACAAACAGACCTCGCAACACAAAAAAACTCACAGTACCCACGAAAAAGCAAAATACTCAAGTTTACAAACACAAAAACTGAGATCAAAAATACAGAATAAAATTCTCATTCGTAGACCAGAGCAAAGCTTTACACAGGCCGAAATTTAGGAACACAAGAAATCAACGCAAAAAGTCAATAGACTCCACTCTATACACTAGAAAGAACCAAACCGAGATTGCTGTCCGAAAAATCCTGATTATTCTCCCCTCTAATGGGACGTCCCGAAGGATGTCCTAAAGGTCACGAGCTCCTCCCAAAAATCCTGATTACATCCCTTTTAACGCAACCATCCCTAGCATGTCTCAGAACACTTCCAAAAGGTCACCAGCCAATCCAAAGAATCCTGATTAAATTCTCTCGAAGCGACTCTCCTCAGGATCCCGCAGAACACTCCCAAAAGGTCACCAACCACTCCCTTCCGTGGCCGGCGTCGGGCGTTCATCATCCAGCAGCTCGGCCACATCCGCCTCAATATTCCGCCGCTGCCGGCTCTCCTCCGCGGCCTCCTTCAACTCCAGATGCAGCGATTTCCGCGCCCCACCGTTCTCTACCGCCACCGGAATGCGGTAGGCGGACGGCTCGTTCCGAGGATAATTAATCCGTTCGTACTGCACCGACGCGGTGCGCTGGACACTCCCGTTGCTCCGCGCGTCGAGATACGAGTAGGTGGAGCTGTGCGCCAGCGCCGCCGGGTTGAGGATCAGCCCGGAGGTGCGCGCCGCCGGGGTGGTCTCCAGACGGGGGGAGCGGACGGTGGGGCCGTTGGTGGTGTTGCTCCAGGTGTCGGTGACGTAGCGGCGATACTGGAGAAAGTGCTCCTGCATCTGGTTCGCTTCCTGTTCTAAGGCACGGATGCGTTTCTTCGCTTCGCTGATGGAGCGCAGCGAGACGGAGGAGGGTTCGTCGGGGGCGGCGTGGTCGTGCGCCGGGGGTTCGGCGCTTACGCGGGTGGGGGGCGGGGGCATGGAGATCACGGGGGTGTGCGCAACTGCATAACACACAGTCTTGGTTATGTACATAATAGTAAATGCTATCAAATCATTTTTCTATATTTTCAAATATTTACAACTAGTGGCGAAATTTTCACAACATTTTATCGGCGTTCCCAGGTTTAATTTAAATGCGATAATTGATACAAACTACAAAGAATTATCAGAAAATTAAGCTGGGATAAATTCAGAAACACGTCTGTCCGATTTGTCTTTGGTTCGTGTTGTTAACCGCCCAACTTAATTATTAATCGTATCAATCGCAGTTATTACGTTAAAGTAATTACTGACAAAATTAACTATGATACTCTATTTGTGAATATAATAATTAATGATACAATATATTCGCGGGAGTTGTCAGAATTAATATAACCCGTCAAAGAAGATCTATCAACTTTCCTTTCCTCGAATTATGACAACTTTCGTAGAACAACGGCACTGACATCAATCTTCCGTATGAAATTATACGGCATACGTTATACTGCAGGCCAGTTAGTTAACCGAAGTGTACAATCTATAATTTTACGCCTTTTATTTTTGTAAAGGCAACAGCAATATTCCACCTTAATCACGCACAAAATAATATCCCACGTTTGACAATATTTTTCTAGACACGCTGCTATTTTTGTCGTGACGATAGAAAGTTTTAACTTACAACTCGGGACACGCGGCGGTAGTACTATACTGCCGATCAAATCGCTACAAAACTTTCGCAATGCTAATTGCAACTAAACACTACTGTACATCAATAACTGTCACATGGAAGTACAAACTGAGTACAAAAACAAAATTCACAACCAAAACGCTAATTAAAAATAATGAAACCGTTTCTTTCTGTGGTAGAGGCATCTACCACTGAACATAACGGCTTTCGTAGAATAATGGCTTGAAACATTTGTTCCTTCCTCATGTGTTGAATTTAAGATCAACTAACTAACGAAAAAAGTCAGTAATACACTTTTTAATTCACTACAATTATCAGACCCACGTTTCTATATTTATAACTGCAGTAGCAATAATTTAAAACACGCTGCTATTTGCTTAGAATTTTCTGAAATCTAAATGCATCGGTAACACTGCTGATTAAATCGTTAAAAATCTGCCCGTACATCAGTTTGAAAATCCGAAGCCACCCTACCTGACTGCGCCGGCGGCTGCATCATCATCCAGGTGGCCTGCGACGCCACGCCCTGCATCCGCGCCATCCTCCCATTCAACTGCTCATACCGCTCCTTCTGGTCACTCCACCGATTCCTCCAGTCCTCCACTTCCCGGGTCTTCTCCCGAATCAGCCCCCGCAGCCGCGCCCGCTCCCCCTCCCAGCGCACCCCATCCAGCAGGTTCTTCTCCGCAGCCCATCCGCCTCGCGGCGCAACGCTTCCATCCCGCGCTCCGGCTGCAGCATCTTCTCCGTCAGCTCGCGGACGGTGGCGGTGTGCTCCTGTCGTTCCTGCGTCATCTCGGCTTGGAGGGCGGCCAGCTGGCGGCGGAGGTGGGCAGCCTCGGTGTCGGCGTCGTGGAGACGGGTCTTGAGGGCGTCGTAGTCGGAGTGGGCGGTGGCCGCCGCCTTGAGCTTCTGGTTCTCGCGGTGTAGCCGGGAGAATTCGGCTTTGATTTTCTGGATGAAGGGTTTCGGTTCGGTGAGCGGCGGGGCGGAGGGCGGGAGGTCGTCGTCGGAGATGATGGTGCGGGTCAGGTGTTCCTGTTGAGGAAAACGGTGACTGGATAATTATCACAGTAACTGAATATTTTCATCCGATGAACACAACACCAGTTATTTATTATTTGCATTACTTTAATAATTTTATTTATAACTTTATTATTTCTTCAGCAGCGCTGCTACAATTTTGTAATCTGCAAACAGACTGTTCTAGTAAGTAACAGCGCTTCATGAAAATGTTTGGCGATTAATATTAATGAGTAAGAAAATGGTGAATATTTCCGCCTAGTGACCACAAAATCAGTATTTAAATTTTTTATTCCCTAATAAAATTTTTTATCAATTACTGTATCTATTTACTCTGCAGCGTTAAGTCTGAAATTTACAAAACAGATTTTTCCCCGTAACACCACTCTAAAAAAAGGTGTCGGAGTATCACTGCAACAGGAACGAAATTCCAAAACATTCTGCGCTTTAATAGCGAATATTCTAGATTTCAGCCTAAAATTTTCGACTACGGATACGGATAGTCCCATAACATTATTTTATCATAACAACTGGAACCGTAATGTTATTTCTCTAGTAAAAGAAATAATAATTAAAAATATTACTCACATTAAAACGTATTAAATGTTATTCGTAATTGTACAAGAGATATTAGGTACAAGAACAAAATCGCGTAGTCGACGGCACACGAGTGGCCCATGATGCACTTATTCACTGCACTACGAAATCTCTGTATTTTCGTATCACCTGTAATTTCAGCGGTGTGGCTTCCTTCGTCAGCCGCAATTATATCACAAATTTTTAACTTAACTTGGCAACGTAACAATTCAACGGAAATCGTAACATTATTTCCCCAATAAAACACAGTACTCTTATATACTAATTATTAAAACTATAATTTTAAAAACATTACGTTAGTACAAAAGATAATTAAAAGTATTCTGTGCTAGGGGAGGCGGGAGTGCGACGTGCGTACAGCAAATTCCGTACCTTCGAGCCAGAATGCACCCACTGCACTACGAAATCTGTGTTCTCGTATTACGTTCAATATGTTCAATATCAGTGTGGATTTTTCCTTCTTCAGCCGCAATTACAACTGCAAATTTTTATCTCGAGATAACAACGTAATTATTCAACGGAAATTGATCGAAAATATTAAAGACCCAATTTTGAAAAAATAATTATTTTTGTAAAAATACACTTAATAATTCGCATTAGACATTCTGTGCTACTGGTGTGTGAACAGGAAATTAAGGTGCACGGGTGTAGGGGAGCAGAATGCACTCACTGCACTACGAAACTCGTCAACACTCTCGTCTTACCTTCAGTTAATTAAGTATATCAGTGTGGCTTTCTCCTTTCTCAGCCGCAATTACAATCGCAAATTTTTAACTCGAGACATCAATGTAATTATTCAACGGAAATCGCAATGTTATTTCCTTAAAAATAATGCATAATTATGAAAAATATAATTTAGAAAAACTAATTATGTTAGTAAAAAATACAGTTAAGTAAAAATATTATTCACGGTAAACGTATTCTGTGCTATTGGTGTGCGAACAGAAAATTACGTGGGACTGAAAATAATGCACTACTGCACTAAGAAATCGTCTACATTCTAGTATTCTTACCTTCAGTTTCATCAGTGTGGCTTCCTCTTTCTTCAGCCGCTCTTCCCGCTCGTCCAGCTCCTTCCCACGGCTCTTCAACGCCTCCACCACCTTCTGCTCCACCAAACTGCCCCACGGCGGCGTTCTTATTCTCCAACCGCTGCGACAGCTCCGCCAGTTGTTTGGCCTTGGTGACCAGCTCTTCCTCCTGCCCGGCCAACCGGCGCCGACCGTCCTCCTCGGCGTGGCGCGCCTTCTCCTCGCGCTGCTGCAGCACCTCCTGCTGCTGCAGCAGCTCCTGTCGCTGCGCGAACTGCGCTTGTTCGGCGAGATGGAGGCGCTGGTGCATGGCGTCGTAGGCGGCGGTGTGGTCGCGCATCCGCGCTTCCCAGTTGGCGGTAACGCTGAGGAGTTCGCGGGTGTGGCGGGATTTCTCCTCGTCCAGCCGCTGCTTCATGTCGGCGTTGTGGGTCTGGGTGAGCTCGTGCCGAATAGCGGCGCGGAGGTTGGATGCCAGATTGGCTTCGTAACTGTAAACGCGATATCCACCGTTCTTATATTAATAATATTATTCTTATCCCTTAATTCTTCCGTAATAATTACAGATACGAGTACAGCTACGAAGCGTTGCTGTTGTTAACACAACAATTTTCTCACCGTCAGAAATTATCATAAATTTATTATATCACATATTCCATAATTCTAATTATTAATTTTCAAGCTTCAACTTCGATTATCACGCCCGCTAGCAATTTAAACATTAATAAAAACATTTTAATTTTTTGGCTTGATTTATAGTCAATAATTTTGAATTTCCTCATTTTAGGGATTCCAGTTTCTCGCACTTTTATTAATATTACTTACTCTGTACAAAATAATATTACTTGATTTTTTCTGCATTCTACAGTATCTGTAGCCTGCAATGTCTACATAATTATTCTGAAGAAATTTATTTAGAAAAAAAACTCAAATTTGCCGGCAAACAAATCCAAAAATTAACAACTTTCAGAAACAAAAATTCTATCAGCTAAATACGGACTTTTGCTATATCATTCAGAAGAAAGAACATTTTTAAAAAATAAAAATCGCCTGAACCTTACGCAAGAATTTTCGAGTTATTATCAAGGTAATGTGCAAAAATAATCACACCCCTTTTGCTCATGCCAGTGTTGTTATTATTTGAAAAGCATGACAGTAAATAATCCAGTCGCAACTCGCAATATAAAATGCTGACGCAGTCTGTTTACTCAGCGAAAATTAAAGCGCTCTCGGACAATGAAAGCGTCTTATGCTGATAAAAACCGCACAAAAAGCCCATACTTTCCGGCTCTTATCGGCTGTTTACCCAAGAGTGTCAATGGATGTATTAAACGGTGACAGATACATGTAACCATCTATCTCAAGGGAAGCGACGGCGAAGATGGATAATCCAATTATTCCCCTTGAAAATCTGACACCTGTCAAGGCCGCTTCGGCACAAATCAGCCATTTTCAGCCGGCTGTCAATTATTTTCTTATATCGACACCAATCCGTCTGATTGAAAAGCCGGGAAAAGGATTTTACGAAAATTTTGTAAGTCAGACAAAGCGTGGGAAAATGTTGTGCCACACAAAATAAACTGATCTTCGGGTATCTCCTTTGCTTTTTACTGTACGCAGAATCCCGAAAATAACTAAATCCAAGAAAATGTTAAAAAGCGGGTGTTTCATTGAAATTATGTAATGAATAAAAAAATCATTTTATATCAATATGGTCACGAAATTCCCCAAAAACTGACGAAATTGCTGCTCGTACAATATTACACCGATAAACAAAGCTTCAAAAATTCTCATAAATACATATTTCAACTTCAAAATAATGTAATCCGGACATACATCGTCACAGAAATTTCGGAAATTTATTCAGTAAAAAAACCGACAAACAGGTAGACAATATTTTTGTTAAATATTCTAAATACCTAAGGACTTAATTTTTTAATTAACAAACAATCCAAAACTCGACATTAACATACCAATACTTCAGAAAATACTCCTGCGCTCCAGTAATTATTTTTATTTAAAAAAAGGCGAAATTTTATAACAACCAGCCTGTTTTTATATAAAACTAATAAGAGAAAAATATTTGAACCACAAAAACTCACAAAAATCAGCGAAAAAGTCACAAATTACAAACGTACCGTTCAAACGCTGCGGCGACATCCCACCGTCCCGTCTGCTCCCATCCCAATCGTCTCCGCACCTCCACCATCCTCAACCGTTCCTCCAACGCCAGCTCCCGTTCCTCATCCACCTCCGTCTGGACCTCCCGCCCGACACCCCCCTGCTTCCGCTCCCCATTCCACCCGACCCCTTCATCCACATTCACCGGCAGCTTCTGCATCAGCCAACTCAAAAAACTCCCCTCCTCCCCGGACACGGGCCCCTTTACCCGCAGGAAGCGCAGGAGATCCCCCCGCGGCATGGGATGGACGTGGCTGTTCAGTCCGCTCTCCGGGAGGAAGACGGACAGGCTGAAATCACAGGCGGACGCGCGGAGATGCTGAGCCACCACGGCGTGCGACAGCTCCCGTAGGGGGTCCGGAGGGCGGTCGGCGGGTTGGGCGGTGAGGATGTGCGACGGGGTGAGGTGCAGGGCCAGGGTGGCGCGCATCTGGGCTTTGAGCTGCGCGGCCAGGTGGGGCGACTGGAGGCGGGCCAGGAGGTCCTGCCGCAGGGCGTTCTCGTTATCCATGGGGTTCCCTGTGTCTTCGTCATCCTCCTGGTCGGACAGGGGGAGGTGGTCAGCGGGATGACCGTTGCGCAGGACATCCATCCAAAAACAATAATTTATCCTGTATCACTGAGTAAACGCGTTGAGTCATGCCATGTTGATCAGATTAGATCGTTAACACAGCCGCAATCGATGTCAAGTTCAATGTCCGGATGGCAGTACGCAAATTATCCACATTGAGCTGGGAAATATTTTTTACGATAAACGGTGTAGGTTTTGCAGAAACGTGGAGGAAAAAATCACGGTTGATCGGATAAAAGTTAATGAATTATGGATGAACCATTTATGTAATTTTGGCTGGGAAATCAGAAAATGCACTTTGAAGTTTGTGAGCGACTGATTTGAATCGCTGCAAGGCACGGATGCTGGCTGGCAAGTGAGGACATCGCGCCGGCTACGGCTCGGTTCCGGTCCGTATACCAGTTCCATTGGAGGCCGCGCAGCTCTTGTAGTCTTGACAGCGCCAAATGGGACAGTTTTCCAATACCAGTGCAGACTGGAAGTGGAATCATTGACTCACCGAATAAAATGAAATTTTCTGCTCTTTTTCGAAGTTTTTGTTACTGTAGTAAGCTGTAAGTATTTTGATTTTCGCACTTTTCTTTTTCTAACTTTTCTTATGATTGACGGGAGTTTCCTGGACTTTCGGTACTCTTTATTTTTATGCTTTCAATCTTAAGTTCCGAATTGTATTGAAGTTTTGTAATCTAGTTAGACTAAGTTAGTAATCTAGTTTTCGAGCTTGAAATCCGAGTTTAGCAGCTGGCAGTTTCTTTTACTCCGTGCTTTCTGCTTAGTGCCTACAGAAGTTAATATTCCATGGTGCGCAGTTAGGACCGCACGGAATTTTACTGGGACTTCCGATTTTGAACCAGCTGTTCTTTATTTATGCCTTACTGATTTGAATAATCCCAATTTTGGTTCTCATCAATGATCCTCGCTTGAGGGAGCTTATCATTTATTTCCTCATCATCTGCGCAGGCAAATCGTGGAAACCCAGTTTCAGCATCGTGACAATTCGGGAGGTCCCTTCTCCAACCATGACGACCGCCAACCCCGATCCGCGGACCCCCGCCACTCCATCCCCGCGCGGTGCTGCCCCCGTGGACATGCGCAGCCCCTACATGCCGCCGCGGGCCCTGACGGCCGCGGAGCTGACCGCCGAACGCGAAGCCAAGGAGCAGAAGAGCGTGCTGCGTCTGTTGCGCCGCTACAAATGGACCATCATCGCCCCCACCCTGACCATCTGGTGCATCTACGCCGACTGGCAACGCACGCAGCGCGACAAAGCCTCGCGGGCCGCCCAGACCGCCCTGCCCCCACCGGTCCCTCCCCTCAGCGTCCCGGAGAAGGCTCCGGCGGTGGCGAAGACAGTCGCAACTGCGGCGCGATCGTAATGATGGGCGATCGGGTGTTTTTGCGACGAGAGTTGGTGTTGTGGGGTGTCGAGCATCCCCGGAAAATTTCTGGTGTTTTTTTAAACCTGTTGTTCAGTTTTTGTGAATAATTTGTTGTGCTGGTTCAGCCTGGTTGAGGAGAGTGGTCTTTGCGAAGCGGTGAACATACTACGTTACATAATAAACGACTGGTAGTGACAGGTAGTCGGTAGAATTATTTGAATTAGCTTGCTGTCAGTTTATTTAAATTTAAATTAATAAATAATAAGATTTAATAATTTTATTTGAACAAATTTAATATACATAAAATGTACCCATGGAACTGATGGAAGTAAGTACGCAGTACGACTACGCACTCGTAGCTGTTTTACTCATTTTTAAAGTAGTTCGTAGGTGTGACTTGCGAGTTAATTTTGCGAAATGTGAATAATATTGCAGCTAATTGATGGGGAATGATGTAGTGCACTGGCGCTAGGCAAATTTGCTATTAATTTTTGCTCACAATAATATGAATATCAGTAGCCTACGTGCTACGTACACTGAGAGCATTGCTCACACTCAGCCTCACAGTTGTAAAACTTAAAATCGATTTTGCTCTGAGCAATATTTTGACGCAATGCGGCCACCGGGAATCAGATGTTAACCATCTTACTCACAAATGACGTCATGCGCGTACGCTATCAGAACGCATGTGATTGGTTGGCTGAGAAATTGGCTCTGTTTTTTAAATTATTATAATTTCTTAGAATAAAAATTATTTTATTTTCTTTTTCTCTCTTTACGTACTTATTTTATTATCTTTATAGAATCTTCGGTAATTAAATCATTTTGGCAATAAATCTAAAAAACAGTCAAAACCGGATTTAATGAAATTCTGCAATTGGTCCAAGCCATATCCGCTAGGCGGAGCCACAATTTGGTCATTAGCCTTTGACTTGATACCGAACGGCGGCGAAGAGCATCGAACACAGTTTTTTCGCTTCTACTTTTTCCAGTTCCTGCTTCGGGGTTCTTTCGTCAGTGAATTAATTTTATTGCTTACACGAGCTCTGAGCGCGGCAGGGATCTTTCACTTTTCGATTGATCATTTAATCCACCACGGTAATGCTGATATTTTGCCACTACTAGCAGGCACAACAAGCACTTCTAAGTTACCTGTTCCTGTACAAACCTGTTATTGACTATTCTCAGAAATTTGTTTTCGAGGTTTTACGTAGGATTTCTCTCATTCTGCGAAGGATCTCTCCTTGGTAGTGGCATCAGTCTTTAGTGTTCAGTTGGTAGTTGATCATTTATAGCCATCATCTTCTCTTAACTATACACTTTATCTCCATTCGTTCCCATTTTGGGGGGTTCCCATGAAACTGAAATCTTTGAAAAACCTGGTCAGCATTGCAATTTGCATGCGAATTTCACTGCTTGCGAAAAAGAACGTCATTGTGGCTGTGTAATTTTCAATGAAAGATTCGGCTGTACAGGGAATTACAGTGGTCGGTTTTTGGTCTAGTTTGGCATCAACATGTCCGCCACCGCCACCAAGCGGGCTTGTCCCGATGAGCCCACGGCCTCCCCCGCCAGCGCCCCCTCCAACGGACACTCCCCCCGCTGCGGGACGGCGCCCCCGGTCCGGGGAGGGGGTCCCCCGCGCGGTCCCTCCTTCGAAGAACTGTGGATCAACCTCCATCCCGGGCTGATGCAGATCTTCCAGCTGGAGAGCATGACCCGTCGCAACTACATGATGCTGCATTCGTACGTCAACCCCCTTCGCAGTGTCCTGTCATTTTTCCGGGATTATATAGGGAAATGTTGGAAAAAATTCCTGAATAATCTTAGAATAATTATACTAATTAACTAATAATAAAAAAATGATTATTAAAGTTATAATTCATGTTAAAAGTATTTATAATCTGCAAAATACATTATAAATAAAATAGATAAATCATAAATGTTTATCATTTTATGTGGATAAATATATTAATAATTTTAAGATGCATAATTTTCAGGCAAGTGTACAGTTATTCCACCAATGTGGCGGATGAGCAGGAGCAGAATGTGGATCGGCAGGCGTTGGATCGCAGCCGGCATAAAGGCCGCGTACTGTATACGAAACTGCAGGAACTCATCGCCGAGCGGCTGGCCATCGTTCTGGAGGTGAAAATAAGAAAATACAAATAATTTTATTCATTGGCATGTTATCATAAAATCATTAAGTGAAATAAATCACTAAAATGTAACGTAGTAAATTAAAAAAAAGCCGTAATATCCGTTTAGCCACTGCGTAATGGTCTACCGCCCTGGCCGATTGGTGTGCTGTAGGGGCGGCCTGGGGTACGGGTACATGCGACTTCCGGTCGAGCAAAAACTGCCCAAACATTTCGCTGGATCGTTGTAATCCGTATTTTTTGTCATTTTAAAATTTATTAAAATTGTGGTGCACCATTATTAATTTTACAATAATTATTATAACTTTTAACGACTTAGCTGGAAGTCTTTTGAGAATTTCTTGATGTGTGATGGTTGCGCTGAACTGAAAATGTTTCCTGCTAACCGCATCAGTTTTCTTTTCCATTCTGGATCTCGAATCTTGTCACAAATTGTTTTTATTTTGAATGCCTGCTGCAGGTTTTTGACTTTTTTCTGTTGTTGTTTAGACGTTCAGTGGGGACCGCGGGGACGGCATCTACCTGCTGCAGCACTATCTGGGGCGCTGGAAGGATTTCCGCTTCTCCAGCCAGGTGGCCAACGGGATCTGCGAGTACCTGAACCGTGTATGGGTCAAGCAGGAACAGGCGGTCGAAGGTGTGGATGACGTGTTCACCGTGTTCGGGGTACGTTGACACTAAACTCTTCACCCTTCCAGTTATTTTCTAATCATGCTTATTAAAAAATCCGGTGGGCCTTCGCGTGTTTTGATTTGTCCAGTAATTTTCTGGACCTTTTTTACCAGTTGATCATTGAACTGAATTGCGGTTTGTAACCTTGGGAATTTTGTTTTGCAGACGTGTTTTGTCCAGTGGAAGAACTGTGTGTATCAGCCGTTGGATAAATCGGTAAAAATGCCGTTAAAAAGATGTTCACTCTGAATTTGCGTTGAATTCTTCCATTATTTGTGGTGTCTGTTTGTGGGCAGATTATGCGCGCTATTTTGGATCTGTACGCCGCGGATCGCAATGGCGAAGTGATCGAAAGCCAGCTACTCCACAATGTCATCCATAATTTCGGTAGGTGACAAACGGGAAGATTTATTTAATAATTTGAAATACTTATTATTAATTATGATTATAAATAATGATGTTGTCGACCAGTTCAAATGAATCCAGGTTAAAAAAGATTTCGTTATTTTTCTGAAATTAATTGAGTATAATTATGATGTTAGTTGATGCGAGTAATTATTAAACAAAAAAAGTGTATGTGCAAATAATTGGTCGGTTTAATTAGTCAGTTAAGAAATGGGTTTTTGTGATATTTTCCAGTTGAATTGGGTGTAACGGCCGACGATATTGGCATCAATCTGGATGTGTACAAGAAGCTGTTTGAGGAGCCGTTTCTGGAAGCCACCCAGGCGTACTACGTATGGGAGAGCGCCACGTTTTTGCAGACTAACTCCGTTTGTGACTATGTTATGAAGGTAAAGAAATGCGCGAGTTTCTACTTCATTGTGCTAGTATTCAGTAATTTGTTTTCTGATTTTGTTGAGAATATTTTTTGCCGTTTTTTTGCGTTATTGAATTTATTATTATTTATTTACAGTCCTGAGAATTGGGGTTTCTGGTCGGTTTGAGTTGTTTTTACGCAGTTTCTGTACGCATTTTGGTAACCTAAATTTCTCCAAAAATTATTGAAATGGTGAATTGTTTTTCTTCATGTTTTGTGCGAATTTCGGCGACATAATTTCTGTTGAGTTGGATTTGTTTTTATATCGTTTTTCCCATAGGTTCATCGTCGCTTGCAAGAGGAAATAGAACGCACCGCGAAATATCTCCATGAATCCACATCACAACCACTGACCAAAGTCCTGGAAGAGGCTCTAATCATCCATCACAATCACATTTTTGACGCCGAATTTACCAGCCTGCTTACCCGGGAACGGGTCGAAGGTTCGTCGCATTAGAAGATTTTGGAACAAAATCGAAAATCTTTCGAAATAAATTTTACCTAAACCCGAAAATTGGCTATTATCAAGATTATTCGTTTGAAAATAAGGAGTATTAATTTTGTTTTCGACGTTTTCGGTGACACTTCACGCACTGTTTTGATTTGTTCGTATCGCGCTCCTCGGGAAAAGAATATAGCTAAGGCTCAGCAAAATATTTCCAAAATAATCCCGGCAAAAATAAGAAAGAATTCCACAGAATAATACAAGTTTACTTACGTATATATTTAGTTATGATTTGTCTACATTGATTTTATTGTTACATTTTTTTACTGGGTCTCTGGTGTAAATAAAGCCCGCTAACAGCGAAAACTGAAAAGCTTAATAAACGCGGACAGGTATTCAAGCCCTTGCTGCTTAATTGTAGAATTGTCGATCATCGATAATTTGCTCAGTCGGATTCCGTCGCGGACGAAGGATCTGCATAAGCTGCTCGTCACGCACATCACCACTCAAGGCGGGGAGGCCATTTCCAGCAAAGCGGACAGCCTCCTCAATGATCCGCGGGCCTTTGTCATGTTGCTGCTAGAGCTGTACGACCGTTACCTGCGCATCGTCAACGGGGCCTTCAAGAGCGATCTGGAGTATTCCAATGCCATGGATCGGGTAAATTTTGATCGGAATACATAAGTGAAAAAACATAGAAAGCTTCAAAGAAGTTTTATGATTTTAATTAAAAAAAATCAGTCTAGAAAACCTTAAGCAAATTTAAATGGTTACAGATTTCACTTTTTGTCATTTGGTTTTGCTGTCTTCCGTAATTCCTGCGGGACTGGTTAAGTCGACTTGAGTGCATAGTTAGGATTCATTAAAAATAAAATGATTTAAAAGTTGTTAAAATTCAGTTCAATAAAAATTAGTTTAATTTTCGATAACTGTGAGCGAATTTCAGTAAATTCAGTTTGAATTTCGATGTGCGTTGTTTTGCGATGTTACTCAGCCCTTACAATAATTTCTACGCGAATCTGTAGAGTAAGGATTTATTTTTAACATTGTCTCTTTTACGGAGACAATTTTTATATTTTTTTCTGGTATTTTTTTTTGAATTAATGAACTGGAGCTTTTGGATTAACTGGCAAAATATGTATGAATGCTTTCGTCTATCTGTACGACAGGCGATGGAGACTCTGGTGAATAAGAACGCCGTGACGGAGATGGCCAAAAGCACCCAGAAAGTGCCGGAATTATTGGCCCGCTACTGCGATCTGCTGCTGAAGAAAAGGTAATAAAATTTGACCGAAAGTGTCACTTACACGGGTGATACGTTGTCGTCTACGAGTATTCGGAGCACTGTGTTCTATTTTGTTTCTCTGGTAATGCAGTCCCCAGAATCCGGACGATGCGGAGCTGGATAAATGTCTGGATCGTGTGATGATCGTCTTCCGCTACGTTGAGGATAAGGACGTTTTTCAGAAGTATTACACACGCATGCTGGCCAAGCGCTTGGTGCACGGCTTGTCGGCTAGTGACGATCTGGAAGGCGCCATGATCTCCAAACTGCGGGTCAGTATCTCTGTCCGACGTATTTTTTTTTTGTATATTATTTGTTATTGTTAAATATATTTTCAAAATTACTTTTGTATTTTTGTTATAGTTTCGATATCGTATTTTTTGAATTTTCGTTATTTTATTTTCATTATCTTTATTTATGTATTTTCTTTTTCATTATTAAAATTTTCTTTTTTGTTTTTATTATAGTTTTTATCGTCATTATTATTTTTGGTTTTGTTTATTGTTGTTTATTTGTACTTTCAGCTATGATTAATTTTCTAATTGGCTTGCATTATTATTTTCAACGATTTTTCGCTTCGATTTTCTACGATTTTTCGCTTCGCTTCGATTCTTTTTTTCTTCGATTCTTCGATTTTTTTTTCGCTTCGATTTTCAACGATTTTTCGCTGGCAAATTAGTTATTTTTAATTGATTTTCTTTTTTACTTATTTGTGGGAAATTGATTGTTAATTTTTTGTTTTATGTAAATTTAAGTTAGCTTCGTACTGAGAGGTGCTTTTTGGTTTAACACTTCGTCGACTGGCAGTTTTGAACAACGAGGTCTACTTTCATGGTGTAAGCCACCAGAAGCCCACGATTGGTCATTAGCTTTTTCTGCCCAATGGTGCCTTTTGTTTTCATTATGTTTGACCAATTCCATGAAGGGAGAAAACAAAAGAAACAGAGTCAGACAGGTGCGCCAGATTTACTTGTGATGAAAGAGAAGGGAGACAACAGAGCAGTGCTATCTCTTTCATCAGCCCAGCTGACCCGGATCAGCCATATACCTACATCGGCTTGCGGTATGCTCACCTGCGCTGCGTCTTCTCGGCTGCTTCAGTTGTCTTCCATGTATGCCGTTTTGTCGAGCACGGGAATCATTGGGCAGTCTTCTCAGACTTCCCAATGCTTCCCATTTTTTTGTTGGGCAACGGCACAACATATATCGCTGAAAATTTACCAGTTACATACGAATGTTGTTTAGTACGAGGCCTGATTTTCTCGAAACCTTTCATTCACGCAGCAGGACGGTGTGGCCTTTGAATGCTCATGTCCCAAAAGGATGGTGACTCACACCATCTCGATTTTGGACTTCCGGTAGCACCGAGTAGGTCAAAACCAACACGATCAGAAACTAGACCCGTTTTCACTCACATAGCCAAAAAGTTTTGTTAAAAAATTATTTTTTTGAAATTTGTTACTGAATTAATAAGGTCACTTCTGGTGTGAGTAACCGTGCTAGTAGACGAAGTGTTAAAATACCCTCGGGTTATTTTTGACGGGTTGCCGCTTCGGGGTGCATGATCGAAACCTGATGCAGGCGTGTTTATACTCGTACATCAGCTGATTATCTTGAATGAATCATCATGTTGTGGTTTGCTCTGCAGACGTTGTGCGGCTTCGAGTACACCATCAAGCTGCAGCGCATGTTCCAGGACGTCAGTCTGAGCAAGGACTTGAACGAGGAATTCAAGCACAGCCCCGATCATAAGCGTCTGCCGGAGAAGCTGGAGTTCACTCTGCAGATCCTCAGTAACGGCGCCTGGCCCTTCACGGAGAAGGTCAACCTCAGTCTTTCGGCCGAGGTAAATTATCAGAACAACTTCAAGGTTTATTTAACATTGCGGATGATTGGGTCGATTTCGTATTTTTTGATTTTGTAAGATTTTTTAAATTTATTTGTTATAATTTTTTAATAATTGCGACACTGCATCCAACAGTTCATTGGCGTTATGTTCCAGTTTCCATTTTAATTTTTTTAGCCTTTTGTAATTTAGCGAATGGATCGGTAAAGTTCCATAGCACTTTATTTTAATTTATTTTCATTGTTTATATCTATGGTGGTTTTTTATGTTGTTATCATATTTCTTGAAGAATTGATTTTATTTTAATTAAATTTTGTGATGCATTTTCGCTAGCCGTTTATTTTTATTTATTTTCATTGTTCATCTACAGTAATTTCTTATGTTAATAATATATTTCCTGAATAATTAATTTTATTCCAATATAATCTAATCGTACATTCTGGTGATGCACTTTTTCGTTAGCAGGTTTTTATAATTTATTTTTCATTAATTTTGCCGTTTCGCAGCTGGAACGCCCGCTGACGGTGTTCACCGACTTCTACCGCAACAAGCACGCCCAGCGCCGACTGCGCTGGCTGTACTCGGTGTCGCGTTGCGAAATGACCACGACCTGCTTCCCCATGCGCCACATCCTGCAGGTGTCCACGTACCAGGCCGCCGTGCTGCTCTTGTTCAACGAGATGGACGCCGCCCGCATGGAGCAGCTGGCCACACTGGCTAACGTCGAGATGGCGCTGCTCGTGCAGATCGTCATTCCGCTGGTCAAGAGTAAGATGTTGCTGACGGGGGAGGGCGCCGGCGACGTGGAGGAGAAGGATCTCCTCCCCGAGACGGAAGTGAAGCTCAATTTTGGCTTCCGCAGGTGGGTGTTCGGACGTGATATTGATTTTTATAATGAAATAATAGTTTTGGTATTTTCATTAGGTTTTGTTTCTCATCGGTAAATTTCTGGGAATAAAAAAGGCTCATGTTTTAACGGAAAGTATTAGTTTGTATTATTATAAATAACTTATAGTTATAGTTTCGCAAATATTTTGAGCATTTTTAAAAATTTATAAATTTGTATAAATTTACTTACACATAGTAATGTTTTTTTCTTGTACACGTGTAATTTATTAGTAACATTGTGGGTTTGATAGTAATGTTGTGAAAATAAAAGTTACAGGAAATCAGTGGCTGTTTCCCATTTTCTGGCCAATATCTGGTGCTAACGGAATGTTTGATTGAATACGGTTCTGTAGTAAGAAGATGCGCATCAACCTGAACATGCCGATGCGGGCCGAGCAGAAGCAGGAGGAGGAGGCCACGGCGCGCAACATTGAGGAGGACCGCAAGATTGTTATCCAGGCGGCGCTGGTGCGCGTCATGAAGATGCGCAAGACCCTCAAGCACCAGCAGCTCATCGCCGAGGTCCTCACCATCCTCTCCACCCGTTTCAAGCCCACAATTCCACTGGTTAAGGTCCGTATCCGCATTTATTTACCAAATATTCTACGTAATGTATAATCTGTTTCTTAAGAATTTTTAAATGTTTTTAAAAATACCTTGACATGTTTTATTCGAATATTTTTAAATTCTTCGTTGTAAAAAATGATGTGTTTACAGGAAAATGAGCCGGATATTAAAATAATGCTGTTGTGGATTTTTCTGACATTTTTTTGTTTTTTATTTATTTGAAAAATGCTGTAAATAAGTTAGATATCTGCATTGTCTTGTGTCCTTTTAATATTTTGTAAGGATTTTTCAAAAATATCTTGACACATTTTATTGGTTTTTTATTGCAGAAATGTATTGAGATTCTGATCGATAAGGAGTACATGAAACGCGACGAAGAAGACCAAACCCAGTACAGTTATGTGGCGTAAGACTCAGCCGCGGCCTATTTGCCCAAGTAATCGCCGTGTTTTATGTTTTTAAGCGTAATTTGTTTTCCCTTGTGGATGAATGACGTTTTGCATCAGCCATCATGTAATTTTGGACAAATATCTGGTTTTAAGACGGAAAAGAGAAGGATCGCATATTTTGTTCGGTATATATACTGTTTGCCTTGTGTTCACCTTTTTTTGGGCCATTTTGATCTCTCTTTCGTTGGAGATGAGAGTATTTTGACGATGTGGAGAAACTGTCTTGTGTTTTACGCAGTTTTTGATCGCTTTTGATCTTAATCGGAAAATATTGGTATTTCTTTTGTCGGTTTTGGACAGCTGAATAAACGTTGAATAAAAATCGAATAAGAGAAAAAGCGCTCGATTTTATTGCTGAATGAATGCTGGTTTTATTGCTTATTATGAAATTCGGGGATTTTGAAATTAAAATAAGCTTGCTGGATGCTCGTTCAATCTTTTTTTTAATAACAAACTAACAACGCAAGAATAATATTACTGATCATAATCAAAAATTACAGCGATTTTTTTAATAATAAAAAATTACTGAAGCAGTGATAAATTGATAACAGTTGTTAATTAATAATTTTAATACTCAATAATAATTATCAATAAACTTTCACTGCATTTATAATCTATCTAGCAAAGATTATTATTTTCTTTTTCTGGCAGAATGGCAGCTGTTTAATAAATTCTGAATAAAAATTATTAAGGGAAGGATAGGCAAACATTTGTATTTGTTGAAGCTGGTATTTTTTCTGGTTCTTACAAAATTAATGTTTTGTTTTAAAATTATATTCATTTTAGGTAATTCACAAAATTTAAACTGGCTCTTTTAAACAATTATAGAAGTATTCATTTTAATGTTTGTAAATTTTAGCGAGTTAATTGTCCATAACATGCATAAAACTTGCATTTATCCTATTCATCAGTCATCTAACAAGTAACAAAGATTATGGCAATAATTAAAACAATATAAACAAACCAACAGCATGCAAAACTGTTATTGGCAAAACAAATTGTAGAATTATTTTATCAAATTTGCGACGTCGAAACGAAGGAGAATCATTTATCTCCTCTTCCTCCGTATCGCCGGGATAATTGTCCGGCGTGGTGGGCGGATAGGTGTACCGTTCGCGATCCGTGCAGTAGGCCATGTCCGGCAGTTCCGGTGCCGGTTTGCCCCAGACACGCTGCAGATCGGCCAGATGCCAGCTGTTGCAGCAGTCGCTTTTACACGCGCAGACCACCGTTTTTACCACGGTTTTCGGATACTCCACGGGATGCTTCGTCATAAACTTACCTGCAAATCTGCCACGTAATCACAAATTTTCCGGAGTAAAATTGGCACTGACGTCACAAAATAAAAATATTAAAAACAATAAATGTGTAAATGCATTTCACTAATATGCTAAATTAGATCCGACTATTTTAAAAACTATGTAATTTCGTAACGAAATAATTTTTTAATACTGAATGCATAAATTTATTAATCTTATGGATGCATGTACTAACATACCATTAAATTCTTTTTGTACTCTCCAGGAATTTCTTTGCACGAGATAAATAAATCTTTAGTAAATCTTTAATCTTTAATTTATACAGAAATTAAACAAATATACTGAAGCTTAGAACAAACAAATTTAAGAACATTAAAAATATTTCTGTAAAAAATTTGCTAAAGAAAATAAAAAAATATTTCTCCAGTATACTAACGCTTAGTTAAAATCTAATAAGTAATGATTTAAAATCATTTCCCAGTTTGCCAGAATTTCACAGGCATTTAAATTAATGCATTTATGAAGCAAAGTCGTGATACTTCACAGAATAAAAAAGGCGAGTCAAATACCATGGAAAGAATGAAGTTAATTATAATAAAAATATTGTTAATAGTCACTGGAAGTAGCACTTGAGCATTGGCCATGTTCTAATGAAACGGAATAAAAAAGACGAAAAAAATTAAACTAAAAATTCAACGCAAATAACTATTTTTAAGCTATTACCATCTGCATATGACTCGCAATAGCGCGATTTCCCCGGCATGGCGCAGCTGCGCGTGATGGTGGCCGGGAAGTAGAAGCGGCCGTCGTCGCGCGGATCCGCGTAGGTGGCGTTGACGAGGCAGAACTCCTCGCGATTATCACAGGTGCGGAAGGCTTTCGCCGTGCCAATCATCCGCTCCGTATCCTCACAGGCCATCTTGCTGGCCGGATCCCGAAAGTTGGGTCCGTGGCAGTACAGACAGCGGATCTGCTGGCCCGTGACCTTTCGCGGTAGCATCGCCATGCTGAGCAGCATGCACCAGAGCATACACACTGCTGTCGTAATCCGTAGAACACACACAACTACGTTTCTATAAGCATTAGTATATTAAAAAACTGCGCGTAGGATGAACTTAAATTCATCCCTGATTCGTTTTCAGGTATTATTTTTACGAAGCACCTTGCTCAGAAGTGTGCCCGAACACACGATGGAAATTTGATTTGAACGCGACTTATATAAATTACCCATAAATACTTAATTACTCGTAAGTCCTAAGTGAAGAATTTGAAAATGGTTTTTCGAAAACTGTATTTGATTGTTAATATTAAATTCACAAAATATAAAATAAAATTTGAATAGCGCAGATTTTATTTAGTTGCGTCGTCACTCTATACGCTGTTCGGTGATTCTACTCTGTATTTGGTAGAAGCAGAACAAACGCATACGTCAGGCGCTTCATTGAGTTTATTTTGTTACGGTATATTATTGTACCTTGCACTGGGATTTCTGGTTCATGAACGAAATTTTTTAATGATTATGACAATGGTTGCTACGTATCGAAATACAAAATAATAATATTTTGTATTTCGGAAAATACAAAATATTTTTTTATATTTTGTATTTGCAATAATACTATATTATTGCAGTACCAGTAATACTCATATTATTTCAGCGGACGAGAGCAGTGCTTCGACATGTACCGGTTATACTTGAATCGTTCCATTATTTTTGAATGAAAGACGGTATAAAAGTTAGCAATAAATATGATTATTTTCGTACAGAGATTGGTCAGAAAACAACACGTATTACAGTGTTAGTAATGCGGTTCTAACAGGCTTCCAACAGATCGATCGATTCAACAAACGCCAAATAGTTGAAGTAAAAATATTAAATTTAGCCTTCTAAGTTTTACGATATTAAAGAGCTTAATACACTAGAAAGCAGCTTGCACAGCCAAGAACTAGGAGGTGCTCGTTTCTGAATCAACACCCCTTATTCAATCCATTCCACATCATTTACAGACAATTTCGCTGCCGGAATTCCACACCGCTTTATTGGCATTGTCGTAGATTACCAGATTGCGGTCATCCTGGAACACCAGCCGACGTCCTCTGCCCGCTGTCTGACTGTTCCACACGGCTTTGTTGGCGATATCGTAGATCACCAGATTCCCGTCGGTCTGGAACACGGCCTGATCCCCGCGGCCGGCGGTATGGGTGTCCCACTTGGAACGACCGCTACCGTCGTAAATCACCAGATTGCCATCCGACTGGAAATTCAACTGTCCCGCCCCCGATCCGAACTGTACCCGGCATTCGAAGTTGGCCGGGATCTTGTCGCCGCGGTTAAACGAGCAAGCCGCCTCCGATCGGCCTGAAATACACGAAAGGTCACCGCGACCGCATACAATTTCACAGAACAGAGACGTCAGATTATGAACGTTTTTCACCAATATTAATTTAATAATTTCTGTCTTGCAGCGATTCGTACGCTCCGGGATATACACGCATTTTAACTATTTAATCGAAAAAAATTAATAAATTAGAATAACAATACTTAGGATAATTACTACGTATTTTCCTACCGGCAATTTGGCATGCGATCAGCCACACTTGGACGCCATAGAAAAACACCGATTTGTCCAGCATTGTCGGTTTAAGCGAAAAATACGAGTAACTCAGTAATTTGTTCGACACTTCTGTTCAGCAGCCCTTTCAAAATATTGTACATACATTTTTCCAGTTACACTACCCGAGTAGTGCTTTTATACTACCCAGCTGCGTTTGATGGTTCCGCTTCTGTAAAAATTTATACAGATTCCATATGTGAGTGACACACCTGTGCAATGAAACCAAGCGTTCAGACAATAAAATGCACACACCGAATTCGTCGCCGTATGCCGGCAATTGACGTACGGAAATAATCCGCTATTGCCGTGAATCCTCATGCAGATGGCGCGTTATTTGTAGAATGCACATTATATATTCCTGTTATTTTTTTTACTGCAGCATGCTTGAGTCACTTAAGGCATGCAAAGTGTTTCTCATAAGCCGGGATTTTATGGGCTGCTTGCATAAAATGGTCGAACGGTTACCTCGAGTTCGAGCAAGTTGATTTTCGTTATAAAAATCCTGATAAGAAGACATTGTAGGTAATGTCGGATTGCATACCAAATAAATTAACTCAATTCAGGACCATGGAGTATTAAGTGCAAAAACAGATTGCTTTAGGGAAAAGATCCGGTACATGTTGCCAAATTCGGGTACATACACGAAAACTTCCCCTTTCGCGCACTCCAAACACTTTTTGCATCGTTTTATTGCATTTTGTAGCCAAATGTTGTGTACGAGTATAAGTTGATGTGAAAGCTGAAAACCGTTTGTGCACGCAAACATCGATCCGGTTGAAACTATTGCTAAATGGACAACATACCCAGATTGCGGAGTATTGTATACTGCCGCCCGTGTTAATTTTGGCTCTGGATTATTTACATTTTTTTAAATTCGAACATTTTTATTAGTGTAAATCAGCGCAGGCATGTTGTTATGTTATGTTAAGTATCCAATAAATTATTTACATACATTATTTTGGCTTTTGCTTAATTAACATTGGATTTTGGCCGACTTGACGCTAGCACAAGATAACTGGAGCAGCGCTTCTAGTTTTAAGGAACAAAGTTAGGTTTATTTCTGTTGATCTGCATGATGTACTGAAGTATATGAAATAATCTATATATCAACCACATAAATATGTTATGTACAAAGTACAGTACTCGTATAATCACTAAAGCACATAGATATTGTACAGATTATCTATACTTCTATAGTACTTAATAATTTTTTACCAGAAAGTTTTTGCCTTGTTACATTGCTGTCTTATATAATTAATTTGCAAGTCGTTATTTACAGGTGACGTAAGTTTTAGAATTCCAAACGGATTTGCTAGCGTTGTCGTAGATAACGAGGTTGCGGTCATTCTGGAAGACCAGGATGCGGCCCTTCCCTGCTGTATGACTATTCCACACGGCTTTCTCAGCAATATCGTAAATGACAAAATTCCCATCCGACTGGAACACGGCACGTTCAGCACGGCCCGCTGTACCGGTACTCCATTTGGCAAGGCCACTGCCGTCGTAAATCACCAGATTGCCGTCAGGCTGAAAGGTCAAGCGCCCGTATGCCGAACCATACTGTACCCGACATTCGAAATTCACCGGAATACTCTCGCCCCGGTTGAATGTGCAGGACGCATTCGTCCGGCCTGAAGAGTTATGAAAGCAGATTGTAAAAGGTCACGACAAAGCCGAACGCACGCCAGAACCGAAACGCAGTAGAGACTGAGTTAGGTCACCGCAGATAATACTACATTTTTCTGCAGTTTACACAGTAAGTACAAAATCTATCAATTTTCCTTACCAAGAATTTGGCACGCGACTAGCCACAGTTGTACAGCAGTGACAATATATAGGGACGACGTAGCCATTTTCCTTAGTTAAAAGTTAAAGCTGGAAATGTAGCATAATACAATTACTGCAGTTATGTATTGAAGGATGCGCCAGCCCTTATATTTATATGTAGAAAATAACGTGCCATACAGTGTATTTTGACGCGTTAAGCAAAATTATATCGTCGCATTATGCACGTAACCGGTGCCGTTATGTTTAAGAGGATTTTGATTTTCGGTACATGGTAAGTGTGACCGTGGGTCAACGAAACCTAATGGAATTTATGTGTACCGTTTTTGAAGTCTTTATGCCAATTTTTAATAACAGTAACGAAATTTTATTTGTACCATACGTGCTTATGTAAATTTTCGTCTGTATTTGTTTAACATCCCATTTTGTTAAGTGTTGACCGGAAATGGGTCAATCGTTTTACCTGACCCATAATTCTGCGGTTTATTGATTGATTGCTAATAACGGCTGGTGACCCCAACGGGGAAGCAAAGTGCCGATTTCATGTTGTACAGTTCGGAATAAAAACGCTCATTTTAAAGTCATCATCTGACGACTGCAGTGCTGCAGCTCTAATACTGAATTATAAACAAGGACAGGAACTTAACTGTAAGCGATAAAACAACATATAAAACAGTTTTACCTACTGAGTAGTCTTTCAGTCTTAAGCTGAATAATAAGTTGATCAGTATGTCCAGATGGTTTTAATTTCCGTAATTGTGATATGTGCTAAAAACTAAGCGTGCATAATATCATTTTTTGCTCTTGTACGGTAGTTCTTTAATACTAGCCTATTTCAGATTGCACGGTTTGTGTTGAGTTCGGCTTCGGTTACATGTGGAACCTTCGGTTCCGGGTTGTTTTACGTCCGTTCGCGACGTTAGCAGCTGTAACCTAGCGTCGTGCTGTGACGCGTAAAAACTATCCGCCCTACGCCGGATCTCTAAAACGGCATATGCTGAATGCCTATGGCATGTGCGTTTATTAGGCCCATGGTTCATTTTTCCTAAAACCATCGTTTTGCCCACTTTGCAGACAGCTATAACCATTTGTGGAACCCAAATATGTCTGTGGAACCGGAAGCACCGCAAGGGCCTTCACAAGAGAAGAACCCAGAGAAGCGCAAAAGGCATGTTTGGACGCACGACGAAGAGTGTGGAGTTCTTCGGTCTTACCGCTTCCACGCAGGATACAGCATCCAGACAAACAAAAGAGGCAAAATGTGGGAAGACATTTATGAAGAATGCAAGAAAGATGGTGTGGACCTGCATTCTCCACGGGCAATACGAGATCATGTCGCGACGATGATTGCCAAGTTCAAAAAAGACAATCCGAACTGGGAAAAGCTAACGGGAGATTCTGAAGACGGAAACTTTACCGAAAAAGAAATCCTTCTCCTGGAAATCTGTCAATTGGAAAAAGAGCACGCAAGGACCCAGGAAAAGGAGAAAACAGAAGCAGATCACAAAAGAGACCGTCATGAGCAGAAACTTATGTGTGCAGCCAAAAACAGCCGGAAAAAGCGAAAGCAGCGTGAGTGAAATATTGACTTTTTCATAATTAACCAGGAGGAATTTCAAGTAAACAGAAAACATAATCAGCGACATAAATATTTTACAGTGGAGCAAGAACCGGAGGAAGAACCTAACACCGACGATGAATTCAACGCGGCTGTCAACGCGACTCAGAAGGCAAAAGAATCAAAACCCAACAAAGAACGAAAAGGATCCTGGCAAGCAGCTGTTGCGGGATATTTCACCGATAAGCGGGATGAAAAGTTGGCTGATCGTAAACTGGAAGAGGCCAAGCTGGACATCGAACGCGAAAAACTTCGACTCGAAGAGAAACGACTTGATCTGGAATCGCGAAAACTGGATCAGACACTAAAAGATCGGGAAGCGCTGTACGAGAACAATCGCATGATGGCGCAGATGGTAACTCGCTTCACGGAGAGACATTAAATGGGCAAAATGTTTGTGAAAAGCGGTTAAATGTTTGTAATTTTTTCCCTAAATACTGCCGCAAATTTTGTAATTTTTGAGTTTTTTTGGTATGGGTTCTATCCAGAAAACTTTCTCATTTCCGGTTCGTGATTTGTAGATGTTGTTCCTGGAATCTCATTATTTAGTATCGGTGTGTGTTTGTCGTTCCGCTGTGTGGTTGTGTTTTGCACTACATGTTTGCTTTCTCTACGGGTGAATAACAAGAACGGCACAAGTTTATTTCCATTTTTCATTAATCTTCATTAATCCTAACATTCCTCAGATATTCTTTTAAAGAAGGAGGATCGACTCCAAAATAAATTCCCGTTTGACTTCCATAGAGAGCAGTGTGACAGTTTGTTAGAATTGCAGCTACCAGAAAAAATTTGCCCACTGGCTGCATCAGCACTTTTAAATTCTTCGAGAAATCGACAAAAGCAAAATACTGCACAATTTTGTTAAATCCCCATTCTACACATATCCTGCACCTGCTCATATCTTCGTTGAACTGCTCTTGATCCTCCGGAAGTGGCGCCATGCGTCTTCGAAATGGTGCCTCAATGTATTCGTTTGATGGATAAGCAGGATCTCCGTATAAAATAAACTTTTTCCCAATTTCCACCATTTTTTCTCGGAGTTTATCCATTAGGCCACTATCGGCGAGAATTCCTGCATCATGTCTTCTTCCTGGCCACGGACCGTCTAAATTCACGATCATGCCATTTGGAGCAACGACAGACTGGAAAATCATGCTGTGCATGCGATAGTGTGCATTCCAGACTACACGCTGCCCCTCAGAAGGCCTGCAAATCGGTCGCACAGTGCCATCGATATAGCCCCAAACGTTATCCAGGGGCGCCCCCTTGGCAAGGGCTGCATCAGCAAAGCCCTGCAAATCATCTCGTGTAAGCCAACACAAATCCAGGGTATTCAAGAGATGAATGAAGTGGCAATAGATATGCTCAATAACCCAGTGGAAGGCCATACAAAGTTCCGTTATGGATCTGTGGAAGATTATTGTCAGATCTGTATAGCGACACGGATATGCTAGTCGACGGAGAAGAATGCACAGAGCTTCAGTTCCTTCGTAAATCGACCCGGATTCAGTACGCACCACATCCGGGATGAGCAGCTCCTTGCGCAATAATTCGATATCCTCGCGTTGGAATCTGAACCAGTCGACACACTGCTGATCAGGGATGTCTTGAAGAGCGAATTTCTTTCTGGCAGCCTTTTGCTCGGATTTTTCTTGGTTGTGGAACGCCAGAAAAAGCGCGATCTCTTCAGGTTCGAACTCATCCACGGCGATGACAGTTTGTAAAAATTTATTGAACGAATGGGCCATTATTTTAACAAATTTATTTGGAATATCAAGGACTGTTGGAGTAACTGCAGGAATACTGGCAGGGTTATAATTTTAAAAATTTTGTGCATAGAAGGAGTAATTATGATTTTCGTCTTGGTATTTATACCAATTTATGATGATTTACCGTGCATATTCGTGAGAATCAGTGGCACAATATTTTTGAATTTTTCTGGCTGATATTTCAGTGTTATTGTACGTCACTGCAGCTGTAAATCTGAGTGTTTCCGGTCGGAGTCGCGAGTATGTTACGGCGTACGGTCTACTGAACGAAGCGTGCATAATATCATTTTTTGCTCTTGTACGGTAGTTCTTTAATACTGTGGCGCCGTAGAAATGTTTTCTACATGGCACTTTCAGCGTCACTATTTGTAGTTCAATTATTTCTCTAAAAAAAACGAGGTGTTATTCAGAAAACAAAAAGTAAATATAAAATATTATCAGCTATCTTTTTAATACTATCACGTTAATCCTGATTAAGGGACAACTGTACAGTGTTTGCTAATGCGAGTGTAATAAATTATTACCGGTACGAGTACTTCATATGCTACTAAAACTGCCCAGTTTTATCTTTTTATCAGCCTTTGTCAAAACGTTATCAGCCAGTCACAATCTCTTAGATGAAAATCGTGATAATAGATTACTTTCAAACCTCCACTTTGAGGTTGTAGTAAACTGAAGTACTTATGGGGACTGTAACTGACTTGTAATATCAGGCCACGTACTCTGTACATCATAAATCTCTTACTATCATCAGCCAGTCAACATAAATAATATTTGTTGACTACCTCAAGATCCTTTCTGACAGTATATCTGTACCATCAGCTGCTTGTGCACGAGTAGAAACGTCTTTTTTATTGCTTGATTAAGTACGTTCAACCAAGGAAGCAAACATGGGTGCTCCGGGAAATCTGAGTTTATGCCGTCAGAACTATCATGTGGAATGCGAAGCTGCGGTTAACCGCCAGATTAATATGGAACTAACCGCCTCGTATTTTTATTCGTCGTTGGTAAGTTGAATACAGTAAACTGAGACAGACAACTACTGATAATATGAATAATAATGACTAAACAGCATACGAGTTAACGAGAATATGTATCACACTCTAAATAAGCATTACCATACTCTAACATGTAAAATTTCTTATGTAACACGCGGTAGAATTTTTAATGCGTATCTAACTGCATCTCGTCTTAACTAGAAGATATTATGATGTGATCAAATTACCACGAATTAGTCGCTATCTACGCTTCAAATATTAGTTTATGTGAAGTTATTTGTTGTCGACAGCAGGGCTTCATGAAATAAACAAAACCAAAGAGGCGTCTCACGCAATAATTATTTGATATAACTATTTTTCTACGCGTGCTTGTAAAGGAATACGTGTACTTACATTATGAACATAAAGGGGATGCATATTACCGTAGTTATGATTGCTGTTGATTAATAATGATTGCTGTAAGCGAGATACTTGCAATTGTGCATATTAATCTTGATTATTATTATTTTAATTATTATTGATTATGATTGCAATGTTGAATTTAGTCGGCATACTTCGATCGGGATGATGTTGCACTACGTGGATTCGTCAAATACTTCAAGGATTGCAGCGATGCCGAACGCGAAGACGCCAGCAAGTTGATTCATTACCAGACACTTCGAGGAGGACGCCTGGTGCTGGGAGATATAAAGGTCAAACGTTTTACTGCAACCAGAATGCATGTTATAATAATCATTAATCAGACTCCGTAGTGATAACAGTTGATTAAAATCGCGGTCAGGCTCTGCACATGTCATGCGTGATAATAATCGGTGTGTTTGCACAATTACGATGTGGAGACGGGCAATCACAAATTATTATAATAACAAAACTGAATTTAGAAAAAAATATTGTAAATTTATTAGCGCTCTTATGGCTGAAATACATAGCGCATACAAAATTCGCGGAAGTTTTCGTGATTCGTGATCATATTTTTCGACTTAACGGGGTAGTAATTTGATGTCATGAAAGTCACTGAAAATTACGAAAACTCCTGCACATTTTGCACGCCACAAAAATATATCTAAATTTTATTATAAATATCGGTAGATGCTGCTTTTTACAGAGTCGTGTATCCAATGTTATAAATAGAAAAATAATCTGCAAATGATAAATTTCGGACAACAAACATGATTTGAATAGTTTCTGTTAATTACACTACGAATTACTAGAAAAATGACACTATACAATATGTCTGCGCTTTTTTAAAGAATTCAAATTTGAATTCGAATCCATACGAAAAAATTCTTATTCTCACTGTGTTTTATTACTTAGAGAGCTGAACGTGATGAATGGGGTGTGGGACTGGACGCCATGCAGGCCAGTTTGGAAATGCAGCGCCGGATTAACGCGTCCCTCTTGGAACTGCAGGAAATTGCCGGGCGTCATAAAGATCCACACGTGCGTAATTGTTTTCCCTGTGTGTAACGCCCACTATGCTGATCATGATATACGAGCCTCTTTATTATGCGACAGATGACGGACTTTTTGGAAGAGGAGTTTCTACGCGCACAAGCTGAACGGATGAAGAAGATGGCCGATCACATAACCAATCTCAAGCGCGTCGGTCCGGGCTTGGGTGAATACCAGTTTGACCATGTTGCGCTGCAAGAATCATGAACCCTGATCCCGCTGCTAGTCTCTGCATCCCGTTCAAAAAGATGAATGTGATTCTGTCCCATTGTAATAACGACTGCTTACATTAACTTCCGGTTACAGTAGTGCTGTCCAAACGTTTAACGATAACTGACCAACACAGCATGTTGACTGACCATTGAAATGCTCCCTCTACTGCGTCTTTGACAAGATTCTAGTTATTTGTTTGAGCAGAGACCGTGTTAATATGCGTACCGGTTTCTTTGTACGTTTTTCACCGAATGTTCAGCATGTTATTTTGCGTTTAATTACCAGTAAATAAATTACTAAAACTATAATTACAGATTCGTATTCATCATATTTGTGCCTATGTACTTCATTGGCCTTTACCGGTATTAATGACTGTTATGCACCAATCACATTAAGAAACCAAAACGCAAATTTTTAAAAAAAAATCAAGACATTGAATTTCAAATCACTCGCGTTATGCGCCGAGTTTATTTCGTAACCGACTTAGCGTGGCTATTGCACAAAGATTGAGATACTGACTGTTCGGCAATAATGACGCGTCAGGTACTATGCACTTAACGACTGCTCAAGAAATTAATTAATAAATCAATAAACTAATCTATAACGTCAACAATAATTGCTTTATACGATTTCCTGACTTATACGATGGCTTTCTGACGTAGGTGGCAAAAACGCGTACGTAGGCGCTGGCAGTGATTTCATGGATTCCTGATCATCCATCTCATGGATATTTCCGATAGCTGTACAAAATTTGAGAAAATTTTATAATTCCGCAGATTTAGTAGTTTTCGTTCTTCATGTTTGCATTACTATTATCTGAATAAATAATGTTTATATTTGTCATCTGATCAACCTCACATCCTCGGCAGCCATATTTTTGGCGTATATTCTTATGTTTCGTGTCGCGCTTGGAAGTCGCCGGTGCATACAGAAGCACACTGAATGGGTCATTGGCCAGTTGAGCTGCTGCTTGCTGTCACACGGGGACGACGAGGACGAAATACAATGAACGACTAATCCGGTATTTCGTCATTTCAGCTGCAAGTCGTATCGCGTATTCTACGACGTCCATTTCCCGTTTTAACGAGCGTCATCTCCTGAGATTTCTATCCAATTTACGCTGTACCATTGCACGATGAAATGCTCATTGCTTCTTCCCTCATATAAAACCGTACAATAAAACCGTTCTGCCTGCGTTGATCGTCATCTTGCCCTTTACTTAAGACCACTTGCGTAAAAGTGCATCAAATGCCGTACATGAAAGTGCAAACCGAAATTTTGTTAATCAGTTTACGCCAGCAATAACCCCTAGCACTACTACTGGGAGTTTTTGGTGTTTTTATGCAACTGTTGTCGATTTCTTTCAAAAAAATCGATCTTTGTGATTTCTTTTGAAAAAAACACAAGCGTCTTAACGAGGTTATTAGTTATTGTACAAATTAAAATCCACTTAAAGACCTTCGCGACGCACCATCGACAGTTTTGTTTGGGGGAACACGCCTCGGCGCGCGCCACCACGGAGTTGTTATTCTTTTTGAATTTTTCCCAGACATTCACAGCTTGAGAAACCGTCCTCCTGTTCCTCTTCTCCATGCGGATTTCATTCCTTTCAGACGCTCGGATTACTCGATTACCCTCAATATTTTGTTTTTTAATGATTCGTTCTATTCTGCCAAAATGGCACAGCGGAGATTCTTAATTCTGTTTCAGAGTGTTTGCACGGCGACCTTGATCGTTATCGCAGGTAAGCCTCCTTTTCAAGCTGCTTGGCTGCGATACCCGCGATTCCCTGTACTAGTAATACTGTTTTATTATGCAGCGCACAGTATTGGTAAAGTATTTGCGCGGAGTTGTGTAGACGTTTTCTTACGCTAGAGAATTCGTTTTGATACGATCTTCTACAACGGCGCCTGTGGGTGTTTCGTACCGTGAAAAAGGGAACTGTAATTTTTTTTATAATAATAGTGGCTTTGAAATTTCATCATCATGAGGATGAGACGATCAAGTGATCAGTGCGATTTTATAAGTGTCTGGCGGGGAGGACACCGAGTGACGCTAGCGCAAGCAGGTTATTGCGTCACATTGCGGGGTTCCGTCGTTTCTTGATTTTGTCTCGGTGTATTTTGCGTGTTCCTGGCAGGATACAGGACATCCTGTAGGGGAGTTTACTGTTTTTCACAGTCGATTCCATACCGTTGTCTACAAGCTGGCCACCAGTTGATTTATTTGTAACTACCTGTTATTATTAACTTGTAGCAATTCAAAAATCGTATTTCTGCTGCTTTTCATGTTACAAAAATTCGTTTTTTCTTCTTTACACTTTAGTGACTTTACTAAAACTTCCACACTTCTTCGACAATAAATCGAAAGAGATTGTGGCTGCTTTTTGCGAACCTATATCAGACAATTAAAATACCGGGAAAAACTAAAAAGGCGTGGAAGTTTGACTGAAAAAAAATGTCTTAGAAAAGTGTACAGCTGTACATCAGTACTCGTACGGTTCTTATTATGCAGCTGTGAGGTTTATGTGTTTTATTCCTTTTAAAAAGGGTTGTGTTGTGATACCGTAAATAGAAGATATCTGTGTTATGAAGGTATCAGTCAACCAGTAAAACGATACCGTTGTGAGATGACAATTTAATTACCAAAAATTTACTACTTTATTATTTAAAAAAACCGATTTATTTTTTTGCCTTTACAGCCGGGAAGATCATCAGCCTGGTACCGCCTCCCCCGCCGGAAAGCGGGTATTATAATGTGGAAAACAAGGCTTACCTCTATCAGCACGGAGTGCTGATGACGTGTCCCTTGAACGCCAGCGATGCGGCCGACGATGTCATCTGGGAACGGCGGTATTTTTGGGATAATCCCGACGGCAACTGGACGGATATCTCCATGCTGGCGACCAATAAGACGCAGTACAATCTCATCATTGATCCGGAGGCGGGCGGCTGGTATCGCTGCCGGTTACGAACAGGAGGAGATCCCGTCCGAGTTTTTGTTAACATCCTCTCGAGTATGCATCCAGGTTTAATTCATTAATTTTGTAAATTTATAAATTATAAATTACGTTTGGTAATTGTAGAATAATTATTGCTGAATTGTGTTATTTGTATATTATGCACCTCGAAATTTAGTTATCGATTTCGGTTTTTCGACATTTTCGCCAAAAGTTTATACCGCAGATTTTTTGATAACTTTATGGAATTTTATAATAATAATAGTAATAATATTATTATTATTAAGTACTGCATGGTGCTGTATAGGTGTTCTTGCCGAATTCGTTGAAGTTACGGCAACAATTTTTTTATGGATTGTTGTATCAGCTTCCATGTTATAAAAATTCATACAGTTTAAACAAAATACAATGTGAAGTTTTTTAAATACAGTATTAATACTTTTTGATCGTTACCGTGCATAGACAGACTGTGCTGTGAATAATTACAAAATTACTAACTGTAATTAATGTTTTTAGTTTTGTTGAATGTTTTGGTTTTTTCGCTACTCGTTTTTTCACATTGTGCTTTGCAGAGCAAATTTTGATGGCACAGAATGTGACCGCTAATAACGGCACAAAATCCGCTGTTCTCGCTTGCCAACAGAATCTGAATCCACCGCTGCCGCTGAAGTGGTACAATGCCAGCGGTGTACTGATTGCCAATGACACCGCCAAACGCGACAACGACAGCGGTCTCATATACGACGTGGGCAATGCGACCAATGGCTATCGGCTGAGAATTACGGCGACACGTCGTTATCCGCTCTTCACCGGTGTCTATCGCTGCCAGCTGGAAGTGGACGGCAGGATTGTCGCTGGCCAGAATGTGTCGTATTACGGTAAATAATCCTGATGTGCACAATTAAATAGCTTTCCAGTCATAGTATTATTGCGGGATACGAATATTGCAATTACGACATACTACTGAGTAGAAAATTACCAGATCGAGCAGTAATCATAAATAAAAGCTACAAAATAAGTTATATTAGAAAAATTTTGTAAACTATAATAGTTAAAAAATAAGCTAATAAAAAATACGCTGATAACCCAGAACTCCCGAGCGGACCGAAGCGTATGTTTGAGCGCAAAAACGGTTTTTTCAATTTTCCCGTGCCTACATATGCGTAAAGTCAGTAGCAGACCATATGGCTGCACAATGTCATAAAACGATGGAAAAAGTTTTTAAGATTGAACGAAAGCGCAAGTTCCGGTGCATGTACGCGTATTCGATACCGTGTACCGGGTACTTTAAACCTGAAAGCACATATCAAACAAATTTAATTTATTGATTTTTCCTATGTAAAATGCATTTTCTGCTTACTAATGGGGGCTTATTACAACCTGAAACATTTAAAAAAAGGTCGAAATCATGAATATTTCTACTAAATGCAGTAATGACATACTCATTACTGTAGTATGTGCACTCAGATCGTTTCGTACATAATAACATGCATTGCGTTTTATTGATAATAGAAAGCAGGCGTTAAAACTCTGGCGCTGCGCCGATGTCTTTAATAGCGATGTGAAAATTATGCGATAACGGTGTAGCTTATCTTACGTACAAGAACTTCTATTAAAATCCACAACCATTTAGCACATTGATAATAAAAATAATTATGAAGAACATAACACTATAATAAAATCTAATATTTGGCGCGAAATTAAATCTTTCGAAAATGTGAAACACAGTTCTGTTGAAAGTTATTCCATCTCTTTACTTGTGCTTTACTCAGCCGCACCCGATGTGGAAATTCGCAACGGCACCACCCTGTCTAAGCGGCCCGTCTACCACGGCGCCAACTACAACCTTACTTGCTACTACCAATCGGAAACCGCTCACGCCAACGTCACCTGGAGGCACATCAACGCATCCAACGGGAACATCACCGAGTACGTTCACTATCGGAACGACACGAACGCCACCGATGAGCGGGTCCGCTTTAGTATCGATGCGGCCTGGGAGGAGGAGACCCGGCAACACAATCAGACCGTGCTGACGTCCATCCTCACCATCAACAACGTGGCGCTCAGTGACGAAGGACACTACGAGTGTGTCGTCAGCAATCAGCACGGCAACGGCAGCTCCGTGACGCGTATTCGTGTTATCAGTACGTGTTGTTGATAAGTTGGCATCTGATAAGCTCATTTGTTTCCGAAAATTAATGTGCATAATTAGCACTGTTTGCTAGCGTATTTAAGTATTATTAAAATGGTTAACAGATATCCAGTAAAAACTCAAAATGAGAAAAAAAATTTAACTTACTATAATCAGCGATATTACAAACAAATTTATTTCAGATGTGTGTGGTTTGGTTTTCGAAAATTAACATTGATTTTTAAAACTTTTTCCTACCCAGTGGCGTATTTACGTATTATTAAACTTGTTAGCACATGTATACAGTAAATAAATCAGAATTAGACTAATTTAATTTAATATAATCAGCGATATAAATTATTTCAAATTATTTAGTAATAACACTATTTTAATGTATATATAACAGTATATTACTTAACAAGTAGAAAATTTCGAAGAGAAGAATTATTCCTAGGAGAAGAAATATCCACAAGAGAATAGAGATATTATTGTTGTTATTATTGCAACTATAGTAGCCAAACCTCATTAGCGGATAATCTAATAGAGAAAGGAATTTTTGTGTTAATTTTGTAAATATTATGCTTTTTTTGGTTTGATTTTATGAGATAAAAATTACCCAACGTAGGAATCGAATTAACTTAGTAGTAATGTAACTGGAAGGTTCAAAAACTCGAAAATATTGATGAATAGGTTTGAGTACTTTGGTACATGCTTTGTACATGACGAACTTGTAATTTAAATTACAGGTAAATATGCGGCGTTTTGGCCGTTCTTGGGAATGACCCTGTTTGCTCTGGTCGCCTGCCCGGCGATATTGTGCTACGAGAAGGTCCACCTGAAACGCCTACAAAAGGCCCGCGAACAACCGAGTCATACAGCGGCCACACAGCCGACCGCCATCACGAAAACCGTCATCCACGAAGAAATCACAGTGCGCACATGATTTTCTGATTTTTCTCCTTAATGTCGATGGTTTGTTATTTATTTGTTTTTTCACGCGATCGTGCAGACTCTTGTTGTTATTGTTCGCCTATACAGTTTGCTCAAGCTGGTGTGCATGCTCTTTTTTTGTGTTTAATGTTTTTCCCTTTTCTCCCGTTAACCGTTTTATATGTGTGGAAATTCTGTGTAAGAAGTGTGAAATGAGAAGCTATAGTAGACGATGCAGTTAATTGTGAAGAAAAATATTTGTTAAGTTGTGCCAGTTTCTCACTGATAGTCAGATTCACATCCGTGTGACGCGGGATCCAAGCCACATTTCACAAAAATTCTGTACGTGGACTACTTCTACTCGTAATAAGTGTGCATATTTATAAAATAATAGTTACTCAGTATTCTTATTATTTCTGAAAAAGCACTTTGTTGGCGGTACTTTTAGTCTTTTACGGATAGCAGTTCAAAGAGAGAAGGCTTATGATGAAACTAACGGATTTAGAAAAAGCCGAGCATGACCTTTTTAACACCCAAACACAACCTTGATAACAACCATACATTAACCATTAGACAAACTACACAACAGCAAAAATACCTAACAAACTTCAAATTAATGTCTTCAAACTCGTCATCCGTCCGGTTATTTGCCACGCTTTGAACATCCTCCTAATGGCTATGGCTCCTCAGCGATCGAGAATAATATTCTTCAGTTTAAACAAGAAGTACAGTGCAATCGCCGACAGCTTCTCCAATTGTACATCCTTCAGACCGTCAACGCACCATTGCTTATTGCGGTGATGCGTGGATGGACGCGGGTCGGCGGACTGTGTTACACACAGTGCCTAAAACAGTCATGCAACTTGGATAACCATGAACATTATAAATAATATTATATCGAGTATGTTTTCCTTTATATAGTATATACGTCTAGACTTTTAATAAGTATTGCATGTAAGTATAAACCGAGCACCGAAAACACGATTTATAAAAAAAATTCACCGGTATATTACAGATTTATAACACGCACGATCCTTCACATTCAGCACCCGAAACCGCACTCACCCGACACACCCATCCCCGGTGAGCGTGGCTCTCATGAGCCCTTACGGACGCCAACCAAGCAGACCGAATATCCAGCTGTTTTTTGTTCGGCGCCGGCGTCCCTGTCGTCCCGGTCTCCAGGACATCCCACACCGCGCAACCCACATCACCGCTCTGCGGCAACCGAACGTCGGGCATGCTAACCGACAGCCGAATCTCCTTCCTCTTGTCCACCTTCATATAATCCAAATCGATAGAACAGTTGACCAGATGAACGGCATCACACGGCAGGTCACTGCATCCCGTAATAAAATCCACCAGGCGATAGTTCGGCGACGGAAACGGAGCATTGTTCTTCGCGTCAGCGCTGTCCTGATGCAAATAGCACCGGTCGTCCTCAGCATCCATGGTGTTGCTGAGCTGCAGCTGGAAGCGGATCCCCACGACATGGATCGTTCGCAGTCTACTGCCTGTTTGATGCCCTGTATAGTGTATCATCTCCATCAGCTTTAGAAAATCTTCGGTACCCATCCACCGGCTTCGCCCGTCCACCACGATGTGCTGGGTGGATGGGCGGAGGCATTTGAAAATCGTTGCCGTCAGAAAATAATGCAGCTGGTTGCGCTTCGCGAGGTACTCGTGCTCCGGGGTAGGGTTGGTGATAAGGATGCAGGCCGTCAATACCGGTGATTCCAGAATACCGTTCCATGCAAAGCAGACGGTGCGCAATCCGGTCTGGGTCAGAGTGTCCAGATGAGAAAACACTTCCCCTAACACGGCTGACGAGAGCACTTTAACATTACCGATTTCCTTGCACTCCAGAGATCCAGTACGTATTGCGGCTGGCGCGGTAATGCCTCGTATATATGATGCCACTGCGATAAGACGATCAGCTACCATACCATTCTGAAAATGTTGATAGGATATAAAGCGGCAGAAACGGCATAAGAATTAAGAAAACGCCATAAAGAAAAACGGCATAAGAATTTAACAAAGATACCGCATTTTACGAATTATACTAAATTAGTACTAAATTTTCGTAAGGCGTCGGGAGGGGACAATATGGCACAAGGACTACAGTATATTTCGGGCGAGGGGATGTGTACATTTTCGTTATAAATTGCTCCTCCAAAGCCATAGCGAAAGTGTATGTTTAGCGACGAAAACACAAGAAAACACTAAAGACGCTAACATTTCGCGAATGCTGCGCAAAAATCGTGCAAAAGAGATTTTGAAAAGTGAAAACACGTCGTTCTTTAAAAGTTTAATCAGGTAACTGAGACACCGGGGGCAAGATTTTACGAGAGGACGAATTACTTGTAACTTGTAAGGGATAGGGGAGGGGGCTTTATTGCGGAGGGAGGAGAAGGGGGGGGGCATAAATTGACAAAATACGGTATTAAAAACATTTCTGTATCAGCACGCTTCCTTTGAGAACAATTTCCTGAGGGAAGAATGTGTCTGAGATTACCTCAAAGCAGTCCGTCTCTTTGTAATGACTTTGATGTCCATGTCGCCAAATGTACGGCACACGCCCGTCCACAATGTCAAGGATGGAAAATCGTCCGACACCGTTATCCGTGTAACGATACGCTTTGCCCTTCAAGTGTTGGAGCAGTTGATCGACTCCGACATCATGACATTTTTTCGGTAACAACATACTAAACTTCTGGAAAATCCCGTCCGCAATCGGCTCCGGCCAAGCGGCCATGCCCTTTAACTGAAAGCCGCCACCATTCCCGCTGTCGACGTCTGCGGAGGGGGCTTCCCGGTCCACTATGGCCCACCATTTGGCCATGACCCTCCAACGCAGTCGCTGCAACGGAACCAGATCCATATGTTCCATGTCGCCTTGCATCCATTGGGCCACGGCTACGCTGCTCGCCCCGTGACAAATCCCACGGTTCACATTGACGGCAACCGCGGGGAACCAGGCCCAGGGACCGGAGGGTGTCTCTCGCACCATTACTTCCAGGGGGATGCGCACATCGGGTGGGGTGTACGCATACGCATGGGCCAGTAGAAATTCATTCATCACGGAGTAGGCATTCTGGAAAATTCGGCCGAACGGGGTGAATTCGCGGCGCCGGTTGGGACAGAAGTCGATGAAGAGCCCGTTGTCAGCCACGTCCACCACCAAGCCGCTACGGAAGGTATCATCGTCACCCAAGACTTCGACGCGAGTGTTTTGCCAGTTGCCGTTAGACATGGCTGCAAGCCTGGAACTAAAGAACATCCAGCCTCAGAACTTGTGAATATCCAATCGAAAAACTAAAGAAAATTTCTCCTGTTATCACCCTTCTGTAAGTAAATCCCCAGCCAAGAAGGGCTGACAGATTTAAATCTAGCGGTGAACACGAAACTTCTCACTTACAGCCTGTTTTCAGTCAAAACAAATGCTCATGACAGAAAACTTACTTATGTCTGCTTGTAATACAGTACTGTGGTGTAGTGTTGGGTAGTAAAAGTCCTCGCCAGTATACTTACTTTTACTATCTGCTTTTGGAAGTTTACTTATTTTTACTTACAATTTAAAATTTTTCGGGACTTTCACTTACTTTTACTTACTATTTCAATTTTCCCAAGGACATTTACTTACTAAATTAAAGTAAATTTACTAAATAAATGTAATTTAGCACTGAAAGTTTCGAATTACGTCAGTTTGAAAGCGCAACAAACTACTGAAAAGTAAAAATAGTGCAGATAAATTTCTCGTGAATTAATCGAGCTATAGCAGGTGCATACTGAAAAGTACGTACTGTTGCTTTTGAGGGCGGCAGGCTGGCAGCCGACTAATGCGCACACTCACTTTACCTGCGAGTGGCGGTTCCTGATACGCCAATTTTACGTAACGCTGATAAAACGAATTAGTAAATAATTTAGTAAATGATTTTTATTTATTCAACGCTGAACCTTAATATTTACTTACTTTTTAAAATAGAGAGTGTCGACTTACAAGCAGAATGTCACAAGGAACCAAAGCTAATCGGCTCGATTTATCATAATGATATAATAAGGTGCAGTCTTTAATGAATGCGTTGCAAAATAGCTACTGAGTACTCGTACAGTAGTGTTCAAAGCAGCTCAATTGGACCAGCTTAACTGACTGCTGCGCATACGTACACAAGACTAAGAGCAAGGCACTTCAATATCAGCTGCCACATCGTCGCTGTTCAGTGTTCAAGATTTCTGTTCCACTGAGCCATGCGCCGCTCCTGTGAATGGCGATGAGTCAGAGTGCTAGGTGCCCATGCGGCATTAGCGGGGAGATGTGAATTTGTGAAATCAAGATAAAAACCAAGAAGAAAGCTGTGGTAAAAAATATATGTCAAGTGTTAACAAATTTAAGGAGCATTGTGAACGGCGGCAGAAATGATTTCCACCCAAAGCGGACCGCGAGACACACTTTGTTAAGGTTCATTAAGCTAGAGTACTAAAATTTCCATCCCGACTGCCCAAGTGGAAGATATTTGTAAAATTGTAATGCCCACCACTTTACAGGTTAAGTCAAACAATCACACATGGCACACATAACCAGTGACAACTGACAATCAAAGAAGCTACAGTTACTGTACTGTACAGTTACTGTAAAACTACAGGTAATTCGGATCAGCAATCACCGCAACTTCGGTAAGAAATATTACTTCCCTAGCTATGGCAGAGTGAACAGCGGCAACATACAACACAATAAACACGTCAACAAAATATACTCGTAGAAATCAGAATACAGACAACGCTATGCATTGCAATACCGACGCTAAATATTCCATTCCTCGATAGAGTTCGCCAGGAGGATAAGAAAACGCAGCGTAATACGGGTCAGCTTGTCCAACTGCAGCTCTTGCAGTCCCTCCACGCACCATTTCTTCCCAGGGTAGTGCGACTGCGGCCGCGGATCCGATGACTGAGCTCCACAAAGTATCTGCAAAAGAAGGTGCTTCTTCATAACCGTGCAAGAGGATTTTTCAGCTGCATCTCGTAGTTGTTCACCAGATCAGTCACGAGCGGGAACTTTTTAATGCACGGCATACTTCACAAAAAATTGTGACTTCGCCAGCTTCGTGCACTGCTGACCGTGAGTGTTTCTTAAAATTATTCAGCGAAAGCGGTTTTGATAAGAATAGCAAAGAGCTGCACTTACAGACAAACACTTTATTTAAGCCACTGTGAATCCGTTTATGCGGTTCACGGTACATCCGTTTCTGAATTTTAAATTTTCATGCAAATAAACAAGAAGATTAAACGCGCTTCCTTGCTACTTAACAAAAGTCCGATGGTGAAGCATGGCTGCAAAATGTCCATATTGTTAATGCGGATGTAAGTACTGACGTACTGTATACTTTTTAAGCAACCATGTTGCGGAACTTGCGTCCAACTATTCTGACCATCTTACCAGTAGCCCAATATGACTGAAAATATTATCTGAAGCTGACCAGGCTATTTCTTATTTTGATTTTATTTTTCGCTCTGCGTTTTGATTAAATTAGGCCTGCGATCTGACCACGAAGCCGCAAAGTGATCTGGTAATTCTCGCTTCGGGTAATCGTAATCTTAACTGACTGGTGACCTTACATCCGTTTTCAACCTGAACAGCCGTGGAGCTCCCTCGAAGCGCTGAGTAAGTAATTCGAGTTGAGATGCTGTAAGAGCATCGGTTTATGGCGCTCCATGGGGCTTGGTGGATCGTTTAATCTGAAGACGATCCTCAACCTACATCATCTCACCTTGCACACTGCTTTCTCCCACGCCAACCCCACTCGCGACGCTGCGTCTTTCTCCGAGATCACCCACGCTAAGAATTCAGACAATGTTCCCCGTTTCGCGTCACTAATCATCGGTAACCCCGCTTCCAGGACATTCCATATTGCATGCTCTAAACCATCGTCAACCATCAGCCGAACTGCAGGAATCCGGACAAACAGTCGACGAAGAGCTCTGTCAGGCGTTGCATTGACAAACAGGTCCGCCGATCCGCCGATCAATCGTATGGAATCGCACACAAATCCCCGAAAGATCGCAAGGAAATCCCGGATATGACCGGCATTAAGGCTACTGGGGACTGATTGGCTCCCGTCATCGTCATTATTCAGATGCAAGCCGCAGTCATTCTCCGCACGAAGGGCATAAACAAGATTAACTGGAATGAGCCAGCGGAAGCCCACAAGTGTCACCTCTTTCAATCGGATGTCGGAGTTGTTCTCCGCCACATGGCGTATCATATTCACCATTTTGAATAGCTCTTCGTCACCCACTCTCTGCCACCAGTCAACCACAACGAGGCTCTCGGTCGTGGAACGCAGACATTTGAAGATGGGCGCTGTCAGAAGATAATCCCGTCGTTCCGGATCGTCACTGCTGTCAAAGCTCGTAATGACAATCGTAGTCGTCAGCAACGGTGAATCCAGAATACGATTCCATGTTGCACAGACAGCGCGTAAGCTTGTCCGCATCATTGTGTTCAGGTGGGGGAACACGTCCAGCCACAATTCCGGCGGCAGCGGCCCAAAGGCATCCGTGGTTTCGGAAATCTGGTCTGGCAGTTTTGAAAGGCCGATAATACGAGAAAACCATTCGGTTAACGGATGACGAAGCTTCCGAATTGGTTTCTATAAATCACAAGACAGGACTATAAATCACCAACCGGCGCTAAAACAAAAAATGTGCAACAGGAGCATCGAATGCGTATAAACTACGAGCCTGCCAGTGGCCCGCCATTTCGTCGGCGGAAATTCGCGAACAGACACGATGTCGACCCGTCACACAGTCGAGCTAGCGTATTGCTACTCCCTAGATTTCCTAGATCTCCAAGTTATCTTAAGAGTTTTTTTCGGGTTTAGAATTTGCCTAGGTTTCTCAGTACTTTGTAGATTTCTTAAATATTTCTTCGATTTGGTAGTGTTCTTAGTTAGCTGGTTTTGATAGTTTACTGAGCCATAACGCTCGTGACCGTCGATGTCGTGTTAGGGGACATAGTTTCGGTGGGCCAAATTTTCAGCACCAGGCTCCAACAGACAACTGCGCTCGTTAAACAATTTGCGTTAACACGAAGCACCTACTCTTTTAACTGTACACTGTGCCGTCTGTGCGAAGTAGGTACTAACACGCATAAAGCTAAAACATGTATAAATTATAACAGTAATGTTTACCGGATAATCTGGATATACTTCCTCTTCCTTCGGCGGCCCATAACCTCGCTCCAGATAATACAAGCTCCCATTCGAGACTTCCACAAGCGTAATGAACCGACCATTCAGTTCGCATTCAGAGCGCAGCAGTTTGCGAAACTCCTTAATTGGTATCGAGGCAAGCTCATCCGGTACCTCGACGCTGCGCTTAACAAACGTCCATTTGCCCACGCGCTCGGCACCGATATACAGCCGATTCGGCATTATCTCCGAACGTGGCCGTCGGGTTTCAGTCCACCGTGTGCTCGGGATGGGCAAACGAATACGCTTAACCGGAACGATATCAAAACGCACGAAATCGGTACCCCATCGGACCACTGCGGCATGAAACTGTCTGTACTGTTGAGCAGCACTGCGAGGCGGAATAACCATCTGCGCAGGAAACCAAGTCCATGGGCTTGAGGGACTCTCCCGCATCAAGACTTCCACGGTAGGGTGAGGTTCCTGCGATTCGGCCCACACAGCGGGCACGATGTCCTTGCTTAATGGATGTCGACGGTCCGAAAGGAAGACGCTGCTGTCGAAATGAAAGAAGCGGCGCCGTCCAGTGGGACAGAGAAAGTCAACGAAGAACCCGTTGTCAGCGACATCCACCACGCGCCCGTAGCGAACCAAGCCACCACCCACCACGACGTCAACGCTATTGCGTCGGTAGATTTCAGCAGTCATGACTGTTGAATGTAGAAAACTGAGAACAAGAAACTGAAGACAGCAGCGCGGAAGGCAACACCAATGAACGCTACGCTGGAGAAGATGAACCTGAAATTTTCTTCGTCTCGCTCCGGAAGTGAAACGACTGAAACTCCCAAGAAGTGAAACGACTGAAACTCCCAATCGACTGAAACAGCATCCGAAACAAAGTTGAGAACACTACTTACTACTTAGTATTAGTATAATTAATCGAAATTTGAAAAAACTCACAGTCGACCACAAATTCACAATCATTACTAGTAAGTAATTCATACATTGCTGAAAAATATCGTAACTGTGCACAGGGTGCGGTTGTAGTGTAGGTACGAATGCGAGACGGTTATTTCTTAAACAGAGTTCTACTTCTTACTACTGTATAATTCTAGCAGCTGCCTGTCTGCAGAATTTGATGGGCGGTTGAGGTGGCGACAACGATATCCGGAGCTGTCAGGAAATTAAACGGTAATTGTACAGGCGCATGCGCTGCAGCTATTGATCGAAAACTGTACGGTAATGGTACGGTACTTATGTCGCTGACTGACCTATAGCTAGTGAAGTAAAACGAAAGTAGCAGTAGTGCGGTCTCTCACTAACCTAAAGGGCTTTTTTTAACAGGCAGTAGTGGTAGCTTGGTCATTCACTGACGTGATTATGTGTATAATGGACAGTGAACGTTTTTCGGTCACCCACTATTCTAACGGGTTCTGTTATATGAATATGTTACATCCTGCACTGGTAAGTCAGATTGGTTATACCGCCACGTACAGGTACAGGAAGTGTGCCGGGTTGAAACAACTTCAAAAATAAACAAAAGCAAAGAACAACATCATAAAACAAAACACAATAACTTCCGAAAAAAGGACAAAGCCAATCTATAGCAGAGAGATTGCTCGTCGCAATATTCAACAATCTTCCCATGCCGATTGCGGACGCGTTATCTGTCCAATAGGCTTTCGTGTGTATTACGCGAACCGTAACCATCTTTCTAGTCATCAATCATCATCGCTCTTCAAAAATTGATGAAAATAATCCGCCAGATCGATCAGGATGTCCAGCGCAATCGCAGACAGTTCACTCAGCTGGAGATCTTTCAGACCGTCAACGCACCACTCTTTGCCGCGGTAATGCGAGGATGGACGCGGGTCGGCTGACTGTGTCGCGCACAACGCCTACAAGGTAAAACCCAGATTTGACAGCCACCGTTTTCACAGCCAGCGCTACCGTTTCCGCATACAAAAACGTCATTTTGTCCCCGACCGAGGCTAGCGCCTACGATTCATGAGTTTGTGCGCAAACGCAATACGATTTGAAGAGAAAATTATTAGACGCAGATATTGCAGAACATAGCAAAACCGGTGACCCCACCTACCCTGCAAACCAGTCCCCGCTCCGCATCCAGGTTCTCCTTAGCAGTGACGCACGCCAACCACTCTCTTAGCATACGGTGCGTTTCCTCACAACGCTTCGGCGTGGATTTCTCCAGTGCTTCCCATGTCACGCTGCCCACATCGCCAATCAACGGCAGCCGAACCGCTGGCATCTCAAGCCACATCTGGATTTTTAACCACCCGTGTATCTTCGCATAAATCAGTTCCACGGTACAGTTAACTAGCTGAATGGCATCGCAGGGCAAATCGCCACAGCCTGCGATGAAATCGACAAGGCGATAGTTAGGCGAAGGAGCAGATGTACTTTTTTCCGCGTTATCACTGAGTCGATGCAGCGGACACTTATCATAGGAAAACTCATAATACTCCGCGTCCAGCGTGTTGCCGAACTGCAGTTCTAAGCGGAGCCCAACTAAATACATGGTTCGCAGTCGACTTCCAGTTTTCCTGCCAATGTAGTGTATCATCTCAGTCAGCTTCAGAAAATCGCCGGTATTCATCCACCCTTTGCGACCATCCACAACAATGTACTGTGTGGATTGGCGAAGGCATTTGAAAATAAGTAAAGCCAGAAAGTAATGCAGCTGCGTGCGATTAGCGGCATCATCTGTCTGACAGTTACTGTAAGGATTTGTGATAACGATAGAGGCCGTCAACTCAAGTGATTCCAAGATGTTGGTCCATCCAGGACACACTCTACGTAATCCAGTTTGCGTCCTAATATCCAAATGGGAAAGCACTTCCAGCAACACAGAGGGCGTAAGCCAGCGGATATCATCGAATTCCTTACGTTCCACAGAGAAATCACGTTCTTCGGTCATCAGCCCACGGATCTCTCGTACACGTGAGACTAACGCTTCATGGCATGCAGTGAGTTCGTACTGGAAAATTCAAACCAATCTGGAAAACTGTTGTCAACAATAATCATAAACGGCAAAATAAGCATGAGAATGTTATCACTGCCCCATTTGAGCGAATTACTGAGGATTCGAAAGTTAAACCCTAGCTAACTGTTTTTGATAACACAAGTTTGCCCGGAGAAACGCCAATCGACAACGCATGGAATAGTTCTCACTTCTCATACAGTATTTCGCGGTTACCTCAAAGTGGGCATGGACATCTGGTTTCAGAGGCTCAGGCAGACGTGGCCAAATGTACAAAGCGTGTTGTCTCACTGCACCCACGAACGAAACTAAACCGTAATCCAGCAATTTAATGCGAAACCCTTTGCCGTTAAAGTACCGGAGCACTTTGTCGATATCTACATCGCGGCAGTCTTCCGGAAACGGCAGTTTGAGCTTCTCGAATGTTCCTGGTTCGACTGGCTCAAACTGAGTGGCCAGTCTGCTCAAAAATCTGGAGTTACCGTTGTGCCGCTTGTTTGAACCCGAAGGCTGGACTGGAGCTCTTTGGCCAAAAGAGACCCTCCAATCGTTTGGCACTCTCCAACGCAGTCGCTCCAGCGGTACCACGTCCGTATGCGTCCCGTCCTGCACCCATTGCACAACTGCTACTCTGTATGCGTTGTGATGAATAAGGCGCGCCACATTGACGATTTCAGCTCGAAACCAAACCCAGGGACCGGCGGGTGTTTCGGGCATCAGCACCTCCACGGGAATGGTCGTGCCGGGTTTGATGGAAGCGTACGCATCAGCCAGGTCCTTTTCCTTCAATGGTTTGATATTTAGGAAAATCCGGTCGAAAGGGATATACCGGCGTCGTTGGTCGGGACAAAAGAAATCGATGACGAGCCCATCTTTCGTCACGTCCACAACGCGTCCAGTACGAAACACATCATCGTCGCCCAAAACATCCACGCGCGTACGCCGACAAATGTTTCTGTACATCGCGGACGCTAAAAAGTATCCAGGCGTCAAACGTCTGATGGATAACCAACAATCGTTCAAAAAAGGGTAAATCAGTTACAGGTAGGTCGTAACGTCATAAAGTCCACGCTCTATTGTTACTGTATGACGAAGATGTCTTGCTAAACGGGATTATTCCGTGCAATTACATATTTTTTATCAGTCTGTAACTCTTTCACAGTCTCGCCATAACTTATCACTTCGCCAAGTCAGCCTTAACACTTGCAGTTGTCACCTATCAGTCGTCAATCAGCTGCAGACTGCCGTGATGCATAATACGGAAACTTACGAGAGTACGGAGACGTTGTTCACCTTTAGTTCGGAAAGCGCATAAAGCCCCGTGACACGATCAAGACAAACGCAAGTTATCCCGCATAAATACGAGTATGACGGAATGAAAAGACTTAATTCTTAATACAGGAATTATTGGGAATACATATAATAATGTGCGCGTATGCGGAATGAAGAAAGCTGTATCGGCAATCTCACAGACTCTCACTTAACTAGAAGCGTGCACAGTGGCAGTGCAGACTGCAAAGTAGGAGAAGGCCCCCCAGCAAGTCTGCTACAAATGCAGTCTGCTATTACTCAACTTGGACAACATCATGTTTTGCTTACTGGCTACTGCTGATGCCAGCATCAGACGTGATCGGTTTTGCACGTACAAAAACACTTCGCCAGTAGTCATTTGTTTATGTCACTCTCTTATAGTGTGTTTTTTGTATGCCCCATTTCATATGGTGTACGCCTCATTTCACATAATGGTACATGGATGATCGGTGGCTCATATATTGCGGCCCTGCGGAATGCATAAAGGAACTAGTGAAAGTATGCAACGACTAGCTGGCAGTACAATTCCGTATCAGCCGTTTGACTTTGGAGAATGATAAGTGAGCGCACCTGCTACGCACACAGGTAGAATCAGCGTCATTTTAGCGCTTTTTTGGATCACATTAATTCTGAACAATATATTTCTTATTGGAAATTTCTTGAAGATATGTGTGTAAAAAACGTTACCATAATATTGCCCAAGAAGATCATTTTATGGTATTAATTTCATTAAAACGATGATGTTTAGTATCTCAAAGGGAATGGCTCAATCCGACGGCGGCCCGAACCGCCTTCGAAAGGTCTCTCGGCTATCTCCGACAATCGTTGGAATGTAATTTCGAAAAATCTAAATGCCGGGGCTTGGACCCATGCGCTCTATGCAACAGAAGCTATGTCGTGCCACTGACCAGGGTACATGTTCCGGGTCCAGAATCAGATAAATCACATTTTTTTTGCATTGTATATAACATAGTATACCATTGTACATGCAAATACTGTAATTTAAAAATAGCTTCATCTGCAGAGGCTCAAAGGGGTGGCCAAACAAAATTAATCAGTACGTATTACACATGCACATACAGAGTAGTACCGTATTACAACGCACTAGCGAACAGACTGTTTCTATGAAACTAGTAAATCAGTACAGTTCCATGTTCTGCAGAAATGTACTAGACCAACATATCAGGATTAATAAAATATTGTGGTGCCAGGTGAAATCCGGATTTCACTTGGCAGTTGGCACCACAATAATTTCAGGTGCACAGCTTAAGACGACCCATTACAAAATCCATTTTGTAGTTGCGATTCGTTGCGGTATTGCAAGAGTACACAGACGTACTACATGCTGCCATTACGTTTGCAAATCTAGATTTTGCATCCTGGATTGAATTGCATATTTGCGGCAGGGGTTACCTTTACAAGAATCCGCCATACCAGGCAAAATGGCAGGTATAACAGTTATTTCGCGGGTGAAAGAGTTGTTTAACTAGACTAGGAACGATACTCTTTCCGCATTCTGCTGAGAAAGGTTCTGTTTTGGATAATAATAATCACTCGAATCCATCTGTCACACATACAATCTATTTTTTAAATTTTTTGTGTTTTGGGGGACGCCTTGTTGACCTTTGCAACTGACAATAGTTATCTAAGCGTGCTACAGTCGCGCAAAATTTGAAAATTCCTGATTTATTCTTAGGTTATCACTATATCACCCCTTTTCACCCCCGTTTTTATAGCCACCCCTTATCGCACCACGTTTAATACAAGCACACTTTTTTACAATTACGCCCTGTAGTTAAGTAAGAACACCATGCTTGCGGTTATGACAGCCTACAGGCACCCATTTCAGTGCCAGTTTTCAGGAATCTGCGATTTCTTTAAATTTATGACCTCTCCAGTGGGCAAAATGACAATACCAACTGAAACGTTTGGATCTTTGATAGGAATTTCGTTGAGTACTGTACGTGATCTAACATTTCTACCGCAGTTCTGCAAACCTCGGTCGGTTATTTCCTCTTTGATGCCAGTGTTTGCGATATCGTCAACACTTAACACCAACAGCCTTGCCCGTCTTTTGCCCATTCAAAGTTGTACGGTTGTTAATGCCTTTAGCGACTTCTGGACTGATAGTTAACGACTTAATGAAACCATTGCTTTTTTTCTCCGCCAAGCTTACAGTTAGCCGTCGATTTTCTGGAAGCTTCTTCCACCTTTCCTGAATGAGCGGGTTGCTGTGACCCCGGACCGCAATCAATAAAATACAGGATGTCGTCTTAAAAAAATTAATAAAAGGCCTATAGTTAACGGGGTGTGGAAAGGGGGTGGCTATGGTGTCCTACTTATTATTATTATACAACAGCTGCAGGAGTATTGTGCTAGTGCATTGCAAAACAGTATATCTATATACAAAGTAGTACTGCGTACTAACTAATTTTTGCGGTGGTGTCATCTGGCGGCGTAGCACCTTCCTATGACTGATTCCATGATGTTTCTAATATCGTCTCCTGAAGCGTACATGCTTCTAATCATGCGATTCCCGAATATGTGCAACAGTACAAGTATTTGTGTTGCTCAATTACAGCGTCCGCGCTTTTCGGAGACGGGATTGTACACACTTCACAACAATGACGGATTTATTAAAATAATAATAAACAATAACAATAATTAGGGGCTGTAAAAAGAATGCTCATTCGAAATCCATTTTTGGGACGTTGAGGTTATTTGATACAACAAAAAACAAATTCCGTCGAAAATCTCGCAAATCCGACGGAAATACTCCTTTCTGGAATGCTAGTAGATATAGCCACGGGCGGATATCATAACCTGTCGACATCTTTTGCCAGCTGCATGAGGAAGTGCAGCGCAATGCGTGACAACTTCTCCACCTGCAATCCTTGCAGCCCATCCACGCACCACTGTTTTCCGAGGTAATGCAATGAGGAGCGCGGATCAGCTGTCTGCGTCGCATGCAGCAACTGCAAAACGACACACTAAGTTGCACTTTTTTGATGATCACGTTGACATTATCAAGGGAAGTTACCCGGTACATAGGTTGAAATTCATGTACATCCACGGGAATTGCGCTTTCACATTTCCAAACAGTGTTTTGGACTGCTTTTTGACATTGAATAGCCAAAATATTTGTGTACATAGGCGTGAACTCCGTTTTCTCACGCAACATCCGGTTACGGAGTTTTGAGGATGACAAAATCCCAAACCGTTTGCATGGATTCAAGTGTAACAAAAGTCTCATTAGGGACCTGATCTCCAATTTTTGCACGTACTTGCACATAAGCATGAAGATCGTTCTTACACCGGTCCAGACTTCCACGATTTCTTTCAAATTTAAATGATTTTTTCTAAATTTTGAAATCCATGTGAAAAGCAGGCTACAGCAGTGGATCGGTGCATTAACGATCTAGATCTTCATGGTTACGTATGAGCATTTAGTGCAAAGGAGGTCCATAATGAGACTTCTGGTACACCTGAATGTATTTGAACTTTTGGAAATTTGTTATTTTTAACCATACAACCGGATGCTTCGCGTGAAAAGGAGTTCACGCCCGTGTATAAAAATCATCCGGCTACACATGTCAAAAAACAACCTAAAAGAGTGCTTGGAAGTGCGCGAAAGCGAAATTCCCGTGGATACATACGAAGTAAGTGCCATGTACCGGGTCACTTTCCTTAAAAAACCACCTTAAAAAACCACTGCACATTCTTAGAGTTCTGTCACACTTCACAGTTTACCCTGCAAGCCATTCTTTGGTAGTATCGAAACTTGCGATCTTCGTCCGGCACATCCGTAATACGGGCCAACGACGTCCGCAGTCCGCGCAGCTGGTCCTCGCTCGGCATCGGCAAACCCGCCTCCAATGCTCCCCACACCGCGCCGGCCAGATCATCGTTCACTGGAAGACGCGCAGCGGAAATCTGGACAGCAAGTTTAAACACGCCCGGCGCCAGGTTAAGCGATAATATAAAACGGCATCGGCTCAACCGTACCGCATCGCAGGGAAGACATCGACAGGCCGCAATAAACTCATCCAAGGAACTGTCCTCCCTGTCTCCTAGCCGGACGGCGGCCAGTACCGCTTCAGCAAGCTGCATCGTACATTGTGCCATCCTGTCGCTGCACTTGAAATTCACAACACAAGCATGGTGCACGAGATACACCTCGGACAAATGCACTCTGGGAGTCGCTTCCTGAACATACCGCACTATATCCGTCATTTTCAGGAAACTACTCATTTGTCCGCAGTCACTGAACGGTGCCGGTGGGTTGGCCTGAATGAGGCGGCGCGTGGATGGCCGCAAGCATTTGAAGATAGGTGCAGTTAGATTGTAGTCACGCAGCTCCTGAGCATCCAGTTTCCGAGATCCCGTAACGATGTTGGTAGTCAGCAGAGGGGACTGCATGATAGAAGCCCAGTCGGGGCACACACCGCGCAGTGAATTCTGCGTCAGCGTGTCGAGATGGGAGAACACCTCCAGCCACACATCTACTGGCAATACACTAATATCGTCTGAACTGTCAAATTCCGTTGACGGAGATTTAGACATAGCCAAAACGTATGCAAGATACATAGCGACCATATGCGGAAATTCTTCCATCCCCTGTAGCAAACACAATCTCGGAATGCAATAAAACTGTAGAGTGCTAGAAAGTAGAAACAAAGCAGACTGCAGTACTTACAGCTGATTGCCTCGCAAATTCTTCTTCGGCTTCTTCTAACTCATAGCACTTAAAGCGTCCTTCAAGATACCATAAAAATCCATCCCTGATATCAACCAGTGCAATTTCCCTTTCGTTCGCATAGTTACAACAACGGAACTCATTCGCCAGCGTTTTCCGCAGATTATTTAAAGAAATCGACCAATATTTCTTCGCTAACTTAATTCGGTGCATCACGAAAGAATGCTTGTCAACTCGACTTCCTACACGATGGCTAAGGGTAACGCGGTGGCTAGAGCTCTGCATTGAAACGCCGTATTCACTGCGAAATTCTCTCTGCTGTTGTTGGTTTTCAACCCTGCCCCACCAAGTCGTCGGAACTCTTGGACGGATTCGCGTAGCGGGTACGATGTCTGCACCTGACAAGTTGTTGCCCCAGTTGACGACAACGGCGTCGTACGACTCATGGTTTCTGCCACGCGCCAGATTGATCATTTCTGCAGGAAACCACTTCCATCGACTGGAACCAGACTCACGCATCAATACTTCCACGGGAATGAGCAATTGTGGATGGGCATACACACTAGCTATATCCATCCCGTACGGATGACTAGATCTCGTTGTCAAAAAGACATTGCTGTCAAAAGGAAAAAATCGACGTCGTCCCGTGGGACATAAGAAATCCACGAAAAACCCGTTGTCAGCCAGGTCTATCACGCGTCCGTAACGCACTAGACCGTCGGCGCCCACAACATCCACGCTGTTTACTTGCAGGAGTCCGTTGAACATAGTGAAATGTTACTAAAAAAGTTACCGTGTTACCGTAAAAGCCTGCGAAAGGAGGCTCAAACGACAAAACTCAACAAAATTTGCGGACTATTGGACTAACAATAATATTATAAAAGCAAAACAGTGCTGAGTAAGAGTAAGTGAGCACTGTTAAGTACTTTGAACAATCTCGGCACGGCTGTGAACGGGTGAAATCGAAAGACGTGATTAAGCCACAAGGCAGACTACGGTACGCTACGCCGTTGTGTAATGTACACAGAACCCAGTGCACTGAAGTTGACTGAACAGTGTACTTATGTACCAACCACCAAGCCGTCCGGAATATGATAAAAATTAATATGTGCAAAAAACACGGGCTTCACGTGCGTAATTTGCGGTTAGTTTCAAGGAATCTTCTTCGTTTTAAAATTTCCGCTCAATTTTATATTTTACTATGCAGAATTTTCACGTTATAGTCTAGTCAAGTTTCGCTAAATGGTTTGTTAAAATCGCTAAGTTGCGTTATTATATTTCAAATTTGCATAGGTCAAGTTTCGTCCAGTTTTCCAAAAGCGCTGAAAATTTGCGTTTCGCTACTAAAATCTTGACGATTTTCCAACTTCAATTTGAAAGCAGCTGCTTTTTTGAAAATTCACAACCCTGACACCCGTTGTACGGCTAAGTTTAGACTCCATAAAATAATTTTCTGGGGCATATTCCATAATTAGCGATGCGGCTAGATTCTAGAATAACCGGTAGGCTTACAGCCTTATATGAAGGATTATTTACCGCGTACATATAGTACAGATAACAAATATACTTAGTATATCAACTGTGGAGTTTGGAAAGGTGCGAAAACAATGCTAAAATAAGAGTTACAAGTAAGACAACAAGGATTGATAGCGTTAGCGCATAATAATTATGATAGTGAATCACTAACTCCACGAGACTATTAACTAACTCCACGAGACTGTAATCACTATTAGTGATTACAGAATTACTGCATGCACGCATAATTAGTAATTATTAATAGTGATTACAGAATTACTGCAGACGAAGCGCAGTTTTACAATCCTGCTGCGTGCCTCATTGTCAGTCAGGAAAGTAATCATCAAGTATGTGCAGAGCTAATGGACTCAGCAGCGAGACATCCAAGTGCCTCAGGTCCACGCCCTCCCAGTGCTGCGGTTGGCCGTTAGGATGAACGCTGCTGAACCTGAAGAGCAAGAAAACCGCTGCGTTATAACCACACTAAAAACGACACTTTTGCTTGTTAGCTCACAGGGTGAGGAACTGACGGATGCCGGTCCACTGATCGGGGTATTTCAGTGAGTAGTCCCAGCACGAATGCCGCCACCTGACCTTTGCGTAGATCTTCCGACCAACGGCCGGACAGTTATTGTTGACGGCGGCGATGAAGCGTCGACTCTGCTCGGCTGGCGTCTCCGTGCAGCCGAAACGCAGAAACGGAATCCGCACATTCAAGTGGACTCTACCATCGTACGGCGTCTCCATCTTGCGGTCTTCTTCCAGCCAGGTCGTGTCGGCGCTGTCATTGTGCAATAGGACCCGGAGCAGTGAACAGCTTCCTGACGGAATGGACGCGGCGTAGTTGACGAGCAGCAGCTGTTCACATACGGATAACCACGACGTCAGCTGCCGGCATTCGTACTGCCTCGTTGCAGCATCCCTGGTGATATTACTAAAAGCCTTTCCCTCATTTGTCTCCGGGTCATCTCCGCCATTCTTGATGATGATCAGTGGCAGGCGGATGTCCCTCACTCGCAGAATGTTTGTGCTGTTTGATAAAGCCAGCCGGATATGGAACGCGTCAATGTCAAAGTGACGACCCTGTCTATCGTCCGTAAAGGTCACGCTGCGAGTGCGTTGCGAAGGGTAAACGTTCAGCAGTGTGACCAGTTTGTGCGCGAAACGGACATATCCGCCGGCGGCGAAAGGTCCTCCAGAACAGAGCGGACCGACATCGAGAACGAGGTGCTTGTCTGCTACGGGCTCGTGCAAAAGGGACCGCCACAGCGCGCAGACCCTGCGGAAGAAGTGATAACCCAAGTTGTCTGCACGCATAGAATTAAAAACGAAACACGATTTTAATAGTCTAACCGGTGTATCCTGGTATAGCGAGTAATGATATCCAGATCATACAGAGTGCAGGCTAACACCGGAAGCGGCAGATCGTTGATGTTGGCCTCTTCGACATCTGCAAGAGCTGCACTTAATCACGCTACCACTCTAAGCACGGTTCGGCTTTTTATTTTCAGACAGAAGAGTTTGTTCTAGATGGCTAATAATAAAATAATGATAATATTTTGATCGTTCTCGCCTTATGCTCGCTTTAAATTAGTAGTTCAGTTTTTCTCTTCATTCTGCATTGCGACCTACAATAACTTCGTTAATTCTCGTGATTAAGAAGAATAATATGTAATTTTGTAGTGCAATTAGACCGTTTTATGTGTGAACTGTACATACGCGGCATGCCGACATCGTACAGAGGAGTAACGGTAAACATAACCAAGCGATGTCGCGATGCATAGTCACGAAATACAAGTACTGTAGTGGCTCGCACATCTTGTACCACAGAGTTGGTGTACGGGAAAAATGTGCATCCAATATACACACTCTAACCGGGCAAAACGCACGATTCCCAGTTGGCGTGCATTGATAAATTTCTGATGTTTCTCAACTTCTGGTCTGGAGAACCTTCTTGAATATTGTAAGGTACTTTATTGGTCAAATCAATGCCTCAATACACCAATTTCAAGAAAAAAAAACACGCTAAACTATAACAGAAAAATTTCGTTCAGCTTATCCAGTCCTTCCATCGTGCCCAGCACTGACGCCGCATTTCCCCGTTGAATTTCTATGGACAATCGCTGCCGCAGAAATTCGTGCGAGCGTGCTTCTCCGGTGTGCTGCTGCAGTCTTTTTCCCAGTTCTTTGATGATGGCGATCGCCGACGGTCCCCACGGGCCCAGTGTTTCGAAGGCGATCGGGACGAATAGGTAGCGGCCAACCAGATAGGAATATAGTCCTGATTTCCGTAACTCTGCTTGCATGGCGGCCGCTCCGGCTGTGGTGGAAGTGGCCTTGACATGTGAAAGCGCAACAGTGTCTACACAGGTCACGTCCCAAGCGAGGCATAATCCGCGTAATCTTGAATATTCGTTCAAGATTATGCCGCGAGGCATAATCTTGAATATTAAAAAAATTAGAGTTCTAATAATTATTAATTAAATTTATGCTCAAAAGCAGCCATTAACTTAAATCTTTGCTGTCAGCTCGAATTCAAACACTGATTTGTTGTGGTTTTTGGGGTGCCCCTGCAGAGTGAGGGGTACGTTCAGCAATCAGCGTCAACATTCTACAGCTACAGAACAATTCGAGTTCTCAGATACAGAGCTTCTTTTCTAAGGTGAATTACAATTTTAAAGAAAATGTTTGATTCTGGACAGATTCAGAAGGAGAGTTCATCTTGAAGTCAAATCAAGCATTATTTCGTAGGCGTGCATTTTGCCCGGTTAGAGTGTGTATATTGGATGCACATTTTTCCCGTACACCAACTCTGTGGTACAAGATGTGCGAGCCACTACAGTAATACCGATATTCTATATATGATCGAGCAATGCAGCCGTATGCTGAACAAGGAGGTAATGCTCGTAGTATAAATGTTAGATTTCTTATGGACCACGTCGCATATTAAGTACAGAACGGTATGTAAGTACTCAGTTATGATGCACACATTATGTATCACGGACTGCTAATTTACCAGGGTAGCGTCACCGGTACCCCTCTGAGAAAAATTTCATTTTTTGCAGGATTGCAGAGTAACACTAGGGTATGCTTAAAAAATAGTTTCATCTGCCATGGTCAGTAGGGTGTGGCCAAACAGAATTTAGAAGTTAAAAATTTGCTATGTTATAGCTTATGGCCATTGGCCAATGCATTGCTTCGTACTTTAAGCACATTTACGATTTGATACAAACCACTTCACTTGGTATCGTACGAGGCTTATGTACGCTGAGTGTTCTCGGCTTCGCGTTTCTGAAACGGGCTAGTAGATGACAGTTAATTATTTTTAATTTTGGAGAGGTGACGCTGCCCTGGTTAGTATGAAGGATTCTCGCGAGGAAGATGATGATATTATAATAAAAATATGATAGAAAAATAAGAATTTTATATTGTGGCTTTCAAAGGACATTGCGCATTCAGCCGGCTAAACGGTTAATAGAATGCCGGACACGACTGTGTGAGCGATCAGGTATTAATTGAATAATAATGAATAACACTGAATAATAATGATAGCCAATACAGTAATAATTATCATCACACAGTGAGTGATAGGAATGCGAGAAACACTGGTTAGTAAAGATAACAGAAAGAATATTTATTTTTAACGCACTGCGACTGGTCGGTAATCCATTACTCACCAGGCTGAGTTGTGCCGGGTCCACGATTCCATGTGGTGATGATACCGGCGTCCAAAGATTTCGGATGAGCGAGGCAGTCCTTGCAAGCTTGCGTCAGGGACTCTGCATTCCAAAACATACTGTGCCTGGCGGCGTCGCCGTGCAGCTCGGCGCAGACAAAGGTCACCTTATCGGTCCCCACTCGCGCGAACACCCGACAACCCGCATTTAGCTCATATTCCAAATTGTGCGTCTGACAGTAGAGACGAATGCTGTTCTTCTTATCAAATTGTTCGAACCGTTCAAACCGACAACTATCGGTGCACACACGGTTATCACGGCCAAACGTAAAGCGGCACGTCAGCGCCAAATAATTGGGCAGGAAGTCCACTGAACGCAGCATATGCGCCTGATCGAAGGCAACTGTGTGCTTGTGGTATTCGAGTCCGTCAGGCCGGCTGAAAATGCTAAGATCTTGGCCAGGAACCGGCAGTCGGGCGGCAAACAACGAACGATGGACGAAGGACAGGCTGGTTGCATCATTTGAATGGTCTTTATGCAGGCGCACTGCGAAGAAGATATCAAGCACGCTTCCGATGATCGTTCCGGGACGAAAAACCAGTGGGCCGTTTTCGGCATTGCGTACCGCCACCGGCAAGGGCGAGTCCGCATGTCGAAAGCTGCAAATGACAGTGTGTGGCCAGAGATGTTGGGAGTGGATCCACTGGGCATTGACGG